ATAATTCGTTTAATCGATCAACAGAATGAATTTCACTTTAATTAGTTTATTCCACTGAACAGATGTTCAAAATTTCATCTTCTCTTTCATCTTCTCCGAAGTTTATCTAAAAATCTTCTTCATTTTAATTACATAATGATAATTAATCATCCGTTTAATCGAAGAATAAAAATTTAATTGGCAGTAACTTAATTATGCCCATGTGCAAGCATATAAGTAGGTTTAAGCATATAAGAGTTCTTCCTTTTTACGTTAAATGAACACACATACGACGATGATCGTCGGTTCTCTCTGAACAAAAGCGATGCACCAGTGACGTAATGCATTTGTGCGATAATATAGTGGCATAAGTGAACTTGTCGTACATGTCAGTAAAATACATATAACAACAGTTCGACATTTTACAACATGAATTTCCTTAATAGAAATTCTAATTAGTATATCAGATTTACCTATGTATGTATTATGTGTATATCACGATAAAATGATGTGTTACTTCTTTGTAAAATATCTTTATTGCAGAACACTGGCACACAATGGATAGATCTATGTCAGGAAGTATAAATGAAATTTCATTCGTTTAATAACATTTAATAACATTTAATAACATTTAATTTTATAATTGTTCATTCAGCAATTGGGGATATTTCAATATCTATTAAAAAACGAAAAATTTGACAGCGTAAATAAATTTCTGGATAATTGGAAGACCAAGAGATTAAATAATGAAAAATAACTTATTGCATTTATCCGAATAATACGACATAAGTGAAACTTATTGTGCCTTTTATTCAAACTTCTGTCTCTGCTCTTCAAACTTCTTTATCACCAAGACAAATTTTTTTCATCGCACGATTAAGATTCGTATAGTGATCGTCAATAAATGGCCGTAATGTACTAGAAGGCTATTCTTGGATATTTATGGAAAAGGCGCTGACACGGTACCGCTTGTTCTACGCATTTTATGTCAAATTAGAAGCATAAACGCGCGTACGCACGCGCCGGTCACGAGCATCTGCTTGCTATCCGGCTCCATTTATCAATTGTGCTCGTTAATTTCACGACACTCCGTTCCTTCGTGCTAATTGGCTGCTTTAATAGATTTCATGCAGGCCAAAATGACTGAAAAGAGGGATAAATCATCTGCGAATTAGACCTAGAACCCTCAATTGTTTAGTTAGGCGTTAACGATGATGTATCCTGAACATTATAAATTATCAGGTCCGTCAGAAAATTTTATCTCCTTTTGCACGAAATCTTCAAGTATAAAGCTATTGAACATAAATAACAATTCATTTTTTTTTTTTTTTTTTCTTTAATAGAAGCTTGAATTGAAGCTTTGGATTAATCGAACTTATTTATTACATAATCCACTTATTAATTACATAATCCACGGGAAAAAATATAATTTCAGACAATTTTTTAAAATTTTATTAGTCACGCAAGGACTTAAAAATCATCCTATATTAAATTTATTTCATCTGGTATGAGAAGAATGAAATCTGTTATAACTAAATAATTTTCTGAGTTAAATTTGATTACTTTGTTAATTTGATTAGGATTTTATTATTTTAATTGGATTCTGTCTATCTTGTTGAGATAAATAAATTTGATAAATAAATTTAACTGAATTTAAGCGTGTATAAATTAATTATTTCACTCGGTTTTTTCAGTTGAAAAATCGAGAACCACCTTTACTCTTTTGACTTTCCCTCGCGCATCCGAAAATGTCTTCGCGTTCACCAATCTTGTGTATCACGAGTTTCAATTTCGCAATAGACTTATTGCTTTAACTTACCGACCTCTTAACGTCCTTGCAGTGATTCTCATTAATATGTATGTAGATAACTCCTTTGGTGACATTCCAACAATTTCATAATCGATTTTTCGTTCTTTTCAGCAAGGAAGTTTATTCAAGTGGTTCTCGCAGGTGTTTAACTCGCGTAATCTCCTACCAGAGGTAGAAAAAGGTTTTTTAGAAAATGGCTTTAGAAAAAGGTTTCGTGAAAATCAAAATAAATGATAATTACATTATTGATTGTCTCAGCGTGATGTAGCAATATTAAAACGAATACCGTATAATTTTCTTTAACAGAGAAATTGTTGCAAAATCGATTTTGTGAAAGTAAAGAGCTGTAGGTGACAATATCTGTTATCCTTATACGACAAAAATCTTAAGAAACCACAGAACATTCGATGTAAAAATGTTAGAAAGCGATAATTTCGTTTGCAAGAGGCTATATTATAATTTTTGCGTTCGAATACAATCGAACAATCTTTACGAGTGAAAGTGTATATGTATAGTTGTGGATAATCTGTGAAAAATTTCACGATTTTACTGAAAATGAAAATTTATGCTCTGAAAGGAACATTTTGAGAATTGTTTAATTAAGGAATATGTGTTCAATTCGAAAACTACAATAGGCACTACACTATTTTTCTCAAATATTTTAACATATTTTTTTAATATTATCTGTATCATTTAACATATATAAATATATTTGAATTGAAAGTAAATAAATCATTGCCTTTTTTCAACTGTAAAATTGAAATCTCTTGCGATTGATTCTTCCTGAGCTCGTAATATGGAATCAATTGCTATTACAATTATTTATTATAACGTAATAATATAAGATGAATAGTAAGATGAAATATAAGGAAGTAAGGGAAAAAGCTGATTTTAGACGAATGCTACTTTATTATTATATATAATTGATCTTTGAAGAGTTGAGAACCTTCTCCAAGGTAAATCACCAACACTTGATGTTACGAGCAGTGCACCAATAGCAACAAGAGGGGAATGCCATGTGCGGATCGTTGAAAAGTTTCACCTGACCAGTAATGGTACTTCCTGCTAGTCAGGTGGAGTATACGTTGATTCATTGAGGGCATATACCTATCTCCCTTATCGCAATTCCACGGATATGTCACCGAGTGATACGTTTAACATCACAATCCCTTTTAAATATATCTTTTCTTTATTTATTATTTTAGTAATTTTTATTTCATCCTAATTAAAGGAATAACATTCTTTTATATTTATCTTGTTGATTTTATTATTTTCAACTTGTATTTATATTTTAGAATATGCGAAGGAACATTTGATCATAAGAGTGTATAAAAGAATTTATAACAATTATTAAAAATTTGCATAGTGTAATTGTCACCGTTATAAAATCAATAAAAATTAAGATACAAAGAAAATCAAATTAAATGAAAAGAATAATACAAATTAAAATTAATATCAGAAATTAAAATCGTAATCAGTGTTAAATATAAACATTATATTTAAAATAGATTAAACTAAAGACAGAATAAACCATTCATATATAGATAGAAAATTGAATAATTAAATAAGGAAATCCTTTAGTATTAATCAACGAAAAATTTGCTTTGCTCCAACTTGTAATCATTTGTATATCGTGTATAAATTTCTTTCTTAAATTTCTATAGCGAAAAACTGAAGATCTGTTTCCAGAGAAACTGGAAATACTAGAATCAATTTTAACTTTTCTGATTTTCTTTATTCCAGATTGCATGATGTGATATTTAAAAGTAATTTTTATTGTCAACTCCTTTTTACTCCACATCTAAATATTGACATTAAAATACGTCACATTTTATTAATTCTATAGATTATTTCTATAGATTAAACGTTTTAAGTTAAAGAAACATTATATTTCAATAAGCTTCTTATTTGAATTGAAGTTGATAATTGAATCATAGTTATCGACAAAATTCGACATTGTTTCTGCACATGCTCGAAACAATTAACTAACTACATATTAGTAGAATCGATATGTAAATTCTAGGCTACAGTAAGTTTCATTTGTTTCATTACATATTTATTATTCGGCTTATGCACGACTATAGTAGAAGAATATTTTCTATTGCTTTGCTAATCCAGTAGTTGCTAATAGTAGAAGAGTATTTTCCATTACTAATTAAACTTATCTATATAAGTTTATAATCTTTTCATTGTTAAACATGTAAAAAATCTCAAAATAATATTAATATAATCTTTATATTCTGGATGTATTGAAAGCTTATCTTAAATTTCCTAGATTTACATCGGATGAAATAAATTTAAGAATTTAAAGTTAGAATGTTCGAATATGACAGAACAAATGGATACGAGATAATGTTCTCAACCTGGAGAATGTGATCGTTGATCCTTCCACTATCCTACAAAACAGATCGGACACGTAATCAAGAAACCAACAACCGCATTCCTCATATACGTGCTAATAGGCCCTCGCAGACCACATAGGTTTACCTCATACGATGACTCTGTTTCATTCTATTACAAGTCATTGCTCTTTTTCTTTAGAATCCATATCATCATAAGAATTATAAAAATCATCTAATAAGTAATGCGATTTAAAATAATTTGAATTTAAACAAAAATTTTAAAACTGTATAGACTTCCCATACAACATAATGCAAAACTAACATTTGCACTATGGAATGAAATTGCGAAATTACAATATATTACACATATGTAAATATATTTTTGATTAGAATAACATAATTAGGATTATTATATGTATATCTTCATGTATTTAATTTCAATTTCATATATTTAAATATTGATATTTAGCTAGTATGTCAAGCATTTGGGGCACAGCTTCAGGCTATGGATTACTGAACAACGCATTCGATTTGCACGTTCCTCTTACATCCCTCTTACGCGAGATTCATAAAGTGGCACATTTTATTCTGGAAGTATAAAAGAACATTGAGCTTAATTTACAATATGTTTTGATAATATAGATTTTAATAAAATTATTTAAAATAATGATATATGAAAAATTAATTGTTAAAATATTTATAGTGCTAATTTATATATCTATCAATATCATTAATTAACATTTTAATATCAACCGTATTATTAAATAATATCAACAAATTCGTTAATTAAATATCTTCAATTATTTAATTCATAAATATTCATTGTTATATAGAATAAAATGTAAATTACACTGTTTCTATGATTACAGAATGTATTGAAGGAGAAGGTGGCTGCAAGAGATGTAGAGATAGAATATGTGCAAGATGTGCAGTTCTTTTACATCAAGGTACTTGTGTTGATACTTGTCCACCAGGCCATATTGCAGATTGGTCAACTAGAGATGAATATATGGGAAGAATTTGTAAAGAAACGGGGTATATGTTTGGATTTACTGGAAGTCAAGTAGCCATTTTGGTAGGAGTTGTTTCTGGCGCAACTATATGTATTCTGATAATATTATGTGGAGCTATAATTGTACATAGAAGGAAAAAAAAAACTGCTAAATTAATTCAGCAGTTTGAAGACAGGTATTTTTGATTTGTTAATATATTATAAGAATGATTAAAAGTGAATAGTATTAAATATATGGTTTCATTTATATTTTAGCGCAGAGAGAAGAGAATTTTTAAAACATCTTGCAATGCTTAGAGGAGAAGGTAACACGTTTCTTTCCATGCTCAATGATACTAGGAGACAAGTTAGAGAATTATACTATTCTGGAAATAATGGAGATGGTGCTGTTGGAATACAAGCTTATAGGTACAATTATGCTACTAATTAGCTATTAATTGATATATTCTTTCTTTATTATAATTATGGTTTGCAGACCAGTTTTACGTGATTTGGCAAGGATACTAGTTCTTATTAATAAGAGAGATGATGAAATACCTGTTCCTCCAGATGATTGGCAAAGACTTTTTTCATGGGCCGAGAGATTATTAAGACGATATAAAAGGCACAGCTCACCCGAAGTAAGTTAATTATATTCGAAACAATCAATACTAATTATAAAAAACATTTACTTCCAAAAAAAAAGTTTAATTCCAAAGAGCTTGTTATTTTAAATTTTACTTTTTTTCACGCAAGTCTCTAAAATACTTTGGTGAGTCATGCACGTTGAAGAAATAATTACATATGCATGAAAAAAAAAGAATTTCTTTTAAATAAAATTATATAAACCAATAAAAGTTTATAAAAATTATAAAAAACAACTTTTTGTACTTCAAGGTGGCTCAACTTGTAACATTTTTGCAACAACCGACAACATCCGTCCAAATGAATTCATCACAACAAGTAACAATCACACAATCACCTCAGCCTTATGAACCAAGAACCACTCCAACCAATCTAACTACATTCCAATCAAATGTACCACTTTCAACATTTCAAGCAAGCGACAAATCAAGTATCAGTCCTGCAAGTTCCAGTCTTGGATATGTAAAAGATAGTCCTGTGAGCTCCAGTCTTGGACAAAATAGTTCCGGAGTTTATAATGAGAAACTTAGTCCAAATGGATCTAGTATAGGACAAACAACTCCATTAGTATATGATAACCAAAAACGACTGAAACCTTCGAATACACATTTTCAAGAACTTGCCATTGCCACTTTTAATCATAATTACAATACTGGTGCAGCATTAACAGAATCTGCTTGTGCAATAGATGAATGCGAGGCAAATGGACTCGATCGTGAATTAAATCCTCAGTGGGAATTTCAAAGTAGTACAGAGGCTGCTAATTATACTATTTTATCTGACTGGTCACCTGCTCGTGAATACCTCATTGATGATTTTACAATTCTCGGATTCCGACCACAAGATGAAATTACTACAGAACTGTAATATACTATAATATACATACTTTATACATTTCTTTATAGTATTTGCTCATAAAGATATATTTTCTATTTATAAAAAATACATATTCCATTTATTTTCTATTTAAATTATAATCGAAAAATTTCATGCACCTTCATATCATAAAATAGAATTTTAAACTTATTTTCAATAAATGGAAATAAATATTATTTCTATATCGTTCATTAGATATTCAAATATATAAAAAATATTTCCTAATGATGGAACATGAGTTAAATAAATTTTTTATACCAAAAGAAATAAAATCTAATCTATTTTATCTAAAGTTTAATTTTATTTGATTAGAATTTTACTTAAATAAAAAATGAAAATAAATTTTTTATTGTTAATTTATTCCTAATCTTGTTGATATAACAGATATAAAATATATTTTTTTAAATTGTTATCTTCATATTCTTAGATGTAAATACATAATACGCTAATGCGCATTTGTCCTATATTTGATGAGTCGGAAAAATATATAAAAATATATAAAATACTTACTAAATCTTCAAACTAAGTGTTCAGATTGTGTAACATGATAGAATACTTCTTGATTTCTTTTGGTTTAAGAGAAATTATTTTTCTCAGTCCTTTATAACTTTTAAAAAATCTGTATATGTCTGTATACATGTATGTATATTAGTTTATGTATTATATATACATATGAGTTAGAATTAGAACGAAGTTGTAATGTTATCAAATAATTATAAGTGTTTTATTTAAATTATATTCTTTATTTAATTTTTATATTACAAGATGTTTAATAATTATATATAATTTATTGTACTAGTCAATATTTTCTTTTATGCAACAATACGAATTATATTACAAAATTATGTCCTTATACTATCAATGTTATAAGTTTATGAAAATAGTTAGATTTTTATTACAAATATCTTTTTATAAATGCACCAACATATCATTGTTAAATAAAATATTGCAAATCATTTTCAATATAACATGTGTATATAAACATATTTGTAGATGCTGTTACACAAAAAACCAAAATGGTCAACTGTATGTACAAATTGATGTAAATAATATTTTACTAGCAAATATAAAATGATTATACATATATACATATATATATATATATATATATATATGTATTTACACACACACACACACACATATATGTAATCAATTCGCTTTTTTGTATTTTTAATTCATTTTCATTTTCAAAATACTTTTTTTACAATTATAAAATTACAATAAAGTATTTCTACATTTAAATAATATCATTTTTACAATTTATTTTGTCTAATAAAATTATACAATATAATTTATAATTCTTATTGTTAAATCGTTTCTAACACAAAAAAGAATATTTCGATCATAAATCTAAATGAATAAATTAAATTTAAAAACATCATTTATGTACTTTTAGATTTCGATATTTGTAATTTAGCGGGTTGTAATACAGGAAGTGATGAAACGGCGCGCGCAGCCGGATGCTGCGCGCGCATACTGAATGAACTAACAAAGAACACTTGATAAATTTCATTCTTCCATGTTAACGATTGGGCGATTTATTTCCAGAAAACCTCATTTGAAATTTGTTTTCCGTTATGGCAAGTTTATTTATCAAGTGATTTTTTCATAGAAATCGATGAAAAACTGATCGACCAAATGATGCTCCAAACGCGTAAGTTCCTGCGGGGTGGGTGAGGGACGCCATGACAGTCGTCATATTTTCTGTTAACCGTAAGCACGTATTCTCTTGCCAGCGTTTTCGTGAAATTGTTGCGCAGGTTGGCGCCTATCTGGATCAAAATTGGCAAGCCCGTTTCCTGAATTTCGCGGACTTTCCTTAGAATATATTGTGGAGGTGGAGAGCGAGGGCGCGTGGCCATTATCAGGGATTTGCTTGTGGGTACTCGTGGCGAGGTGAGACGTCGAGAGGCGGCGAAAGGCGTCCCCCCCTGCGTCGGGACGCGCGTCTCCCTGTATACGAGACGGCTTAGGGCCGACCAAGCGAGATGCCAGAACCGCCGACGGCACCGTACACCACGTGAGTCCACCCTCCAAGCTCTCTTGATTATCGCTTCGGCCCTCTTCAACAGTTTCTAGAAATCCCCTTGCCCCCGAATCCCAAGGAACCTCCATCTTGTAGCCTCTTGTCCTCGTTCTACGAGTCACGATAATTGACGCGTCATATGCCTGAAACACCAGAAGATGGTGCCCGTGAACCCTCTCTTAGCTGCGAGGGGATCTACGGCAAGTCCTGGCAAATGTGGAAATATACCTGCGTCCTCATTCGAGCCGCTGGTACGCCTAACATATACCGTTTCACTCTATCAGCCTTTGTCGCCTTCAAAAGATGGTATCGGATGACTCACCCTTTCCCGCTCACTCAACAAAAAACTTTAATATCTGTGAGGTTAAATTAACTGCTTTCTTTTTTTTCTTTTTTTTTTTTCTTTTTTATGTAATATATCGACACTTTTTTCGAAGTATTAACCTATCACATAAGCATTATATAATAATAAGTTTCCGCCCAATGATGTCTCAGTCCATTGTATTTAGAATGAATTATTTCACTTATTGATATTAAACCAATTGATTTCGAGGTTAAATTACAAGGTTTATTTTACTAGTCAGTTTCAACGGTGCAAAGGGCAATGTGGCTACTTTATTAATTATATGTTGTGTTATTTTTACTAGTTTTTTTAATATAAAATTTAATTTTACTAATTTTGCAAATGATTATATGTTATTAGATTTTATTTGGATATTTGTCTAATTTGTTAAAAATTTGCGACAAGAAATAACTTTAATTAAATTATTTTGCAGGATGAAAAATGAAATATATCAAAAACATTTAATTAGTATCCTTCAGTGAATAAAGATGAACAGTGAGCAGCATGCATTGCCAGCGACTACGCAGGCACAACAAGAGGTAAGAACATTTTCAACTGATGCAGGCTATTTACCAAACCACAAATGCGCAATTGATATGTAAAATGCAACAGTTTGAAAATATTGTGAAATAAATTGAAAAGTTCTTATTCATTGAATTATATGTATTTCCTTTTATAAATTCAACAAATATATTATTATTTCAATGTATTTGTTTTTTTATATAGTATTTATTATTAATTTTTAATACTTTGTTATACCTGCTTATTCTTCTGTGTAGTTTTATATGAAATTTGTTTTACACTAGGAATGAAATTCTATGTGAAAATTTTGTATAAAACTTTATAGTTTTCCTTTTTTTAGTTTTAATGCTTGTAGTTTAAATAAAGTAGCTTTTGCTTAAATATTTTATATTTATCGGCTTATTCTTTCTGTTATGTAGCTATTCGTAAAGCACATTTTTCATGTTAAAAGAAATATGTTTCTACAAATATATTACACTGCATCATAGATGTAACTATATAAGCTTTTAATAGTAAAGTATGTATTTTGTACGATTTTGCAACTTGGATTTAGATATAACATTTTAATTTTTTCTTAAATATAAATTCTGTATATAGGTATGAATAATACTGGCGATGGTTGCACGAATTTATTAAAATTTAATTTATAGCTTTCGTAATGCTAGAAAAAGGGAATTTGAAAACTAGCGCATTTGTTGATTGGATCTGAGCCTGGTGCATGCTGCTGCATGCTCTATCAATGTTGTACAAATGTTTGAATGTATATCGGTAGGATGTAAACGCGGGTCAAAGTGGTCGTCCTTCATACCCAGGTGGTTTGGCTACAGCAACCAGTCTTGGCAATGTAGGGAGTACCCCGCATTCATCCGCGGACCTGCGTGTAGGTACAGCCGTAGCGTTAGCCTCCTCGGTAGCTAAATATTGGGTCCTCACCAATCTCTTTCCTGGACCGCTACCTCAGGTCTCGGTCTATCATCATTCCCACCACAACTCCTCACATAGGAGTAGTGGAGGTGGAGAGGCATCTTCCAAAGAGCCAGCCTCTTCATTGAACCAAGAAATGGCGTTAACTTCCAGTTCACATCATCAATCAACACCTACACATCATCATCATCAATCTTCAGTTAGCAGTAGCAGTCATCATAGTTCTTTACAACCAAATTCACAGGTTTGTTTACTTAGAGGTATGCAATGATTAGTTATTGAGTGTAGCTTATAAATGATCCAGGTTTAGTATCTGCATTTGCAGGAATTGTGGTAATATACTGTATTGTATGTAATCTCATATAAGTGTGAGTAGATAGCAAAATTGTCTTGTAATACATACACATGGAATGCTGCAGTTTCACATTTATAATTTAAAGTATTGCTTTTGTCAAAGTCTTTTATTCTGATTTTTATGTTTATTATATATAATTGTATGCTAATTGTTGTGATTATATATATATATATATATATATATATATATATATAATATGTGTGTGTGTGTGCGCGCGCGTGTGTGTAATAATACTGTGTTTTTAATTGTTGAACTTATTTTCTAATTTGCAATATGCTAAAATACGAAGAATATAAAATATATTTTACTATTGATTTGATGATATTTTCAATTATCTAATTGTTAGAACTATAATTCAGTCATATTAAAAAAGAATGTAATAATATTTTTTTTTTTTTCGTATTTTATTTAGCAGATACCAGTTTCTCTACCAGGCCTTAATTTAGACGGACCACATATACCTGCCAGCGTCAGTCATTTACAGGCAGCACATGCACAAATGCAGCAACAAATGCAGGCAGCACAGCAGCAACAGCTGCATCAACAGCAGCAACCACAACAGCAGCAGCAACAACAACAATCTCACCATCAAATGCAAAATCATCAAAATGCTCAGAATAGTGGACCAACTGCACATAATCAAAACGCACAGAGGGATGATAATAAGGTGAAGGATGAAGGTGGAAGTTGTACAACTGAACGTTGCAGTGACAATCAAGTTCACTGTCAAGTTCAATGTGACCTCCAGTTACAAACATCTCAAGATTTACAACAAAGTCTTATGCAACAGCAACAACAGCAGCAACAGCAACAACAAATTGGTGTGAACATAAGCGGGAATTCATCGAACGAAGGTGGAAGTCAAAATAATACAGAGAAACCTGAAAAAGAAAAAGAGTTGCGTCAACTAAATATGACGCAGTACGTTCGCACAATTTATATATTTATTAAATTTGATCATTTTTACAGTTTAACAAATGATATTAACTTTTGTATAGGTTTCAAGTGCCAGATTTAAAACCAGGAGGTCACATGATGGATGTTAGAACAGCTGATGGTTCAGTTGTGAAAATCAGTGCTGGAAATGAGCAAGATTTAGCAAAAACACTTGGTGTTGAAATGGTGCAAAATATGTACAAGGCAAGAAAATATTGCATTATAATACATAAAACAATAGTTTCTTTAATATATAATTATAAAATTTATTATATTCTACAGGTAAATGTCGAGGATATTAATCAACTTTTAGCATATCATGAAGTATTTGGAAAACTACAAAGTGAAATAGCAGCTGGTACAACCTTAGTTGGAAGTACAGTTCCTACTCAAACAGTTACCACTATACAGAATGGAACTCCAATTGTACAACAAGTTCAATTAAATAAATTTGATATTAAATCAAGTGATGGTGAAGCTACACCAGGACCAAGTGCTTCGCCTGTATCAGTTGGAAGTCATGCATGTGAAATATGTGGAAAAATTTTTCAGTTTCGCTATCAGCTTATTGTTCATCGTAGATACCATACGGAAAGGAAACCTTTTACTTGTCAGGTATATAATATTTATTCTCAAATTTTATCTTATTTAATTTTTATTGAGTATATATAAATTTCTCTGTCGTTTATAGGTGTGTGGCAAGGCCTTTTTAAATGCAAATGATTTGACACGGCATGGAAAATGTCATTTAGGTGGATCCATGTTTACTTGTACAGTTTGTTTTCATGTATTTGCAAATGCACCATCTTTGGAACGTCACATGAAGCGACATGCTACCGATAAGCCATATAATTGTACTGTATGCGGAAAAAGTTTTGCAAGAAAAGAACATTTAGATAACCATACGCGTTGTCATACTGGAGAAACACCTTACAGGTAAATTGTTACTTTAAAGTTTAAATAAATTAATAAAAATTGCTATAAAAATAAAAATTTCCTATCTTTAGTTAATTAATAAATAATTATATTTTGTTTTTAAAATTTTATTAGTATTTATTAGTAATTAGTAATCAGTATTTAGTAATTAGTATTTTATTAGTATTTATTAATATTTAGTAATCAATTATTATCTGAAATATATATAAAATTTTGAAGTATTTATATTTCAATAAAGTCGTCAATTAGAAAATAATTCTACTATTTAAATTCTAGGTGTCAATATTGTTCAAAGACTTTTACTAGGAAAGAACATATGGTAAATCATGTTCGTAAACATACAGGTGAAACACCTCATCGATGTGATATTTGTAAAAAGAGCTTTACTCGCAAAGAACATTTTATGAATCATGTTATGTGGCATACAGGAGAAACTCCTCATCATTGCCAAGCTTGTGGCAAGAAATATACACGTAAAGAACATCTCGCAAACCATATGCGTTCACATACCAATGATACACCATTTCGCTGTGAAATATGCGGTGAGTAATTTACTTTTCCAATCATTTGACAGACGTAACGTATTACATATACAAGTTATTTACATTATCTATACTTCAATTATATACATTCAAATATATATACACACATATAATTATAAAAGTACGAAAGTAAACAATAGTTTCAAAAATTTGAAGTAATTTGAAGTGATATAGGCATTGGAAATATCGAATGAGCGAAATATTATAATCTGTTTTTAATTACTTATTTAAAAAAGTAATTTGTACATATAAAATAATAATGTTAAATTGTTCATTATTATTCTCATATAACATATGCAATTAAAACACAGTAATTAATGGGACGATTCCAGAATATTAAAATAATTATATGTATAATAGTAATAGAAATAATGTTTATATGTTTTTTTTTGTAAAAAAAAAATTTTTAATGTAGTATATGGTACACTAAGTTTGCACAAAATTTATTTAGTTTGCCTAAAATTATTTTCTAATATTATTTGAGGTATTTTCAAGGTAAATTATATATTGCTAAATATTGATTAATAATTAAATATTTCATATTTGGCATACAAATCAATAATCATTTTTTAAATTAATTTTATGTTTTTTATATAATTAGTATGAAAACAAAATTTATTAAAGTGTATGCACTTGTGCATATTTATAACTTTAAAATCCTTTACATATTGTATATTAGTTATATACAAAAAATTATAAAATTTTTCATTTTAATACATATAGTATTTTCCCCTTGTATATTACATCTAAGAAGAATATATAACTTTATGATACACTTTATTCAATTTTTTCAGAACTAAGTATGAAAAACATGAAAAAATTACAAATCAAATACTGAAAAGTTAGAAAATACTAAATAAAATAGTAAATATTTATCCAACTATCTTGTCACAAATCGCATGTATTACTAAAGTATCGGTCTAACTTTCGAAATATCAGTATGTTCAATCATCGTATGTTTTTTTTTTTAATGGCTGTTGCTATCAGTAATGGGTCATTTACTGTCGCTTCATACATCTATACAATTCATTCATCACATACTTTGGTATCATGATTTATTTTGTAAATTTAAGATTGATGCATATTTTGCGCACATATTTCTTCGTCAACAAGACACATTTTTATTTTCTAAAATTATACGATTTAAATCTAATTTTAATTTTATTAATTTATTCTATTAATTTATAATTTAAACAAAATTAATTCGTATTTTTAAAAATTCAAATATTGAGAGATGTCTTGAAAATTTAAAATTTATGTATATTAGTATTTTAATAATGATAGTAATAATATATCATTCTTTCATTTTATAAAGTAATAATTTAGAATGTTACTGATCACAATTTAAATATGTTCACATTTAAATTTAATAATTTGGATATCTGAGAATTTCTTATTATTATTCAATGACTAATTTACATAAAGGATTTTCATCATTTTATTGAAATAATACTTGTAATTAATATGCATTATTTTATTTCATTTTATTTTATTTTATTTTATTTTATTTTATTTTATTTTATTTTATTTTAACGAGATATACCTTTCTAAGTGCCATAATACAGATAATATTTTACTATTGCCTTTAAATTTCCAGAAAAATGTTTCACTTGTAAAATTTTTGATATATATTTTTTATAAATTTATTATTATTTATTTGAATAATAAGATATAATTTGTTATTGATATGTGGGAATAGTAATTTTACTGAGCCCCACGTACATGTATGTTTTGTATAATAATATTAATTATGAAATAAAATTTAATGCTATACTAGTCTTATTCGAAAATTTTTAATTCGATATAAAAAAAAAGTTTCATTTACACGGCTGATACAAAGGTATTTATATGTCGTGGGTATTACCTTTACAGTTCGTGTTAATTAAATTCAATATTCAAATTTTTTTTAACTATTTCAATTTTTTTTTTTATATAATTTTAGAAACTGAAAAGTAACAGAGATTTTCCATTATGCATAATTTCAAGATATTATTAACAATTTATTCCATAAATTAGTAGATTACATAAATTGAAATACTGATTCAATACGTGCATTTTTAAATACATACAAACAATATGAAATAGAGATCTCTAATAGGTTTCTAAGGTGTCTTAAAGACAAAAAAACTAAACTATTATTTTGATATAATCAAATAACATAGAATATCTGAAATATTACAACAGTTAGAAAGAGTTAATCATTTTGGAATCGTCTCATATATAATATGCTATACACACGCTTATCAATGACAATTTAATTACAGATGTGATTGGTATTACAATATAATCATAGTATTGGTATTTTCTTTTTCTTTTTTTGGTTGTATACTGCTGCGAATACAGGTAAGTCGTTTACGAGAAAGGAGCACTTCACGAACCACATAATGTGGCACACGGGTGAGACGCCGCACCGCTGTGATTTCTGCTCGAAGACATTCACGCGAAAGGAGCATCTCTTGAACCACGTACGCCAGCACACGGGTGAGTCTCCACACCGATGCGGCTTCTGCTCCAAATCGTTCACCAGAAAGGAACACCTTGTTAACCACATCCGCCAACACACAGGTGAGAGCGGTTGGCAGATGTCCACTTCGCGGACAACCGATTGTAATATTTGTCTCTAAGAGTAGTAGTTTTACTTGAATAGAAAAATCATATTTAGTTAAGAGAGAAACAAATCTAGATATTTATCATGTGATTGGGTCGCACCATGTTTATGTAACGTATCATATAACACACATTACATATACACTAAAAAATCATTCGTGCCTTTGTCTAAAAATCTGAATTGATCCATTGTTTCATCGAAAATGATTATTCAGAAGCATATTGCTTTTCGAACGTACACGTACGCGCGCATCACTCGGTTTTACTTCTACCCAATGTTTAGCTATGATTTGCAGACTTGCATGCGAAAAAAAGAAAAATATATGTATGTGTGTGTATATATACATACACACACACACATATATATATATATCTACGTCCATTTTTTTTATTTTGTTATTCTTTTGTTTTGCTTTTTATTTAACTCTTTTTTCCTTCTTTTTTTTAAATTAATAGAATAAATAATATACCGGGGGTAATGCGTTCGCCGTTCGTGCATAACAGTTCACATTATATCTAACTAGTAATTAGTTCAGCTGATCACAATTACCCCATTTCATCATCGGATCCCATAGAGACATTTACTGTTCTGCCTAATACACCGCTCTCATACATGCTTTTTATTAACCATTTCAAAAACTTCTCGTTAAATGAAATATTCTCACGATATGAGTCTCTACGTTATAGAGATGGCTTTATTCGGCTTATTATCACTCCTTTCCTTATTTATTTAAAATCTTTTTTTGTTAAAGATTTATACATAATACCATTCTCATTTTCATTTCACTTCATAGGTAACAAAATTCATTAACGAAATTTAGTTTAACAAAGATAATTCGTAATTATGAAATAGTGATTTATTACCTTCTTCTTTTCTCTTTATTTTATTTTTTTTTTTCTTTCTTTTTTTTATGTGTTGTAATAATATATAACGAAAAATATATTTAGTATTCAAAATTATGACATCTTTGTGACGGTTATGATCATCAAGATCACAATATCTTCAATATTTATAATTGTACGAGTTTTTATCGATGTAACGTAAGGAATTATTGATATATAAGAACGAATAGAGTTGATAATACCAATATTGAATTCGAATTTGCGAACATTTTATTCTCGGTATAAAAACATTATGTATATTCTTCACTATCTAATATAACAGTGTTCTAAATCTTTCCCTCAAAACAATATTCAAATAATCTGTGAATTAAACATGAGCAAAAATGGGATGTAAAGATATAGAGGATTGTAAATTCAGCGTGATGCATAAAATAGTAATTTTTTGTTATGCGTATCTTATTCGTACGTTACATCAAACAAAATCGATTAAGAGTCGAGTTAAATCGTGTATGATACAATAATGATCGATTGGAAAAATAAAAGTTGCGATATTGTTGATTGATATTGTGCAGGAGAGACGCCTTTTCGCTGTCAATACTGTCCGAAAGCATTTACGCGGAAGGATCATCTGGTGAACCATGTCAGGCAACACACGGGTGAGTCACCGCACAAGTGCCAGTATTGCACCAAATCCTTCACGAGGAAGGAACATTTGACAAATCACGTGCGTCAACACACAGGCGAATCGCCACACCGATGCCACTTCTGCTCCAAGTCATTTACTCGTAAGGAGCATTTGACGAATCATGTGCGAATCCACACCGGCGAATCACCGCATAGGTGTGAATTCTGCCAGAGAACGTTCACTAGGAAAGAACATCTAAATAATCATCTCCGTCAGCACACCGGAGATTCGTCGCACTGTTGTAACGTGTGCTCGAAACCATTTACAAGAAAGGTAAGCTGCAAGTTTACGAGTTTTACAAACATATTTATATTAAATAATGCAAATAATATAAATTTCATTTTTGTGTGATTCTTGAGCTGCGGCATTAACAACGAGAAATTTTTATTCCTTATTGTGGTTTCAAACAATGCCTAAGAAACCTAAAAATTTTGTCCACACCGAAGTAAAAATCAGAAGAACACTTCTGTTTTGGTTTCAAAGCAGAACAAATAGTTTGTTCTTTCTCGCTAATGAAGAAGCACTTGCTAATTTTTATTGCTCCAAAACGGAAAGAGGCAACTTTTCAAAAAAGCACGGAGTATCAGTAAAAAGTCCCTCATTGTTGCTTACTAATTTAATTTTGTTGAATGATTAAATTTTTAAATTTGCCAATTACAAAAATTTAATAAAAGTGTCTTCATTTTTCTGTTATAGGAACATCTCGTAAATCATATGCGATGTCATACTGGTGAACGTCCATTTGTATGCACAGAATGTGGCAAAAGCTTTCCTTTAAAAGGTAACTTGCTTTTTCACATGCGCTCGCACAATAAAGGCAGCAATGCCGAGAGACCGTTTCGCTGCGATCTTTGTCCAAAAGACTTCATGTGCAAAGGACACTTAGTGTCTCACAGACGATCTCATTCGGACGAGCGACCACATAGCTGTCCAGATTGTGGGAAAACATTCGTTGAGAAAGGAAATATGTTGAGACATTTGAGAAAACACGCGGCGGAAGGCCCGCCGACACAAGTCAGCACGCCGTCAGCAATTCCTCAATCCGGTGTTCTGCCGATTCCGGCGGCGGCTGTCCTGGTTGGCCATCCTTTGGCACCCCCTGCGCCACCTGTAGTCCCACAACACACCGTTGTTGTGCCTACTCCCCCCGGTGTATTGACCTCCTACTAAACCAAATGAAGAAAGCAAGCATGTGAAGGAAAAAACAGGAAAGCATTTTTTTCATAAGAAGAAAAAAAGAAAGTGAGTGTATACATAATGAATGTTTGTGTTTGTTAATCAATGAAAGTGCGCCGTTGAGTTGTTTCCTTTTTCCTTTTCTTGTTCGTCTGCTCTTTTCGTCGAAAGGGGAAAAAGAAAAATACTGTTGAAACTTGCAATTTCTACAGACACGAAAAAAAATAAGTTAATTGATGAAGTGCAGTTATGCGATATAAAAAGATCGTTGTGACTACAGCGCTCCATTGTTCATGCTTCAAGTGTGTCCTCATCGCAATGCTCGCTGTAGCTACGTACAAGAAGAACGAGAGAGTTTATACTATGAACTTCATCGGTTTTAAGCAGTTGACCGTGCTGCTATGGTTGATAGCAGTGTATTATCCAAAGTTTGAATTTCTGTTTTTCTTTTACTTTCTTTTTTCTCTTTTTTTTCCTTCTTTTTGTATATGAAACAATCAATTTATCAAAGAGAAAAATATTTGATATGTATTATCTAATTCCACGCTGATAAATATGGAATTGATAATTGTGGCGATTTGATAATGGGCACACGTAATTTCGCTATTAATTCGACTAACTGCGGTAACGATATAACGCTGTATTAGTTTTATACAATAATTTCGTGTAAAGAAAAGAAACAAAAAAGAAAAGTAACGAAATTAATGTATTTACTAATTGAAGTAAAATTTAGCGTGATATAATCTAATGCGCGATATACCTCTGAAATAATGGTATAATCATGATTTTAAAAGATTTATCGAGTAGCTTGCTTGAAGTACAAAATATATTTGGAATTCAAATATATTTCATTACGTGCGGATTTGTATTATTTTTATCACAATTTTATTAAACTGTTCTGTTTAAATTGAGACACGTAAAAAGAAATAACTATTCGAAATGATCATAAAATATAGAAGTATATACATTTGCATCTGTCACGTTGTTCAGCGCCACAAATTTTTTTACGTTAAATATTTATTGCCATCTATAATAATATTGTCATTTGTACAATAAACGTATCACAAATATTCTATTGATGTTAAAAAGTTGTTCTTTTTTTCTTATGAGTTCGCTTTTTTTACATACTTGGTTGTAGAAATAAAGGAAAATTTCTCTATGTAAAATCTAATATAATAAATATACATTTTATTACTTGCGTAAAAAAATTCTGCGTAAACGTGACTGAGAAAGATACTACAAATTATAATCGGTAATTTTCAATTTACTGATATTATATTTATGTTTACTTTAATGCGAGGAATTATATTTAAAAGAAACATTTTAAAACACGATGTATGTTTTATTGATACAGACATGAATGTCGAATTAAAGTTTCACGTTAGTTGTCCATTTTAGCTGTAGTCATGTTTTCTCTTTTTTTTAACTTTTCTTTTTGTTTAATCGTAATTATTGTAATAATGAGTGCAATATAATTTTGCCGATTTCACTTAAGCGTTGATCCGCAGCGAATACCAACTGTCACTACAGTAGATAACACTAAGAAAGCAAAAAATGATCAGGCAATAGTGATTCTATACTTTTTTTAGTGTATAGGGACGATTTTGGATTATTTTGATTCTTAAAATTAATTTTAATTGGTTAACGATATTTGCGTCTCGTCTACTTTAAAAAGAAGAAAAAAATATTATTGACTCTAGCGATCTTGTAAGGCCATGTATTTCGTATTTACGATTAAGAATAAAAGATAAAAAGTCGTAAGCCTGGTTCTGCGGTAACGTTGTTCAGTGCTGTAAGTTACCTAAATATATATCACATATTTAAAAGAGCATTCAAAATAAATAACTAATACGTACGTTCAGTAAAACGGAGAGAAAAAATTCACAATCGTATATTAACGATTGCTGCAGTGCCAGGTTTACCTTAATTATGTATAATACTATAATAATAACAACTATTGAATATAAACACGAGAAAGATAATAAATTTATTAACGCGCGTGCATGCGTCACATGGAGTTTCGTGTACGATAATGTTCGTCACTCTGTAGAAGTCTAGATTAATATATTATGATAAATATATCTAAGTATATCCAAACAGTTAGATATCACGTACTATTTAACGAGAAATGGGAAGAAAAAAAAATAACAAGGGAAAAATGAATTAATACCGCAGATTCACTTTATGAGTGACATACAAAATACATGTCACATACGGAGCGTAAAATTTTCACATTATATTCGTAGAAAAACAAAAAGTGATGTATAGAAAAAGCGAGAAATGAGGATATGAAGGAAATACGCAGTTTGTGCAAAGATACATCTAGAAAGGAAAAACAAATATATATGTATAATATATATTGCTCACGCTTATATACATTATGTATATATATGTTGTACACGACGTGAAAATGAAATAAAAAGAAGAAAACTATGATGCCGTACCGGAGACACTTAATGCAAGTAATATTTCCGACGATACGTGTAAAGAATTCCTTCGCAATTTATTCATGGCATCGCTCCTTGTAATTTGCTAAAAAGTCTAACGAGGAATAAATAGAAATAATGTTTATATGAATTATTATTATTATTATTATTGATAATATTATTATTATTGCATTATTATTATTGATAATTATACATTACGAAAAATAAAATTAAGAGTTGGTTCATGCTTTTAAGAGATTTAGTTTCGTGCTTGTTTTAAAAAAAAATAGCAAGCAAGTATCAGATCCAACTGTTCCCTTTGAATCGAAGCGATTTTATGAAAGATATTAAATAAAAGAACAGTAAGATACTACTTCACTAAGATTCGTAACCAGTCAGTTTTTTTGCGTAATTTTTAATAAAACTTCTAGCTTTTGTCTTTTTTCACTAACAATAAAAAATCCCTGAAATAGAAACGTTTCGGTTCAAAGAGAAGTATGATGGTGAAGGAAAGAATTCGAAATATGATTTACTTTTAGATAGAATGAAATATGTATAGAATTTTATTATGCACCATTGTAATATTATGTATCCCAGTTGTGACACAATATACACTGGTGTTATGTTAAATGTGAACACTACGTGTCCTGTTTTACATGTAATAATTTCCCATGCTTTAATTCTATTTTGAATAAAATTTTTAGTATAAATCAATTATTTCGTAAAAATAAACATTCGCGAATCGGTATAGTTTTATGTTCATTGTAAAAAGTGTAATATTCGTTTCAATAATACATATGATAAAATAGTAACATATAATAATGATGTAAAATAAAATTAATAGGTCAAGAATTAACTAAATATTTCATGTTGTATCGCTGCTTTTGAAAAGATAACATTGAACAAATGAAGAGTTCTTCAACGCAGTATAAGTTACTGGATAATTATAAATCAATTTCCGAGCTTCTTCAGCTTCGTTTTCAAATCTATGATTATTCTTACGTGCTGCAAAATAATTTTAATTTGTATTAATTTATGTTGACCTCGAAGATAAGATATAAAAACATTCAGATAAAATAGATATACCTTCATCAACAAAGAAATCAGCAAAATATTGCGAGATTTTAGTGGCAAGTTCCCCGTGTGGAATATTTTTTTTAATCACCCATTCGTACGAGTTCTTCTCTGGATGAAATTGCAGGCCATAAAAAGGAAAAGAAACGTGTTCCAATGAAGAAATGAATTTAATATTATTTATATCGTGATTGAAAGATAATATTCGAAATTGCTTCTGTATACCAGCATTTCTTAAAGCCTGCAAATGTTATGTTATGGATATTACGATCTTAAAGACATATTATTGCAAATCAAATAAATACTACATACTGTTCTTGTAACACAATATTGATGAAAGTTCGCTGTCACGGCCTTAGTTTTCAGTATGTTTATAATATTATCTGGAGTATTACCAAATATTCGACTGTTTCTATAATCTGAAATATATGAAAAAAATAATTCTTTGTTCTAAAAAAAAGCTAGTATGAAAAAGAAGATGTTCAATTGATAAACCTGGATCAAATTCTAGAGGGAGTGATTGATTGCTACAATCACAATGGATCCTGTGTTCAGAACGTTTAGCAACAACATACGTTAGCAATTCAAATCCTAAACATATCCCAAGGATTGGAAAATAATCACCGTTTTTATTCATTCGTTTCGCAATTCTATAAACAAATTCAAAAATATTAAGCAAAATCTTAAGAATGCAAGTCACAAAAAGTGCATTTATAATGTGTTTCAAATATAAGAAATATTTCTACATAATTTTATTACTCATAAATTGTATATCCTGCGTCTGCATATCCAGCACTTTGATTGAACCACGTCGATCCACCAGGCCATACGACTCTAAGAAATATAATATTTATTTATATATCATAATTTATATACTTTTTTCTATTTTTTCTTTTTACCCATTTATTTTATACAAGATATCTTCATAATAGGATTTGTTTTTTCCAATCCTAAAAAACAGTATCCTTTTAATATAATTATATGTATATTACATGGATAATTTGATGTATTAATTATAGTCACACACTTACCAAATTGGGACAACTCTTGCCCCAGCTCCTTCAACAAATTTTACATACGATGCAGCAATATAACTTATATAACTGTCTGGATATTTCTGATTTAAAGAATAACTTAGTTCTTGCGTTAGAATACCTTTTAAACATAAAACCAAATAAAATATGAAAAAAACAATTTAGTCAGCCAACAAATTAAATAATATTATATTTTTATTCAATCATACTGAGCTAATATCAAAAACAAAATTCGCAGTTTTTTTATATCATTAACAATAAGTCAAGTTAAGTTAATTTTATACACCACATTTGTAATTTTTCCTACTAAATTGCAAAAGCGTACTAAACAAGAAAAAATAAGGATAAAATGAAACATGAGCTTTTGCTATGAAATGCTATACATAACATTTTATTTCCTCATTTCTGCTTGTAAATTATGTTATTGCAATTTGGCAGAAAAATTGAAGTTATCCTGGAGATTATCAAATATTATTTCTGTACATATATTGTATATGTATGGAATATATGATGTCTGAATCATTATTCACAACATATGTTAAAATTTCGATATTTAGATCTAATAATGTTACTCAATCTATAATATAATGTTATATATATATATATATATAATTAAGTTATGTATATAGACGAAACTTCTTATACTTCTGCAACACAGTTTGACATAAAGTCCCATCCAAAGAAAAAAAAAAAAAGAAAAATCATAATTATTAATAGTACATACATATGTGTAATGCACAATTCGATACTTACCAATTATTGGACGATTATTTAATGTAGAATTTTCATTGCCAAAACAAGACAGTCCTAAAACAGTCGTAGATTGTGAAGCAATGGATGTAGAGGCTATAAATATTATCAATAATGCCGACATTATAGCAAGTGGAAATTTCTTAAAGCAAAGAAAGCGACTATCAGTTGTATTATAATGAAATTTTCTGTTAAAATAATTATCGATACCAATCATTATCTTTTATTTTTATTATCTTTAACAGTTCAGATATATATCGCTAATTCTTCTACGTCAAGAATCATAGATTATTTTTAAACATGATGAAGACGTAAGCTGATAAGAGATAAGAGATTTTCACTAACAAAGATTTTCACTAAGTAAATCGTGAAAATTTATACAAATAGGTAATACGCCTTTAATGATGTAAAATATACGCAGTCTATGTGCATTAGGCACGTAAAAGTAATTATCTTTGTAGTCTAATATATAATATATATAGCAAGTATTATGAATGATTTCTAAAATCGTTTTAAATTGATGACTTAGACTTTTGTATAATTTGAACTGATACTATTTATACATCTCAAATGTAAAATGATTATTGTCAAAGTTATCGTAACAAAGCAATATATCATAATTATTTTTGATAAATTATATAGTCATAAAATAATGTTATTTTAAATACTATTTCGTATAATGTTAATTCAATTTATCTCTAGGTATACTCTGAAGTGAAGCATTAGCGCTTTAATATCGATTTCATACTTGTGTAGCGACCATGTTCTCACATAATAGCAAACTCATCAATAAATAAATTATTAGAACATTAATCAGATAAACACCAATTTTTAAATTTCTAAAATAAATTTTTAAAGTTTTAAACATTACAATCATCCGACATTTCAGATGAATTCTGACTTGAATTGGTATAAACTAAAAAATATTCCACTTACATATTACATATAGCAATTAATTTTTTCTGAGAGATTAAATATTAAATGTTATAAGTATGTTAAATTTATTAACTTATTATGTCATTTGGTAACGTTCAATGTTAAGTTTTCACACTGCATAACTTCATTTCTTGTTTAGTTCGAATGCTAACTGTTAATAATCATTAAAATGCAATTTCGAAAATAACAAATTATACGAGCTTTATAAGACAATGACAAGGAATATATTAAATAGCAGTGCAACAATAGTGTGATTTTTATTACGGAAGATGCATAACATACGTTATGTGTACGAAATAATATGCTCATAAAGTGTTAAAAACCGTTAGTATATCGTATACATAAATCATTAAAAATAAACAACTTATATACTACTTTATATGCAGTTTTTTACATACTATCTTTTTAAGATTCAATATTGATGTATTTTTAAAAGATTTGCATGTTCAATTCTAACTCGAGAAATTCAATAAGGAAATGTTAGTAAATTGTACTCGAAAAAATACCAATCCTATACCAGCATATGGTATGATAAAGTATAGTGGAGTAATTAGATTTGAAGGAAATGGTAATAAATACTTTAACAATTCTCCACGCAGTACGTACATTAGACTTTCGTCACCATGTACAAAAATAGATAAATGGTCGAAAAAATTGGCAAATAATCAAACATTTCAATTTCAAGTTCAAAAGTAGGCCAAACATTTTTGCCACAACATTTTTTCTTTTCAATGTATGTTTTACTTTCTCAGACAGTCAACGATAATGATTTATTTTTAATGGAAAAAAGTTAAACATAAGTATAATAAACTGTTTTTTTAAGTATATGGATAATTTGATATGATAAATTAAATTATAGAAAACATTTTTAACATTATTTAAATACATTTCTGTTTTACATGATACATTTCAAAACTAAGAATAATTTAACGTTACGCTGAGATCGGTAATAAGTTTTCTTTCGAAATATCTTCAGTTTAACAAACTTTGCATTCATTTATTAATAAAGTGAATATTGCTAATTACAAACTTCACCAGTGAATCGTGAAATGTTAGACATAATAAAAAGAGATAAAAATCAAAGATTCTAAATTGAAAAAAATATCTAAAAAAAAACTACAACGAAAAAATATACATATCGTGTAATAAATTAATTTATGTTTAGAAAAACAAAAAAACAATAGAAAAGGAAGATAGCATATGCAAAAATTCCATAGAATCCAGCATTCTATCATTTTGTGAAAAAGAAAGTAGCCATTGTACATGTAAGGAAGAGGAATCGTGCACCTGCTTAAAAAACGAAAGAAAATTAAAAAAATTAAGCAAAGAGTCTTCGATTTGCTATACAAACTTGGAAGAAATCCAAAAGTTAACAGACACTTCAGAAACGAAGTTAACAGATTCATTCGAAAGTAATAATTGTGTAAAAAGTAGCAGAGATACAAACATGTATCTAGATCTGTTTGAACCTTATCCTCGAGAAGAACGACGAATAAAAGATTCAACACTACCTGGATATAATATAACTTTGATTCTTCCGCAGTGTGTTTGCTTAAAAAATAAGCTGTCAATACTAAATCTCCCAAAAATCACATAATTTACATAAAACATTATCATTATTATGATTATTATGATTACGATTTTCTTAATTTTATTCATGTCTACTGAAGTTTTCTTTTTACTTATGTTCTGCATTTACAATTCTTCAAATTAAAATTCATACATGAAATTATAACTTCTCACTGGCTATACACACAAAATTATAAAATATTACACTCTATTTTTCAATTATAAAATGTCTTGTATAGGTTAAATATTTTTTAGTATTTTTTAAATACTAAAAAATATACTTCAAATATATTACTTATTGACAGATTATCAAGAAAGTAGACAAATTGAAAACAACGAGAATGATGAAAATATTTACGAGAAATCCGAAACTATAAGCGAATTAATATGCACCTAGTGTTGTAGAACTTTCATGGAATATAATGCAGTCTGGCACAATTGAGAAGATACCATAGAAATATATAACAAATATATTTGAGTAATATGTTATTTTATAATGAAATAAAATGTTTGCATTTTTGATCCGTGTAAATATAATTTATATTTTTTAAATTACAAAAATGAAAAAATGAATCAATAGATTTGAACATATGTTCAGAAAAACGTATAAACAGAAGAAAATTTTAAAACAACATATTATTTGCAGAAAGTATTTTTAAAAAAGATAAATAAATCATATTTTTCGATATGAAATTAATATGAACAATTGATAAAATAATATTAAAAAGATTATGTATAATATAATATCGTTGTATCCTAATATACATATATCGGTAGTATTTTTTTTTAAATCAATACTGTTTGGAAAAATTACTTGATAAATTATATTTATCAAAATCATTTAATTTTTAACTATCTGAAATATGTTTGAATCGATAGTATTTGCTCAGATTGATTTAAACGAAACATCCGGTATGTACGGAATTAATCATTGGAAAGTATAGTGTTGCAAGCAAAGCAATTTTCTGCGTTTGGCCCTCAGTGAAGCGGTTTTTGTATAAAAATAATCGCGGAGAGGAGTAATTAATTTTTAATAAACTATTATTTTTCAAGAAATATTTTAAAATATAATTTAATCAATAATGGTAAGATTATTTATAATTAATACTTAGAATTTTGTTTCTTAGCCACGTGCAGTTTTATAGGTTATATTTCACATGTGATGAAACTTCTACATTTAGTTAATATAAATATGAAAATAATTATATTCATAATACGAAATAATTGTATTTATAATAATAAGATTATTATAATTATTTTCATTTTCTAATTATTTACATTTCTTTTGTAGGGAGATGAAGTTAATCCTAAAGCTTATCCTTTAGCAGACGCTACTTTAACTGCTAAAATTTTGAATTTAGTACAACAAGCAATGAATTATAAACAACTGAGAAAAGGAGCTAATGAAGCAACAAAAACATTAAATCGTGGTTTATCAGAATTTATCGTAATGGCCGCAGATGCAGAACCTTTAGAAATTTTATTACATTTACCATTGTTGTGCGAAGACAAAAATGTACCATATGTATTTGTTAGAAGCAAACAAGCTCTAGGTCGTGCTTGTGGTGTATCTAGACCTGTTGTTGCTTGCTCTGTGACAGTTAATGAGGGATCACAACTAAAACCACAAATTCAAGCCATACAGCAAGAAATCGAACGTCTCTTAGTTTAAATACTTTGTACCTGATTCTAAAATCATTCTTTTTAAATTGAAATGTAATTAAATTGTCATTTTTATTTTTTTATACAGAATTTTTCAAAAATTGAAATTCATGCATCTTTTATGGATGAAAATGCATGTGTAAAGCAACTTTGTGAATAAAAACTTGAGTAGAAAGTAGACATTGTATTACTGAATAAGTTAAAATAAATCTTTCTTATTACATAGAAAATTCCTGATCTTTTATGATTAATTTTCATCTTGTGTAAAAAGAAGTATTTTATTTAAAAAATTGGAGATTATTATTGTTTTTCAAAAACTACAAGTATAAAAAATTACATATTGTATATGTTTTTCATTATTTTGGTATGTTTAGTTTTTGCAAGAAATATCCATAATAAAGCAAACATTACTGTATGCCTGTCTAATAATTGATATTAAATTAGAGTAAGAGTTAGATATTCTTTTTCACACATCTACTTTTGACAACCATAAAAAATTGGCTAATTAATGAAAAGGATATAAAAGGATACAAATAAAACGTACATAAATAAATAAAATTTATATTATAAAAGTTATATGTAGAAAACAAAAAAACATATATGTATCAATGAAATTAATAATTAAGCTATAAATTATTAATTAAAATAAGGTAAAATTACAGAAGTCCAATTACCGTGCCACCGATTTTTTTGAAATTTGTGCAATTCCTCTCGAAATTTTTTATCTAATTGATGTTGAATATTATTATTAGGAAAGTTTGCGAAATACGATTTTAATTGTTCTGCTAATTCCTTGTCATTTGAAAAGATCATTCCATTTTCATTGTGTTTAACAAGTTCTGATAAACTGAAAAATAAATATTGTAATAAATATTGTACAAAAAATCTGTATATAAAATATAAATATCAAAGTGTGTCAGAGCATATTACATAAATTTCAATTTTTTAAAATAATTTTTCAAAAAAAGTAAAAAGATCTAATTAAACAAATAGAAATTATACTAACAATAAGATATGTCATATTACCATCCTACTTACCATTTAAAATTATATGCACAAACTGGAAGCTCACAACCAAACATATCAATGACTTTCATAGGTAAATCCAATCCACTAGATGATGTATGAAGACAAATACCTAAATCCGCGCTTGCTATAAATAAAAATTATATTCCTTATATATAAAAGTATTTTTGGGGGAATGAATATAAAATACTACATCGTATTTCAATACCTAGCATTTTAGGATAGTCTTCATTTTCAAGCCATGGTGTTACAATTGTAATATGTTTCCAATTTTTTAGTTTTATAATAGCTACATAAAATTCTTTCAAAGGACCTTTACCAGTTATTATACAAATTAAATCAGGTAATTTGCAAGTTTCTTGATCAAAAGCATTTTCATATTCTGCAAAATAAAAGATATAAAAAAATAATTTAACAATAAATGTAATAATAACTGTTAACTCAATTACTAGTCACAATAGCATAACATACCCTGTAATGCATTTAGTAGTATTGAAAAATCTTCATCTTCTGTCCAACTTGTACTTGATACAATAAAACCAGGTCTTTTAGGGGATAACTGTATTTCATTTTCTATATATTCTGTAAATATAGTTGAATTTTCTTTGGTACCTTTTAATTCTTCATATTTCTCACTTAATTTTAACAAAAACATATGTTTTTCTGTTAATGATATAGGCTGAAATTCATTTGATGGACGATCATACAATACATCAGCTCTGAATAAAAGAAAAAAAAGTATTAAATTATGAAATTAAAAATAAAAATTATACATGAAATAATACTAACTTGATTCCCCATTTTAATTGTAGATCTTCTTTCATTGCTTGAGATACACAAAAATTATGATTTGCTTTTAAACCAAAATATGTTTCAATTACTTTTGCAAGTTTTACAAGTAAGTGATCATCTTTCAAACTTAATGCCATAAGAGTATGAGCATAATTATGCCAATCAATAATAAATTTTGAGCTAACGATGACAGAGTAAAACCAACAAATTGGAATTGTTGGTATTGCAGGTGGATTCTGTATTAATATATAACTTGATATATGTTTAGTGAATAATATCCATAAAAGGTTAAATGTTTGCCATATGGTTTTTATCACATAACAAGCTGAACGAGATAATTCTGAAATATTAAAAACAACATTTTTATTTTTAAATAATTGTATTCTTCTTACTCTAAATGAAAAAAGTACAGTAAGTAATATTACATACGTACTATTTTCCATACTTGGAGGAGGATAAAGATAATAAACACGCAGAGAAGGATTTTTTCTTATTTCTTCTAAGGGTAATGAACCAGGATAACCTATAATATCCACCGTAAAACCTTCTTTTATAAACGATATTGCATGGTATTGTATTCTGGGACTCCTTCCCAAGTCTCCAAGAACGACAATACAAACATTTTTATGTCTTTTATATACATCCAAATATAATTTTCTAATTAAAAACAAAATTACAAGGATCGTACAAAGTAAACAAACGCTCCACATGTTGAAGATTTAAAATGTGTAATCACCCTACAAATCAAAAAATTTTATACATATATTTTATCACTAGATGATATACCAATCTAAAAAATACGAAAATTCTATACAATGTTACAAATATAGATTTATAACAAAATTTAGAAAATGTCTTTGTTTGTTGTAAATTATAATTTTATGTATTTATTTATCTAATATTTCTCAGTAATATGTAATCAGTAATTAATGTTTCTTAATAACAATATATTAAACATATATTATTTAACATAAATAATACATTATATTGGAGATTATTATATATATTTGTTCATATATTTAAATGCATATAGCATCTAATATGCATTTTAATTAATTAAAAATAAATAGATATCTGTCTATAAGGTAAATTTTGTATAAGATAAAATAAAATATATTTTGTATAAGGTATAAAGTATAATACAATACTTTTTCATCTATTACTGTATTAATCTATATTAATATGTGTGCGTGCAAAGATTCATATATATAACTAAACTGGGAAATTTAACTTTTTAATATTGTCAACAAAGCTCTAAAGCAAATGATGACTATATAATCAGATCTTATCTACAGTGTATATATGCGTCGTGGCGCCAAAATCTTACGCTATTTCTGTGTAAATTGCAAATTTCATATTATTTGATTTTATTATTTAATTTTCACATTTTCGAATTTTTTTCAAGTAGTGATGAAGAATGAAAAATATTACACAGTATTTTGAGGACGCTGTGTCACGATCTAACAGTAACATATCAATGCACTCCAATAATGATACGAAAGAAGAAACAAAGTGTAAAAATGGTTCTAAACAGAAACGTAATCGCGTGAAAATTAAAATATCTCGAACGAATTCTAAAGAAAGGATGTGTGACATCGTGGAAGATAGCAATGATATGATTGATAAAACGCCTAGTCCATTTGCTAAACTAAACAACAAAGATAAAAAATCACCCGAACAATCTTGTTCTCCAAAAAGTATTCGAAAGACTTTAAGAAAAAACAGATCAATAGATCAATCTTTGGATTGTTCAAAATCGGAGACAAGTGACTTGAATGTCAAAAATAAAAAGCAAGGAAATAAGGAAGATAACATTCGAATTTGCCCAAGTAATAATAAAAGATATAAAAAAGGCTCAAGCAATAAAACAAATATCAATGAAAATCTAAATGTAGATAATACAATGAAAACTAAGCAAATTATTGATGATGTACAGGTAATAAATATTGATTCCAATGAGATTGATAGCCGAGAAGAATCAAATGCTTTTCAAATTCTTATGAATCGTAACAAGGTGGTTCACTGTGTATCACCAGTAAAACTATTTCCTCAAAATGAAGAAGTAACTAATAAAAAGTCAGAAGAATATAGGGAGAAATTAAAACGTTCTAAAGAGAAATTAATAGCATTAGCTGATAAGAAAGGATATTCTAAGAGAAAACTTGCAGAGATGGAAGAAGCTGAAAAAATAGAACAGATGATACAAAGTCGTGTAAAACTGTTTAAAGGTGAAGAGAAGAAGAATAATTTGAGTACAACTGTTTTAAATCATAAACATTCACCTGGTAGTTTGTTAAATTATTTCAGGTAAAGAGCTAACAGTTTTCATTTTTTATTGTACCTATGAGATTTTCTTATTTTTAATACTCTTTTTTTGTGCTTATTTTTGTTCATAACAGCAAAACTCCAGTGGATTTAGTGGATGGTATGACAAATATGTCCACCATTGTGGTAAAAGCTGATGTACATATGACAGAAAACAACAGTAGATATGATTTACATAATTCAAGTTCAAGCAATAAAGTACAATCAAATAAAAAAAATGAATTAGAATTCTCCCAAATGGATGACATTAAAATCATAGAATCTGAAAATGTTAATATCTTGAATGATAATAAAAAACAACAGAATAAACAACATTACAAGCATAGATGGTCTTTAAGAATAAAACTTCAGACTTATGAAAATGAAAATGTGTCACCAGGTATTTTAAACCTAAGTATTATTTCCATTACATAAAAAAAGAAATATGTATGATGAAAAAAATGTATGGGAGTCTCCCAAATTATAAAAAATATTTTGGTCGAAGGCAATGAATTTTTACACTTTGATCGCTGATTTTTTAGTTATAATATTTTATTATATATACATTTGTGATATATTTCTCTAAAATAAATGTTTTACTTTTACTATTTAAATAGGTGATAGCAGTGATGAAGAATTATTCTCACCAACAAATAAAGTTAAATTAAATGTGAAGAATTATAAAAAGTTTGGATTAATTAAAGATTCAGATTCAGAAAACTTGTCAACAAAAAGTAAAAATGAAAAAAAGATATCAAATATCAATATTAATAGACATACAAAATTAGAATTAAAAGAACTTGAAAATTCGGAGAATAATAACAAGTGTTTAAATGACAAATTTGAAAATAAACAGAAATTCGATAAGTTTGGTCAACAAGAATCAACTTTGATAAAAAATTTTAATACAAATGTAAAAAATTGTGATAATACTAACTTAGGAAATATTGCAGAAGATAAACAAAGTGAAGAAGATTGTATAATTATTAATAACAATAGTTTAAAGAAATTAGCCCCTTTATTTACAAAACGAAAAAAGCTAAATCCAGAGGTAATTGAGGCACGACGATTATTTTTACAGCCTGATATGACAGATAATAATAACAGAATTAAAAATCGAAAAGTAAATGTTTGTGGTATATTACCATTTCCACTTATTAGTCATATTGCACAGTCCAGTAATTTATCTTGGAATAAAAGTAGCATTTTTAATATACCAAAGAAAATCTGTAATGATTATGTTCCAGTTATAGACATAAAGAATTTCAAATCATTAATAGAGTTTTCCACAAAAAAATCAGAATCTTTGGAAAAAATTAATAAACCGAAAATTCAAGACGCATTAACAGATATAGAAAAGCACTATTCAAATGTAAGAGACATGTGGAATGTTATTTCACTCGTTAAGAAGCAATCTAATAAAGTAGTGTCTCCTAAAACAAGAGGCAAAAAGAATAGACAATTGGGAAAAAGGGAAACAATAGAACACAAAACTGAAGAAGATCAATTAGAATATTGTAATTGGATTTACAAATACAGACCAAAAAGTTCTCAAGAAATAGTTGGAAATGAAGAAGCGGTGGCAAAATTGAAAGAATGGCTAACTGGATGGAAAAAAACAGAATGTACAAATGACAATGTTAGTAGTGGAGATGAGTTTTATTCATCTGATAGTTGTCAAACAAAAATTAGTGAAAATAACCAAGTAGCTGTATTACTCGGACCATATGGATGTGGTAAAACTGCTAGCGTATATGCAGTAGCAAATGAATTTGGTTACACGTCAGTATTAAAGAATAATTTAATTGAGATATAAAGTTAGTTATGTTACATAATTTGTAATAACGAAAAAAAATATTTTTTAGCGTATTAGAGCTAAATGCATCATCTAGAAGAACAGGGAAAAAGCTTCTAAAGGAATTGGAAGAAGCAACTAAATCACATCGAATTAAGAAAGATGAGAAAACATCTACATTTTGCGATTTAATTTCAGATGAAATTGTACCAAAGAAAATACCACAAAACTCTCTCATTCTTTTAGAAGATGTTGATATTGTATTTGAAGAAGATGAAGGTTTTATTTCTGCTACATATCAATTAGCATTAAATTCAAAGCGTCCGATTGTTATGACGTGTCGAGATGTTTATCCCAATCTTAATAAAATGGCATCTCAGCAAAATAGAATCTATTTTCAAGAGCCTACTGGTAATAGAGTTTCTGTTTTATTAGAATTAATTTCATTGGCAGAAACTGGTTATAAACTTCCATTTAATTGCATAACAGTAAGTCAAATAATTTATAATTGATATCATTTTAATTTTTTAGAAATAAAGTAGAAAATACTAAAATTCTTCTTCTATAGGAATTATTGCAAACTGGCGACTTACGGAAAGCTATATTACAATTGCAATATCTATTATTATCTGGTCCACCACGTATATTGGAACAGACCATAAATTTTAAGAATTCATTTTGGCAAAATGTACGGTATTATGTATACAAGCCAGCAATCAAAGTAAGTAAAAAAAGGAAAAGAAAAGGAGCTATAAATCACAAAGTAACAAATGATGACAGAAACATAATAAGTGATATAGCAAACAAATTAGATAATATAGCTTTAGTCTCATCTTTAATTGAAATAGAAGACTCTGCTTTAGACTTGTGGAAAATAAAAACACAACCCAATTTATCTTTGCTTGAAAATACTGCTCTGTATTCAGCTTCTAGTAATATAAGTCTAGAATTGGCTGAATGGATAGGTAATAAAGTTATATGTAAAGAGCAGTTGAATAAGTACAATGGAACACAATATCCAAATAGCATTATGTTAAAAAAACAATTAAATAAAGGTGTGAACGTAGCCTTATCACAAACTACATCATTATTACTCGATCATCAAATTATAGCTACAGATTATATCCCATCTGTAAGAACAATATGTAGAGCAGAAGAATCAAGAGCTAATAGCAATAATAAAAGAGGAAATCGATTCTTTCATTATCTTCATAATTTAAAAACATCATCTACATTGTTCAAACCTAATATTTTAGCAGCAGCATGCAAAATAATGTATGATAAAGTTGACAATGATGTACAAAGTGAAAATATCAATTTCATATAATTATCAAGTTTTCTATTAAATGTTATAAAAATTTGTAAACATAGTGCAAATATTATTTTTAAATATAAATACTTTGGAAAATGCAATAGATATTTAAAAATCCTAAAAGGTGTTGATTGATTATACTGGTGTTATTTGATTATATTTTATTTTTTAGTCTCCTGTTTTAAAGGAAATAAATTGTAGATTGTTGGCACTTCTATAATGTTAAAAGCGTCCTTGAATATTGTATGTATTAATAATAAAGCAAAATAAGTATGTTATTTTGATTTTTAAAATTTATATTATATAATTCTTTTCTCGAAGTGTTATAGTTTTTGAAGTGTTGTATAATATTAATGTAATGTATCATACATAGTGCCTTCATCTATTAAATTGACTGATTATAACATTTTGAATTTTGTGATTATATAAATAAAAGATATATTTATTATTAATCAATTTTTATTTTTTTAGTAAGAATAATATATTATAGAACTTAAATTTTTATATGATGCAATTTGCGATTTAATTCTTCAAATTTTAGAATTTTTCGAATGAAAAAGTCTCCGTAACGGTGAGCTACTTTTGTATCCGCTATATGAATCATATCGTGATCGATATAAAAATCCAGCTGTAAGAACATGCATTGTCATTATTTTTTTACTGACAGTAATCACTATTATATCTAGTAAAAAATTACCTCTGAGCCAGATTGGAATTTCCCATCTAATCCTGATGCACCTTTTGTCCAAACAATGTTTTTCATTTTATGCTTAAAACATAATAAATGAATAGTTAATGCACTGACTTCTTTATCTAAATCCCAACTCTCATCAGGCCTAGTATTACTACACATAAATGTAGCTAATTTACTCAATGGCAAAGTTGTATATAATTTCAAATATGAACGTATAGTTGGTAACATTTTTTGTTGTACAACTTCATCCATAAAGACTTGAGTTTGATGTTTAATTGCTTCTCGAACATAATCTTCATTTGGATTGTCAGGATTTGGTGGTGTAAGAGACAAGAACTTTGGACATGCAAATAAAAAGCATGATTCAAATTCAACTACATCTCCATATTGCATTTTATACATTTTTTCATGATAATTTTTGTCACGTAATGCTTGTTGTAATCCTTCATCTATACATTGTGGATGAAGAACAAGACAGATTGCTAGCAAATGGTACATTTGCTCCGTTTGTTTATTAATCTGATCATTCTGGTAACTTCTTGTTGCAAACAACTGTTTTGTTCTTTGAATATATAATAAAATACCAGAAAATGTCCTGATTGCATCTGCATATCTGCGCATCATCATATAAGCAAAACCAACATAATATGCTGTTGATATTTGACAACCAGGAACATGTGAGTATGCACTCTTCTTATAAAGTTCAACATTTTCTAATACTTTAATGGCCTGGTAATAGTCTCCCAGAAGAGAATGTAAACGTAACAGACCCACAAGAGAGAAATATCCAAGCATTTTATATAAAGAGTGTCTTCCGAATACACCAGCTACAGAATCTGGGTCACCACCACTTGCGTATACTTCCAATTGACTTTTAATTTTTGATTTATCTACTAAATAATGAAGAACATTCAAAACGCATAAAACGTCCCACGTTTTGTTATGTGCATTTAAATTTTCAATTTCCTCAGGTGTTTTATTCGATAAATTGGCACGATATTGCGTAAAAGATTGAAACTGATAAACAAATTCATCAATGAGCTCCCACAACCATTGATCAGGTAATTCCAATTGAACTGGAGTCTCTGGGCGCAAGATAAAATTAAAAAGATCACAGTAATTATAAAATGAACCAAGACGTTGTTCCAATGTTGGCCCTTGCATACGAGCATAGATATGACGATAATAAAGTTCTTTGTATAAAGTAAGAAATACTGCATCATTGTCAACTATGTGTGCAATTGTTTGAGTATCAGGCCAAGAAGACTTATCGAACAATTGTTCTGAAATTTTTGGAAATGTTGTCTCATAAAGATTTTGAATCTCAAAAATCATTCCCTCGTTTATACAATTTCGTAAGAAAATCAGAAAGTTTCGTACAACTTCTGGTACTTGACGATAACCTAGTCTGTCATATTGGTCACCATGAACATCTGGCGGCCCATAATCATCATAAGCATCATACTGAAAATAGTACGAGTATTAATTAACATGACAATTTCAAAATGTTAATATTTATTCAATCACTATTTACCTCGCCATAATCATCGTACATGGTACTTATTTTTAAGTAACTTTATATAAAACACTCGATGTAACCTAATGCTTTCACGAAGCTAAAAGCTAACCAAAAAGATTGGTGGATAGTTCACGAGTTACTAAATAATATGATCATAAACTAATCCACACTAAGATATACTTCTCCCATTTATATTTGGAAATTCAAATTCAAATATATCTATTAGATGGCGTAATCAAACAACGATGTGTAGCGACCTCTACTTCGAAGAATTTAGATCAACGACATCTATGTTCCGTCGAGATGTGTATTTAATATAAACAATAGAATATTTAAAAATNTATTTTGTGATATTGATAATATTTTTATATAAACAACTAAAATTAATTACGGAGTTATTATTTATTTATAGTATTGTGATATAAATATAAATTATAATCACTATAGATGTGTAGCGGTGCCAGATAGATTCGTTTAGGGAAGAGATAGAATTATGTTGACGTATGGTTATAAATGATATAGAAGGGAAGACAGGATGTACTAGCCGCTATAGACACTAAAATGCTAGCATCGCATAGCGGTAAAATGGTGGAACTAATTTATATTGCTCTCCTTGATTACCACCGTCGCCCTCCTTGTCTACAGCGCTAATATGTCTGTCCTTATCGCACACTATTGCCCTCTTTGTCTACCGCGCCAATACGTCTGTCCTTGACGCACTCTATCGTTCTCTTTGTCTACCGTGTGTATATGTCTGTCCTTGTCTAATGACGCTAGACAAGAAAAGCAACAGTGTGCGACAAAGACATCCTCCGATCTATTGTAAAAAAATTCTACTTTTTTTTATACAGACGTTTCTCTGGGACAAAACACACATAGAAAGAAAGCGGGGAGCTTAATTCTAAGGAGGCATATAAAAAAGTTCGCAAATTATTCCTCTTAATTAGGTTTTTCTCGTAATTAGTGCGAACTGTCACAAAGTGGACATGGTGGCGCCATCTAACGGTAACTCAGCGGTACTAATTATTTATAAAAATACTTATTTCTGCATTTTACAGGTCACATGAAGGGGTATGAAAAGAAAGCTAAGGGTCTAATTAGGGTAATACAATCGCCAAAGTTCACAATCCATTTCGCTAAATTAGGTTTTTTCGCAAATGAAAATTTCTCTGTTTACGGGAAATCTAATATTCACTAAATCTGAATCTGAATCTAATATTCACTATAGTTTGCGCGCAATTATGCATTCACTACTGGCACTACTGCTAACGTAAACGAAATTGAAACATTCTTTATATACGTAAACTATACTTAAACAAAACATGAAATGCAAGCTTAGGGTCTCTAAAATCGAAGACGCAACCATAACAGTTCACAAATGATTCCTCCTAATTAATTTCTTCTCGAAATTTGTAGAAAAATTCACGTCAGTTTAAAGGCGACAGTGGCGCCATCTATTGACACTTCGACGGTACTAAAAGTAGGAAATTCTGTTTTTAGTACCATCAAGTTATCAATAGATGGCGTCACTGTCACTCGTCATGAAGGGATTGAAATTGGCGATGATAATGCGAGGATAATGTAGGAAGTGATGGTGTGGGTAAGGTGAGGAAAGGTTGTGCGTTTCGTCTCAGAGTCGCTGCTTAGACTCATCAGTGGGGCTGATGGCAGCGACTCCTTACCCCAGACGCTTGTTGTTGTAACTATTCGCTAGGCTGGATGGTCACCCATCCTAGCGGTTCCGCACTCTGTTTGCTTAACATCGAATATCGGTTGACTTCGACGCTAGGCGCACAGCCACTTGCGGCTTGTACAAGTTTCGAACATCAACTTGCACAAGTGGCTGTGCGGCTAGCGTCGAAGTCAATCGAGGACAACAGTAGTAAACAAGGATAGCAATATAAATTAGTTCCACCGTTTCACCGCTACGTGTCCCATGCATTTCAGTATCTGTAGCGGCTAGTATATTCAGTCTTTCCTTCTATGTCATTTGTAACCGTACCTCAACATAATCCTATTTCTTTTATAAAATCATTTAAGTTCTACTATAGATGAACGTTTCTCACTATAATTTATAGTTTATGGTAAACATAGTTTATGGTCTTTTTATATAAGCATTGACAAACCAATGCTTTTTAATGTTACATCACGATACAAGATGTATGAATAGACCGTATACAATGTATTTTTATAGACAAGGTTCATATACCTCGTTTGTGCTTAAGCATAGTGTCCTAAAAATCAGTGATTTTTTTTTTGGTCGGTATTTCAGACTCTGAGACACGAAATTCCATTGCATGCCCAATCTATTCTATCTTTAGTCAATGATGTAAGTATATTGTCAATTTCTCACGGGCACCACGCGTAAGAGAGTATCGTTTTTGTAAATGTAAATTTGTTGTGCATTTGTTAGATATATAAAATGGGTATACTAGAAAAAATATCGGAAATTGAAAAAGAAATTGCACGAACACAGAAGAATAAAGGTTTGTTCATGTCTTTAGATAAAATTATTATTTTCTAACCTAACGCTTTTTATAACAATTTCAAGAAATTTTAGATATGATATAAACGTTTGTCATTTCATATATCTTTTTATTAAAATTAAGTATTGTTATTAAAATAATTTAATTTCAATAAATTATTTTGAAGTTACTCAAATCTTTACCACTTATTGTGCTTTATTGCCTATTGTTTTATTTATTAATAAAATCTATTTAGATACAATATTTGTATTTCTTATTGATTATATTTATTATATCTTTTATCATCATGAAATAGTATATATATATTTATTGTGTAGAATGAAAAGATCATATATATATATATATATATATATATATATATATGTTTGCTATAAAAAATAAGTTGAATAATATAACTAATTTAAAGTACAAATTTATTTTCAGCTACTGAATATCATTTAGGTTTGTTAAAAGCAAAGCTTGCAAAATACAGATCACAACTTTTAGAACCACCAAAGAAGTCTGAGAAAGGAGAAGGCTTTGATGTCTTAAAATCAGGAGATGCAAGAGTAGCGTTAATAGGTTTTCCTTCTGTAGGAAAATCTACTTTGTTAAGTACATTAACACACACAGAATCTGAAGCAGCATCTTATGAATTTACTACTTTAACTTGTATACCTGGTGTTATTGAATATAAAGGAGCTAATATTCAACTTCTTGATCTTCCTGGAATAATTGAAGGTGCTGCACAGGTATTTGCCTGATTAAATTTTATGTAATGCATAATATATAATATGTGATATACAAGGTCAGTTACCTAAAACAGGGTATGCAAATATATATTTCTGTTAATGAAAAAGGCTATTAATGAAATGTTAAAGAGAAAAGTTATATAATTCAAGGAGCCTAATATGATGATATAAACAAATTTCTTGATGAATATTATCTTCAAATCATTGTTTAACTTCTTTTGAATGTCATCCATAATTTTTTAAACGGCAGTATATATATTTTTGACTTTATTGCATAGTAGCTACTATTAAAATAATTTAACAATATAGGATATTGTGACCTTGAAATAACCTTGTATCTGGAAAAAAACATTTACATTTCTGGACCATTAAGTTTACTAATAACACATATGTGATTATTGAAATGCACAAACATAATTATCAATAAATTACAAATATATGTTATCTGTTATTATCTTCGATTTAACGCCATGTTGTGTTAATTTACTGATGTTCGTTTGACATTCAGATATGAATGCTGCTTCATTCTAACTCGAGGACGCAAATCTTGGTATATATGATTATAAAAATTGTAAGACGACAACAATTTTAATTGAAATAGTTTTATTAAAATTACATTAAGTGTTCAAAATGACCTAAAGCACTAATACAAGCATTTAATCTTTATATAAAATTTTGAATGGCTCGTAGATCACAATGCATATAATATCCTATAATAGCTTAAAAAGTAAAAAATATGCAATGCCATTTAAAAAATTATGGATGACCTTCAAAAGAAGTTAAACAATGGCTTGAAGATAATCAAGTCATTCAATCAGGAGATTTGTTTATGTCATCATATTTATTTTTTTGATTCACATAAATTTTTTCTTTGATATTTTTTTCTATCTTCAATACTAACAAAAATTTTAGCGTCCTGTTTTCTGTGACTTATTCTATATACACAATATCTGATTATATATACATATTATAATAGTTTATAAAATTCTTACATTTGTGAATACTGTGTTAAGGGTAAAGGAAGAGGTAGACAAGTAATAGCTGTTGCAAGAACAGCAGACTTAGTTCTTATGATGCTTGATGCAACAAAACAAGATGTACAAAGGCAACTCTTAGAAAAAGAATTGGAATCAGTTGGTATACGACTTAATAAAAAAAAACCAAATATATATTTTAAAATAAAAAAAGGAGGTGGATTAGCATTTAATTCAACATGTCCATTAACAAAAGTTGATGAAAAATTAGTTCAAATGATTTTACATGAATATAAAATTTTCAACGCCGAAGTTTTATTTCGTGAAGATTGTAGTGCAGATGAGTTAATCGATGTGATTAATGCCAACAGAGTATACTTACCATGTCTTTATGTACATAATAAAATAGATCAAATATCAATAGAAGAAGTGGATAGAATTGCTAGACAGCCTAATAGTGTAGTAGTTAGGTAAAACTTTTCTTTATGTAATTTTTTTATAGAAAAATTTTGTCTATTAAAATTAAAAATTATAAAATTATTGTAAACATTATTTCATATTTTTCTTACAGTTGCAACATGAAATTGAATTTAGATTTCCTTCTTGAAACATTGTGGGAATATTTATCTTTAATAAGGGTTTATACAAAAAAACCTGGACAACCACCTGATTTTGAAGATGGTTTAATATTAAGAAAAGGTGTTACAGTAGAACATGTATGTCATGCAATTCATCGTTCACTTGCTCAACAATTTAAGTATGCCCTTGTTTGGGTAAGTATCATTTTTAATTATTAATAATATTTTTACGATATTTATTGTTTATATCTATGTGATTACAATTATTGCTTGAATTATTGCAAACATGATTCTTATAGTTAAAATAAATAGAAAGAAATTATTATTAATATCAAAAAAGAATTCATTTTTCTAGATCAGTGCTGTCCAAACTTTAGTTGGTAGTGGGCTTCATCCACTTTCATTATTTCACGCGAGCTTCTTTTTTTTGATATAAAAAATGCAAAACTATAATCGATTATTTTCAGAACAGTCAAATAAAGGAATTGATTACGTTTGGTCTTAATTGAAGAAAATGTTTGAATAACCGAACATAATATATGCTAAATCAATTGAATGTGAAATGAGGAAATGTGTGATTGCAAAATGCATAGAAGAAAGAAACGCGTGAGTTATTCCGCTGTTTTAAAATAATATAAAGAGATAAAACAGCGTAAAGAGCCTACTTGCGGACAGCACTGTTTCAGATAATGTAAACAATTTAATTAGTAAAACATTCAATTAGTAATCGAAAATTTTAATTAAATATTTTTTCAATAAATTATTCTTATACTTTGTACAATGCTTGTTTACGTTGCAATAATTCTTTTGTATTTAAAAAAAGGGATTTAACAACTAATAATTGCAAATAAATGTACATATTTTACAATAAATTTCCCAAAAATATGTAAAGAAACAATGAATTATAGACTGTATATTTTATCTAGCACGAAATACTTGAAAAAGAAATAGGTTGATAATATTTTTCCTTAACTTTTTTTCAGGGTACAAGTACCAAGTATTCACCTCAACGAGTTGGCTTGCAACACGTTATGCACGATGAAGATGTTATTCAAATAGTTAAAAAATAAAATTTATACTATTACGTGCATAAATTACCTGTGAAAATATTAATTGCAGAAATAGAACATATAGATTTGTTTATATGTTTTATATGCATTTGCTGGGAAGAAGTGATCGTCTTTTAAAACTTATTTCAACTTATTTCGAATTTGTTTTATTTAATATAAATACGAAACATTTATACTACGTATTTTTTAATAATTTAAAAATTAAAATTATTTGAATGCAACTTTTAATAAATATTATTCATATAAAAGTAATCAGAAACTAATTTTTATAGATATATAATAATTATACATTATTTGTTTATTAAAAATATATTTGGAGAGACGAATTACATTTTGTATATTTATTTATCTTTGTGTAATATAAGTGTTATATATCCATTATATTATAATGATTTACATATATGTACGCAAAAACCGTATCCTTACATAAAAGGGAGAATCTAATTAATTACAACAATAATAAGATTGATCACAATAGTGACTAATCGTCAACTGACTTATAATAAAAAGTAAAAGTAAAAAAATAAAATTTCTAAATAGCTGTTAAAGTATTTATCTTTTATTTCAATTTTCATTTTTTCAATAAAACGCATATAATAAAATAATATGTAATTTGTAACTGTGAAATTGACGAAGTTATATAACTTAATCGACAAGTGAACAAAACTCTTGTATTTTAAACAATACAAAGAAATTTTATTCTTTCAGTTGTGTGTTAAATTTATTAGTTACATCGAATATTAAAATATCACTATTATGACACAAAAGTGTTTAAACATTACAAACATACAACTACATTTTACATGAAAATCCATTCTTACGTTCTATCAATCGTTCATTGCGTAACTACCTTACAAGTTGACCACTCGACGAACATACTTGACCTTCGATAAACTTGACAGTAGACACCTCAACTAAGGAATTGAACACAGGATAGACAATACAGTGGAAAATGGATTTCCTTCTCGTTTTGTTATGATTTCGCTTGACGGTATAGCAATCATCGGCGGAAAACCATTGTAGGGAAGCATTGTCGGCGGGCAAAAGGACTTTCGTATCGAGTGCAATATGGTTTGATTTGTAAAAACGATTCCTTGGAAAAAAGCTCATCCGTCCACGGATCTCAAATACAAAAAACGTTAAAGGGGCGATCAGTGTATAGAGGTTTGGCCTGCAGTATGCTCAGGGTTTGCAATATAGAGATATTATGGCTGCAGGTGAGGCCAGCACAACAAAGTCTCGTCAAGAAAAACAATACGATTACCTCCTTAAATTTTTGCTGGTGGGTGACAGTGATGTTGGAAAACAAGAAATCTTGAGTGGACTTGAAGATGGTGCTGCCGAATCCCCGTTTTGCAGCGGCAGTGGTACTCGTCAACTTTTCCTTACTATTATTTCCTGCTCAGCTGCCTGATTCGTCTTTCTTTACAATTTTAAACAATGCGTTGTGTCTGCATTGTGTTTCTTTCACCATATTTATATGGAGCTACATAACCAATATCATAATACTCATTTAATCGTATCAGATTTGATAATCACGATAGATAATTGCAATGGCATTCTAGAAATTATTCAATGTTATTTATTTCTGATCTGTCAATATTTATGATGAACAAACATTTTGTTAATATGTTTGTGTTATCAATAGATGAATGTATCATCTGCTTGATACAATTAATCCAAAATTTGTCATCTGAAATTTTGCATGAAAAAGCGAATTTAAGAATCTGTATGAGTAATTGTAAAATCAAATTTTAAATAATTTTTTAAAAATTCAACAATTAAATAAGCATATTACATTCTACTCATTTATTTTAATTATATCTTTTTGTAACAATTCTTTTATTTTAATAGTATCTGTATTTTTTATTTTTTTAATCTATTTTTTAGCATATAAAACTACTACTATTTTATTGGATGGAAAAAGAGTAAAATTACAATTATGGGACACATCAGGACAAGGTAGATTTTGTACAATAATCAGATCTTATTCTCGTGGCGCTCAAGGTATATTTTTAGTTTATGACATTACCAACAAATGGTCTTTTGATGGCATTGATAGATGGTTAAAGGAAGTTGAAGAGGTATGTAAAAATCATCTTAAATATCAATTTTATGTTATAGCTATATTATTCTTTTAATATGAAAAATAGACATAATTAAATTTTGTAAATTTAATATTTAATGTTATAGCATGCTCCTGGAGTACCAAAAGTACTTGTAGGCAATCGCCTTCATTTAGCTTTCAAAAGACAAGTGGGAGAACGTGATGCTGAAGCATATGCAGCTAAAAATCATATGGCATTTTTTGAAGTCTCACCTCTCTGTGATTTTAATATTCGTGAAAGCTTTTCTGAACTTTCTCGAATGGCTTTACATCGTAATGGTATGGAAAGATTATGGCGATCTAATAAAGGTAATGCCCAAGTTTAAATTTGTGCTACAATAATTTTTTTTTAATTTGTTATGAATACCAACTTTATTTCTAGTTCTCAGTCTTCAAGAACTTGCATGTCGTGCAATAGTTGCAAGAACAACAGTTTATGGCATTGATCAGCTTCCATTGCCTAAATCCATTAAATCTCATTTGAAATCTTATGCAATGACAACTACATCTCAATTACGTTATAACGGGAATAGATCACTGAGCTCTAGTAAAAGTCTTGGTTCTCATCATCGAAAATTGCGTTTTGTTGGTGTAGGACATAATGGATTGTCAACTCCAGGTAGCTCACCTGGCAGTATAACAGATTCTCGTACCAGTTGTGTTGGTCGTAATTCTTGCACAATATCTTGAGAGTAATTTTATGATTATAATTGTAAATATATGATACTAATTCTTTCTTCCTGTTTTGATGTGAAGAGTTTTGTTAACATGTGCCATCAAAAATGATAAAATATTGAAAATTTTTATTTTTTAATAGTGACTACGGTGAAATACTAGCAATAAAATTGAAAAAATGATTTACTTAATTACAAAATATAAATAATCATACTGCTTTTATATTTAATTTCATAGTTATCTAATATTACAATTTTATTATGTTATATTTCTATAATTGTTTTATATTTGAAATAATAGTTCCACGATTTTGATTAACAATACGAAAATTCCAGTATTATTCAAAAAATTAGTTAAAATTTTATCAACAATACAAGAATACATTAATAAATAATATAATTAATAATTCAAGCACATTAATAAAAAATTATCAATGAAATTTTAATTTTTCTCCTTAAAATTTGATGGACAATGTTTTTTAAAAATCTATATTAAAACAGGAAAAAATGAAGTGAAAAGTACAAGTTTACTAAGTCTACAAAGGTTGTGGTGTAGACTAGAAATAATGTAAGTTGAATAGTTTAGAGCAGCTAATTGGATAATAATATATAAAAACAAATCCAAAAATATATAATAATTTTCAAAGTTTTTGAAAATTTTATTAACTTTTATATTCTTATTTAGTAGTATCTTAGAAAGAAATTTGTTTTATTGTATTATTTTTGAAATTGTATTTCATTATGTATTTATTATATAAAAAAACCGTTCAAAATTTATATTGAACATCTAATTTCTTTTCTATTATTCTTTTCTAAAGATTTATTTATTATGCAAAATTGAATTATGTTTTCCGTGATAATGCAAATATTACATGTTATTTAAATAATTTAATATAATTATATATTATTTTATTTGTACAGTATATGTTTATAAAAATTATGTTATGTATTGTAAATATGAGAGAATTCATTCATACTATACTCATGTTTTGATAAATTTCACTACAGCAGATTATTATGATCTCTTAATATCAATAATACAATAATTTAACAAGTTCATTTTCAATTTTTTATTTTTTTAAAATATTTGTTTTAAAATTTTTATGAAAAATAATTGTTATTATTAAACCATAGACATTTACTGTATGAAATTTATCAAACTGTGATAACAATTTATATGATAGTTTTTTAAAGATTAAATAATATCAAGAAAACATAAAATGTATTTATACAGTGTAAAATTCAAATTAAATTATGTGTATATAAAAACAGCTATGATTATTAATGTTATATATGATATGATACGTATAAATGAACTCTTGTTTATCCAGAATAATATGTTAACATACATTATATTAATATTTACGAAATAATTTGTTTCATTTTAAAATGAAATACAATATTAATTGTTAGTACTTTACTAACTTATCTTTTTCTTGCTATTTTTAGTTGTTAATAGGTGTATTTTGATAAAAAAAAAGATGTACAATGCAAAAAAATCATTAATTTCATCATTACTGTATATATATCATTGTAAGATAATAAAGTTTTCATAAATATTGATATTTTGTCTTAGAGAAAAAAAGGGGCCATCCAAATAATTGTAATCATGGAAAAAAATTACTTTTTTATTCATTAACCAAAAAACTTGTTTATGTTTATATTAAATACAATTTTATTATAAAAGACAATGATATAAATAAGATAATTGTTTATATAAAAATATATGCATGAAATAACTCATATAATTTACGATCACATATTTACGAATTGTTCCACTTTAATTATTGTTTTTATAATATAAAATGCGTTATAAATATGCAAATAATAAATTTCTTTCAACCTATTAACAACTGCAGTAACAATTCTTGAAAATATTAATATCCTTATGGTTATAAAATATCTACCATGATTTAATATTTAACTACATTATATATACATATTTTAAAATTGCATCAAATTGATGTAATGCAAATTTTGTGTTTAATAATAAAAATTTTTGTATTGCAGTAATTGTTCTATATTTTTATTTTAATTAAGAAGAAATTTTCGATTTTAATCAACACATTATATATTTGTATAATGAAAATGATGCTTTTGAATGAAAAAAAGTTGTTTTCTATTGATAAATAAATTAAAATTTGTACTATATATAATAATTCCTTTATTGATATTTCCTTGATATGTATCATAAAATAAAATTTTAAATTATCGTTAATGTTAATTTTTTTTAACTAGTTTATTATGATGCATATAATAGTTTGATGTAGTAAAATTTTAAAAATGAAATAAAATTACTTTATTATTATGATGTATTTAACTATTACACAGAGTATATTATTAAAAACTGTTCAATTGTTTGATAAAAGACTAATGCAATCTAAATTTATTTTAAGCATCTATCTTTATATTTTCCAGTTTTTATTATATAAACTTTTTTCAAGAATTTAATCAATGTTTATTCAAGAAATATCTTTATATGATTAAAAAGAAAATTAGAAATGACAACAATTGATACATCTATGATCGGAGACAATGCTTGCCTTCCCAATGAAAGAAATCTTTATATTCCTCAACAATTATTGGAAGTAAAAGAATTATTAAAATCAATCAATAGAAGACTGGAAGATTGTGCTTTAGAATGGCAAGCAGAGATTTCTCGCAAACAATGGAAAATATTTAGATCTAATGTCAATGGAATTACTTTACCTGAACGATCTTTGTTAGCAAGAACATATTTTACAGAGAAAAATTTTGATGAAGCTTTTCAACATTTACTTTCTTGTAATAAAATTTTTGCAGAATATTTAAAAAATTTTATTGGCAAGTAAATTAAATATATTTGTATTTTTAATAATAAATATTAATAATAGAAACAATATATTATTAAAATTTAAGCTATTATATTAATTTATTATTAGATCTTTTACAAGACAAATCATCCGTTTCAAATATTAAAAAAACATGTAATGTACAAAATCAATCTTGTAATACAAAAAAAGATTGCAAAATACTAGATATTATTAATACAGAACCAACGCATCTTTCTTCACAAAACAATCAATATTTAAATGGGGAAGGAAAAACTCAAGATTATATTGATAATATATTAACAGTTAAAAATTCATTTACTGATGTAATAAAAGCTAAAATTAACTTCGACACAAAATTTTTAGGATTTGAAGCTATATTACATAAAGCTATATCTACATCAAGTGATACAGTTTGCCTTTGTCAATATTGTTCTAATACTATGGTAATATATTTTACCTATATTATATCTTACTACTATTACAGTAATATACCAAAAAAAAATTCAATTACATATTTTAGCAAACTACACATGATATACACAGAAAATTAAGAAGTGTAACTGTTAATCAAAGAAATCGAGCAGTTACAAAATCTAAACGCTTAACTAGATCTAAAAAAAACATTATCTAAAAAGAAAAACAAAGAGAAATCATCCATAGTACGATAAAATAATAGTATGATAAAATCAATGACCAACTATCCTTGAAACACCAAGTTTTTGTTAATTCAATTTTGTTATATTCTACTTATTTCCAATTAATCGTTAAATTTTTGTTAATTTTCGTGATTATTAAGAATTTAAACTAAATAGTAACATATATATATATATATATATATATACACAAAAAAAATAATTTATATAATTTAATAGAGGAATTTCTTTATTGTACCTTACATTATTAAAACATTTAATTCTAATGTTAAAATTTTCCAAAATAATAATAAGCAGTCATTCAAAAAATCCACTTACTTTGGAAAGTCTCATTTAATTTTTAATTAAACTATTGGAAAATTTAAACATTGAACTGATTCATACCAGTTCTATACTTCTTATAATTTATTTATAGTTTTATTTCTATTAAAAATATACAATAGTTTTAATAGAGATATTGTATTTAATAAGCAATTTACAATACAACAAGAATCTATACAGTTTTTATGCTTAATTTTATAATGATGAATTAATGCTTTATTATTTTTATATTAAAGTAATTACAACATGAATTCAGAAGAAGCATTCAATTGTACTTTTTGCAACAAATGCAATTAATATTATGTAAATATTATTTTATTAAACATATACACGAACATTTAAAATTCTACTTTTTAAATATTCATCGTAATACATCATTGTTAATAGTGCTTTTATTTGCTAAGATACTAACTTGGAAGAAAATATATTTTACAAAAAAGTCAATCGTTTGTTTTTAAATGTATATTACATAAAAACATTACATAATTTGTCAAGACTATATATTACATTTTCCAAATTTTGTAAATTTATATTTTAAAAAAACATTTTTTTTTAAATTAATATTATACAAATGAATATCAATAAAAGACATTTATAGAAATAACAATTACACAAATTAAAAATTCAGACAGAATGAATTACTACTTTTTAATTATATTTAGTTATAGCGAAATAAACAGTAGCAAAAATGTATTAATTAATACAATAAAGATATTTTAATACAAGTTACATATAATGTTTAGATATTTTATCTTGGAGTAAATATTTCTCTGTTCTACATTCTAAATAACGAATAAATCTAGATTTATTAAATAGTAGATAAGTTTTAGCTTGGTAACATTAAAATTTTTTTAATAATTATTAAAAGAATAAATTTTACATTTATAAAAAGAGATTCAAAATTAAAAATATTTTGTTTTCAGTAACTTACTGAATAAATATATCAGTTTAAATTAGCCTAATCACTGTAATGAACCATCATAATGTTGTATGTCTATAACAGATTCAATATCTTATTAACATTACATTACGATTTCTATAAACAGCCAACTTGTATCAAATTTCTTGTTCTATTAATATTATGAATATCCATAAAAGGTTTCTTGTTCACTTGGCTCATTAAAATTGTACCACTTCAGGGGAACCTTATGAGGAAAGACTTTCTTGCTGTTTCTGTGATCATGAATTTATTAATTGGCTTTAGTACACACAATTAACAAGTAAATCAACCGATTTGTAAAAAATAATAAAAAAATCTTTCCTAATAAAATTCTCCTTAAGTGAAGTGATTAGTAATCTGAGTTTATTATTTATTTAATCTGTATCATACTGATATAAGAGAATAGTATCAGCATGAAATTTCGACATCTTAAGTTAATATTAAAATTACTTTCATTTCCAGTTTGATTTCTTTTCTACTACATTCACGTTCGTTCAGTTGTAATCATTCTTTAATTTACCTTAGACAAACAGATCTCATAAATATTTAAATGAATAACATTTAAAAAATAATTTTAAATTTTCACAAATCTATGCAGTCATTTTATGACATAATACCTATATATATGACATAATAACTCAAAAATAATTAAATTTATTTTTAATGCTACTAAATTTTTTCAGATTTTTGAATCTGAGTAAAATGAGATTTTTAACAATACAGATGCATTATTCATTATACTTAGATAAAAAACAGATATCGTATTTATACAACAGGGTAAATTTGATTATATATAATGCTAATAAACAATATTACAGTCTTATAATAGATAAACATACCAAATAATTAACAACATTTTAATTGACAAAAAACATCAATTAATTTATTTCGATAAAACATCTTACAATGAATATTAATAACTAATTTATAATCAAGCGTATCAATGACTGCAATTCTCGTCACTTTTTCAATTATGACTTTTCTTTTATGAAAATCTAATGTTTACATAAAGTAAATATATAATATATATCATATACATCAGTATGACTATTTTTAAAAAATCTAAGAAATATTTTATTAAGATAGATAATATATATTCTTTCAAGTACCTTTTCAAGTACCAACATAAACAATTTAAAAATTGTTGGTTATTTAAATTGATTGAAACTACTTGAAAAATTGATTTTTATGAGATCTGTATGCTAGAACAGGCAAAATATGAATTTCGAAAGATAACTGAGTGAAAGTCATTGATTTCACCTGAACTCGTAGATTTGTATGCTATGTTCTGGGACGTGTTTTAAATTTAAAGATTGATACCTAAAATGATAAAGACTCTATTATTATTTTCATAAAATATAAATATAAAAATATGAACATACAAAAATTATAATTTCTTAATATAAAATGCATAGAACTAAAACTGAAATATTACTTGAAATTATGAAGATATTTAATAAATAAAACTTAAGAATATGTTTATTAATAAATATATTAAGTGATACTACCACTCAGAACTGCGATGATAATAAAAGCCTTCAATTGTAGCAGCAGATTTTTGGAAGCAAATATAGTAAAATCCTGCAAATGAGGCACCGTTGATATCTTTAATAGTATGGTCAGGGACCAAAAAATGTTCCTTCCACCTCATAAAAACAAAGTCAGTTCCTTTCAAAGCCTCATAATCAAATGTGTCTGAATTAAATGTCTTGGCATATTGACGAAATGATTCAAATTTGCTCTACAATTTTAAACAATTCAAATTTGTATGGATATTTGTCAAAGTAATGAAAATATATACTGGAATACAAACCCAATGTTTCCTATCAACATCTTCATCTGCATCCCATTTACGAGTTAAAAATGGATATTTCTTTGATATAATTTCACCATCAAAAAATGTAGTTAAAGTGGGAAACTCTTCTGTGAGACCTTTAATTTTTAAATAGCCACATAAATAGCTATTTTCTTCATCTACGTGCTGTAATGAAAAAATATCTTTAAAATATTTTCATTTTTAAAATCTTACTACAAAAGATTATTCATATTTTTAAATATATACTACACACACAACACACATACACATGTATATTTATGTATACGTAAATATATTTATACACACAAAGTATATAGTATATACAAATATATATAATATAAATAAATAATACATGTGTGCGTGTATATTGTAAACATTCCAACTAAAATTTCAAGTTCAATCAATATCTATTACTCAAGTGTTACTTACAAATTGTTGTTGTATTATACACTTTGCTTCTGACAAATTTATTTTAATAAAATGGCAAACAAAAAATCTATATTCTGAAGACATTCATAAGCAAACTGAGAAATACAAAGGAAATATTTAAAAATTCTGTTTATAGGTCATTTTAAATCAGTAACAATCTGAATATGTAAACAATACAATTAACAAACCCGAATGCGGAAAGAATATGAAATATTTAGATGCTAAAGGCGTATAATTAATCATTACGCAGCAGACAGATGTCAAAGATGCAACAGAAATTTGGGATATTTGTGGCGCAATTTCCAGAAAGACGGAGAACTAACCTGCAAAACTACTTCTACGTCGTAACTGTTGCCTTTAGACTTTTGAGAACCCTGAAATCGCGAACCGTTGTAGAGCAAAGATTTTGTGACACCCGGCTGCTTTGAGTTTGCGGGCGGTGGTGGTACTACGTCAACTTTCACCGGCATTCTCGGCTCAAGTGAACGTTCTTAAAATTTGCCCTCCTTGGGCGACAATCCCCTCATCACAAAACTCTCGCAATGACTGCCGGTAATTTTCAAGACATACATAGATGTATTTCTACAAAGCCTCGAATCCAGACACCTTCGCAATCGTAATTTTTACGTAAACATTCAATTCGACGTCGTTTAAAAGGATCTTATTTTTTTTTCACACGAATGCCCATTAATTATTTTTAATAAACATCGAAGTCAACCTTCTACTTAATGAAACAAAACACAATATTGTTTCGTCAACTCACACGTATCGTGTCCTACAAAATTTTAGTTCTATTTTGCCGGATGTATAGGTAAGTACATAATGCTTACCGACAATTCAAATTCTTTTATTCGTTCAAATTTTGTACACGCATTATCAATTTCATTAACGTCGTTTTGCTGTTACTTTGCGAAATGTATACATCAAAATCTTTATGTTTAATAAATATAAAGAAATTATTATTTACATTTATTTCTTTTTTTTCGTAAACATCGATCTTAATTTGCTTTCCCGCCATAAAGTTACAATTTAAATAGTGTTGTTATGTATTAAAGTGTAACAAAATATGTTAATAATTCAAACGAAATATTTAAATTTTTACTTAAAGAAATATAATTTTTATTTTATGTATCGTTTTCATTTTCGTGGATTTAATATTAAGACGTTGATTTGATTATGTTACGAAGGCTATGAGCTGAAAGTTGCGTGAGTTCAAAGCAAATATGGAGGATTTCAGTGACTCGAATTCACACGAAATGACAGAAAATCATGTTCAAAAACGATGTAATAATCAGTGGGTTCGGTTAAATGTTGGTGGTACATATTTCTTAACGGCGAAAACTACTCTAGCTAGAGACCCCAATTCATTTCTCTACCGATTATGTCAAGAAGATTCTGATCTTATCTCAGACAGGGTTAGTTGATGTTTCTAAATAACCGCGAATTTCAAAATATTGTCAAACATCATTCTCATCTATATGACTTCTGTGTATAATTATTAGGAATATTTTACATAAGTTAATTTAAATCATTTTTATAAATTTCTTACGTTTATTTCTAAGAATTTATATTTATAAAAATTTATACTTAAATGTATACTTGATATAATAATGTAATATATCATGATATATGACTATAATTGTATATCAAAGATATATCATATTAAAATAATTCTACATTGATAATTGGTAATATAATAATTTGTAATTTTACATAAAATCATATCTGTTATTAATAAAATTTAAATAAAACAACTTGTTTTATTTAAAGCATTATATTTTGTTGTACAGGATGAAACTGGAGCATATTTAATAGATCGTGATCCAACATATTTTAGTCCTGTGTTAAATTACTTACGTCATGGGAAATTGGTTATTAATAAAGACTTAACAGAAGAAGGTGTTTTAGAAGAAGCCGAATTTTATAATATTACAGAACTTATTCGTTTAGTGAAAGAAAGAATTATATTAAGAGATACTAGACCATTAAGAGACTCAAAAAAACATGTTTATAGAGTTATCCAGTGTCATGAGGATGAATTAACTCAAATGGTATCAACGATGTCTGATGGATGGAAATTTGAACAGGTATTTCTTATATTTTAAACCAATAATATTTTTATTTGATATATTAATATTTTATTTTTACGATACAAGTGACATATGTAATTAAATTGGAATTTTATTTATCTGTTTAAGTTAATTAACATAGGATCTCAATATAATTATGGAAATGATGATCATGCTGAATTTCTATGTGTGGTCAGTCGAGAATATGGAGCCACTCAACTCAATAGTAAGGAACAGGAGTCAACAGATCGTGTCAAGGTATCATTATTACATTCAAAATTTTCATGTCACTCTTTTAACCAAAACAATTATACTTAACTTTTTTTTTTATTATTTTGTTATATAATTGTATTACTTTATTTATATTTTATATTTATTTGTTATTTTTGACAAAATTATATTATTAATATTAATTAATATATTTTTATTTTATTACCAAAGATTATAATTAATAAAATATTGAATTATAAACAAGATATAAAATTTAAAAAAAATTTATAAATAAAAGACTCATATATTTATGTAAATGAAGTTTAAGATCAGTTATGTTTAAATTTCTATTCATAAAACTTTTACTTTTGTTTTATAATGTAAAATAATATAAAAATACCCTATAATTGATATTAAATGTATCATATGGAATCACATCATTTTATATTACTTTTATATAAAAATAAAAAAATATTTCGACGTTTATCTTTTTTTATAGAATTAAATTATAACATAATATTATTAATAATTACTTATGTTTTTCTTGCCAAAACATTTTTAATACATACTAATTCAGAGGTCAATTTGCATGAGCATGTTCTGCCTCTGATATTTGCTGTATGTATTATAACTTTTTGTATTGCATGCTGTACATTAAATAAAGAATTTTTTCTTTTATTGGTTTGATTACTTTTTACCCTGTTGTCCTGCATCATTTATTAATGCATGTGTCTGAATTATTCTTTAAAAGTATTATGTTTACAATCAAATCTTTTGTTTAATAAAAGGTTTTATAATATATTGAAAACAAAATATTAATAATTAAATAATTTACAAAATTATTTTGTAAATTTATTTTATATTTAATTCATTGTCATTTTATTACTTTCATCAAAATATAAAACTACTATCTTATCGCAATCTATACAACAAAATGCAGAGGCTGAACAGTGCTAATACTAAATAATATTTGCATATTTTAGTTTTAAAGTCTTGCAATGGTATTTATATATTTTTTATAAAATGTATCTTGTAATACAAATTTTACATATAATCTTACTAAGCTTCAATCATTAAATTGTATTTTAGGTTCTGCAGCAGAAGGGTTCTCGCATGTAATCTCTAAATCCATATTTTTCTTTTCTTGCTTCATTTAATTAAATCAACTGTGCAGCAACAAGATGAAGACTATTCTTATTTCTACATATAAAATTTAAGTTCACACAAGGTCTTCATTGCTTCATTTTCAATAACAAAGAAGAAGATACAAAGGTATAATATCTTTTGTAGATACATAGTTATCATACAACACAAAATGAAATTATAAAAATTGAAAGTATTATATATTGATAAACAAATTATTTTATTTTTTTAAATTTTAATTTTAATTTCTAACATTTAATGAGAATGATATGGATTGTAATGATAAAAATAATGCTGAATTATTTCATAAGGGATCATACATTTTACAATGGAAAAAATTAGTAACTTTTTATCCCACATCTGTAACACTCTCCTTTTAAAAAAGAATGTACCAAATATAAAAATTAATACATACATACATACACACAATTATTAACAATAATATGTTATGAAGAAAATTGTTATTAGAAATGTTTTAATTTCACTAAATAGTTTAAAAGACAATAGCATTCATAAAGGCAATCTTTTTCATACAAATTTCTACAATGAATATAAATACTCTCTAGTAATAAATAGTTCATCTTTTTGTAACAAGTTGTATAAAAATCTTTTTTTTTTCTAATTGTATCTTTGTCATAATATTACCTAAATTACTTACCTTTGCACTGCCGCTATAAAACATAAAATAATATTTGTATATCTAGCATGATACTTTTGATTACCCAATATAAAGTTATAACCACAAACGTAAAATTAATTTTGACATATAATGATGTGAATAAAAAAAGAATGAATGTAATTTTTAATAAAAGCAATTTATTATATTGTTTATTAATATGTTATTATGTATAGTGAAAAAATTATAAAAGTTCAAACTATATGAAATATTTTAAAGAAATTAAATAGTTCTCAATTACTTAAGACTTATTTTTTAAATATATATAATTTCTATTTCATAATATTTAATTTTATGCAAAATAATTAGGATGATAGATTGTACAATTATGTATAAAAAGATACATATTTTATTTTTCATTTTCTTTTCTTTTTTTATTTACAATACGTCTACTTAATTTGGATAAAAGTTTCCATTTTTATATATATTTAAGATTAAAACAAATCTCTATTATAATTATAGAAATAAAAGCACTTTGTAATAGGCATTAACATAGGTTGTCAATTGTTGAAGGCCTATTAAAGAAGTGTTGTAGACAATATACTTGTAAAAGCATTATTCATGAGAAAAAATTTATGTGTAGCACTAAATTGTTATAAGTATTATTAAGAATTATGTTACATATGATATATAAGTTGTATATTATATATATACATATATAATAGTTTGATGACAAAGATTTTTTTTGAACATAGTGTATAAAACAATTTAGTAATAATATTAGTAGATTACCATTTACGTTCATATTGTGTCACTGAATAAACATTAATAAAAAAAGGTTTAATTACAAAGATAAGAAATACAAGGCATATGAATACCTACAGTGAAAATTTATTGTTTGGCTATTAATTATTCTACATATTTGAAAATAACAGAAAAATTAGGACCAAATATTAATCATTTTGTGCAATGTACGATGTAACTATATTGAAAAATGATGTTGCTTTGTACCTTAAACTTGTATCATTAATTTAGCTGATATTAGAACTCACTATTATTATATTAAGCATAGAGATATATAACTATATGTAAAAGAACTTTGTACTTTCATAGATATATTTCTAAGTCTATTAATTGTTTGACGTTTATTGTTAGAAAAGAAAGTAATATTTATATGCATTCAAAAGTAAATTTTAATACTGACAATTATTTCAAATTAAATAAAAGAAAGAAAATTATAGAAAGAAATATATAAATGCAAATAAAATGAATGAAAATTTATAATATACAAATTATGTTTAAAATAAAAGCAATTCTATTTACAAAGAACATATCCATTTAGTAATTATTTTTAACATTACATATATTTATTGATATATGATATTATGTATGAATATATTAGTTTAATATTTATTTTTTTTCAAGATAAAGATATTTTATTATAATATGTATTGTAAAATATATGTTTCACTGATTACAATAAAACTAAAGATTTAATTTATTCACTGCAAAATTTACAAAAATATCTTATAATGTGTTATGAATAATTAACTTAAACCTTCAGTTTATCTTTTTGGATATCAAATTACTGTACAAATGTCTACATCAATTTTTTATTAATTGAAAATATATTATTTACAAAATAGTACCAAGTATCAATTTTTACAATAAATTATAAATATTAGAATATAAAACTAAATATTATAGGAGATACATTTATGGATATATATTGATTAAGGCATATTTGCTATTGTTTTTAATGGTTGATCAAGATATCTTGCTAAAGCTTGTGCTTTTTCTCTCAATAATCCAAATCCCACGTTTTCTTTTGCATACAAACATAACAACAAATTAGCTACTTCAGTAATAACAACTTTGCCCTCCTACAAAAAATTATTTTAATTAAAAATATATTAATAACTGTATATAATTTATAACCTTTCATTAAACCCTTAATTAAATTATGAAACTTAATTTGTAAATAATAAATTATAATCTATCATTGCAATAAAGATTAAATACTAAAAATGTTAATAATTATTGATTGATTAAAAAATATATTATAAAAAATGTTTTTTTATGTTTACTATTTCATTAATATCATGTTATATTTAAGATGAACTTTATTAAAAAAATCTTAACAGTGCATTACAAAAATTATTTGTAATTGATTAGGAAGAAATATTGATAAAAACATTAAAGAAATATTAATAAAACATATAGTATATAATTTAAGTATCATATAATTAATTAATAGTAAAATATTTGTTAATTACCACACAATCCATCAATACAAATTGCAATTCATCTTCTTTAAATGCATTTCGTCCATTTTTTTCATAAGCTGACCAAATGTTACTTGTAATAGCAGCAGTTACTCTTGCATCCTTATCTCCGTAACCACTGTAAGCTAACAAACCACCATCTCTATTTAATAATCTGAAATATATTTTTAAAATATTTAATCATAAAATTTTCTAATTGCTCTTCATTATAATAACAATAAAAATGTACATAAATTTAGTTATATAATTTCATTTGCATATACATTAAAAGCTTATATATCTTGTAATACTATTGAATTATATTAAATCATTTAATTTTAATGAAAAGAATATTTTACTTACAATGTATTTTCTACACCGCCGGTATTGGCTTGACTAAGTACTTGGGTTAAAGCTTTTGGTTTCAACATAGTTTCACAAATGATAAATATCAATTTTTTCCTTTCAAATTATTTTCAATAAACTTTACTGTAAACTTTATACAAAACACCAAGATATGAGCATTATTTTTTAATAGCTGCAATCTGTAAAACAAAGTACATATAATTCCTAGGGCAAAAACGTTGTATGAGACAAATTGTACAATACCAATTTTTCACTAGAGGAAAGTAAGTTTCTAGCATATATTTTTTCTCATATTTATGGAATATTACTATGGCTTAAAAAATTCTTTTAATAATAATAATAATGCAGAATTTTTACTTTATTATCTAAAGAAAAAAAACAAATAAATGTAATTATTTGATTTTAATACTCTATCCCTTACAATCGAAGATATAGCAATATTATAATGTTATTAATTTATAATATCTTAATATGAAAAAATTATGTAACTATTTTACTATAAAAGTTTAAAATGAAAAGTACGGAATGAGTATCTGAAAGATTTAATTTGAGATTTTCATAACTCCAGATAAGAATAAAGAAAATAATTAATTATTATAATTACGAAACAAACCTATTGCACATTTCACTATACAATATTATAATTATTTTATTATATTATTGTTCATAATATTATTGATAAAAATTTTCTAATTTCGTAGAGACAAAATTATACTAACGAAGTTATATTTACACCAAGCAGAGGTTATGTTTCGCTTGTACGTACATATTTAAATTGAGATGTAATATTTTTAAATATGTGACATAATTTACAATTAATTACCTAGTAATAATCCAGTAAGTGATGAAACTAACTTTAATATAATGTATATATATATATATATATATATATATATATATATATATATGCTACATAACTACAGTAAAATAATATACTTAAATAATAATAAAAAATATTATATTAGGAAATTTGTTATTATGCAAGGAAATAAATTAAAAACAGATTAGCGGAACATTATATGCGGTAAATAAGTTATGGTATAATAAACTGTTAACGAGTTATGGTATGATAAACTGTGTATAAAAATACGTGTCATATACACATATTTTTGAAAAAAAAATTTGTATAGTTTATAAAGAAAAATATATCCAAAATTGTTATTCAACTATTGAGCAAATGAGAATGGAGAATAACGAATAATATTAAGGAATTTGAAAAAAACATTTTTTTTACATTATATTGTATTTTTTAATATATATAATAACTTTCCAGCACATACATATATACACGTACTATAAAATATAAAATTATTACTTATTAATCAATTTAACATTTGAAACAATATACAAGTATTTTGTTATAACAATATCAAGGAAAATGTATGAATATTTTTTAATTTACAGTAAACTATTATCATAAATATAAAACGTGATATAAATGGCAATTTTATAAATTTTAATAATTTTACATATGTATATGTATATAAAATAAAATATGTATATAAAAAGAAATATAACATTAGCACTGTTTATTAAGGTATTAAATTTTAAAAAATGTTACAACAAGGAAAATCACCACTTATTTTTGAAATATTCTATGAATGTAAAACAACAAAAGCTAGAGCTGGTAGGATGACTCTCATTCATCATCATGTAGATACACCGGTATTTATGCCAGTAGGCACACAAGTAAGTCATGTATTATTTATTTCAGGAAAAATTAATATTTTGTGACATGGTGAATCATGTTATAAACTTGTAATGTGATTCAATAGTTTATAAAATATTTTGTTATCTATGCCACATTATACTTTAATACCAGCATTAATATTTTAGGGTACCTTAAAAGGCTTATTACCTCAACAATTAGAACAATTAGATTGTCAAATTATACTTGGTAATACATATCATCTTGGGACAAGACCTGTATGTAAGACATATCACATAAAGATTTTATTATGACTTGTATGTATTATTGATAAAAATGTTATTTTGTAGGGTATTAATATCTTGGAAAAAGCTGGTGGTTTACATAAGTTTATGAATTGGAAAAGAGCTTTATTAACAGATTCTGGTGGTTTCCAAATGGTATCATTATTAGAACTTGCTAAAATTACAGAAGATGGTGTGAAGTTTAAATCACCATATAATGGTAGTCATTATATAGGAGTAATTTGTAGTTAAACATATTTCTATATTTAGAATGTAAGAGTATAATCAAAATATTTTAATATTATTTCATAGAATCAGATTGCATGTTGACACCTGAACATTCTATTCAAATACAAAACATAATAGGAGCAGATATAATGATGCAACTTGATGATGTTGTGAAAACTACAATAACAGGACCAAGAGTAGAAGAAGCAATGCACAGGTAATATTACATTTGTATATATAATTCATAGGTTATTTTTGTATTTGTATATACAAAGTAATATTTATAATAATAATAAAATCTATTAAAATACTCAGTATATTTTCTACAGAACAATTCGATGGTTAGATAGATGTCTGAAAGCACATCAGAGATTAAATGAACAAAGTATATTTCCAATTGTACAAGGAGGCCTTGATTCCAAACTTAGATCAGAATGTGCGAATCAATTAATTAAACGTGAAGTCAATGGTTACGCTGTAGGTGGATTAAGGTAAAGTAATTGATATATTAATTTAGGTAAATAAGGTGAAAAGAAAAATTATTTTATGATTAATTTTATTTCTAGTGGTGGAGAATCTAAAAATGATTTTTGGAAAATGGTACATCTTACGACAAATATACTTCCAAAAAATAAACCACGTTATTTGATGGGCGTTGGTTTTGCTATTGATTTAATTATTTGCTCTGCTTTGGGAATAGATATGTTTGATTGTGTATTTCCTACAAGAACAGCAGTAATTAATTATTAATAATATATGTAATTAAGCAAAATATACTAGTAAAATGAAATTTATTAATGAATATATCAATTCTCTTTCAGAGATTTGGCTGTGCTTTGGTACGTACTGGTCAACTAAATTTGAAACAAATCCAATATCGTAAAGATATGAGACCAATAGATGAATCATGCGAATGTAGTACATGTAAAGTACACACACGCGCTTATCTTCATCATATTGTAACAGTAGAAACAGTTGCATGTCATTTACTATCTGTTCATAATATTGCATTCCAAATGAAATTGATGAAAGATATTAGACAAAGTATTCAAGAACAAAGATTTCCTGAATTTATACAACAATACATGTTACATTTATTTCCGAACAAGGAATATCCTTCATGGATAGTGGATGCATTGGAAACTGTTAATGTTACATTATTATAATAATTACTATTTATTTCCATAATAAAATATCCTATGTGTTTTAATATGTATGCTTTACAGAAATAAATGGAAAATATTATAACTAATTTAAATTATTAGTAATATTAATGTGTACTAAAATAGCTATCATTATAATGAATAACTTACATAAAATAAGTATTAACACATATTAAAATATATTATTAATATTATATTGATTTACTTATATATTAATATACATATTAAAGTATATTAAATTCAATATAAGATAAATTCATCCAATGCTAAAAATTGTTCTGCATTTGTGTAAAACTTGTATTGTACTTTACTGCAATTTTATAAATATTTTAATTTATAGCATCTTATTAGTCAGAACATTATTTTGTTGTTTTAGATTTTTGTAAAGTCTAATGACAATTTTTTAAACAATAAAGAAATTAATTTTTAGAAATAATTTTAAAGTTGTATATATATTTTTTAATATGTTTATCCATTATTCTAAACTTTGAGTATAGGCAATTGAATTATAAATAATATTAATAATTTCATCACATGAAATCATCTGAATCATACCCACTATTTTCTATGTTTGATGTCATATTAGATGTATTGAATAAAGAATTATAACTTCTGCAAAAGTAAAAAATAATATTATGTCTGATGTAATTAAACAATCTTTTTTTATTAGCGACAACTATTGATTTACCTCATTTCTGCTTCTTCTTTTCTTTGTTTTTCTTCTGCTTTCTCTCTTTCTTTTTGCTCTTTCAAAAGTCTTTTTTTATCTTCCCGTTCATTTCTATCTCGTTGTTCTCTTTCTGCTTGTAAATTTATTTGTTCTGAACGTTTAGTTTTATTCAATCGATTAACAATGGTATTTATACGTTTTGCAACATGAATTTTACGAACATCTTTATCTCTATGGAAGCCAACTTGTCCTATTTCCATACCTGGTGTTTTTTTCAGATTTGACCACATTGTGTACACTACATCGACATCATTCATTTTATTTCCTTCAATACTATTTGCTTTTACTAACTGTGCTGCATCTTCTAAAACTGTACTGGGTATGTCATCTATTGTTTGACCCTACAAATTATTTATATACATGATATAACTTATATGTATAATAAATATAAATATGAATAATATGCATGTTTTTAATAGAAAATATTTACAAGATGAAGTCGAAGGTATACATGCGCTGAAGAGTATTTGTCAACGTGAAACCAAACATCTTCTGGCCAACCCCATTTTATAAGCTCATCATCTAAAAAATCATATATTAAAAAGCAATATAAGACATATTACATATAATAATACATTTTAATAATTTTCACTCACTTTCATATTGATCAGTTCCCATAAATAATGTTATTGGTGGCTGTACAACTATAATACAAAATTATAATTACAATTCTAACCTTTCATTATTTTTAATAATATAATATATAAGAGAAAGAAAGAATTTAAATATACACAATAAACACGAAGTCAATGATAAATAATAATACCTTCGCTTGTAAAATAATGAACCATTATTGCAAAAAAATGTTTGTTTGAAACACGTGGTGCAATTTATCTGTCAAATTTTAAGTCGATAGTGGCGACAATAAATCGTACTTTTTTTGGAACTGTTTAACTTTTTAAAATGTGATATTCTATTTTTTTTACTATTTTGATGAAATTGAAAAATATTTATACAAAATATTGTTATTATTATAAACATTAATTAACAACAAAAATATATAAAGATTCAAAACAATATTAAACATACCAAACTACCAATATAAATATAATGCTACGTAATATAAAATTATATTTAACAGAATTTTTATAATATTAATAAATAAATAAATATTTATTTATTTATGTATATAATACTAGTTCAATAAATATATTCAATATATTAATATAATAATAAGTTTTATTTGTGTCTGTTACAATATTATAAATATTTCCAAAATTTTTTACCTCACACTTATGATATTCATTTATTATTAACATTTATATTAAAATTTATTATATTAAATTTAATTTATTATATTAAAATAATTTTTAAATCAAAAAGAAGTTGCATATTGATTTATATGAACTGAAGGTTTTTCAGTATTATACACTGATATAATGTCATCCATTATTGGTTTTACTTCGGGATCTCTTATTCGTTCATTTAAAGCTGATGATTCTAACAAGGATAAATACGCTAAAAATTTAATTCTTGTATTAATTATGATATAATTAAAAATTTTAAACATTTTTACTATTGTTATTATTTGTTAGAAAAAAATAACTTTACCAAGGAACATATTAGGATCTGTAAGACTAAGTTGAATATGTGGATCATTCATGATTGCTTTATAAATTGAACTATCTGAATCAAGCTCTGGACCTAAATTTTGTAAATTATGTTTACTTTCTCCAAGTAACCATTCACACTGAAACAAAAAATACATTTAAGATATAATTATATTAAAATTATATAATTACTTACAGCATTAACTTGATTGTTTTCAGTAATTTTTAAAGCCTGAACAATATTTTTTTTCTCAAATCCCATCTCTAATAATGACTGTAGTATTTTAAGATCAGGTTTGAAATCTATCTTCCTGCACTGACGATAATGTTTTAGCAAACGATCTACTATGCTGGGTATGTTTTCTTCCTTCTCCAAGTTTTCATATACTTCTATATAATTATCAATTTATTATAAATCAAACAATTATACAATTTATATAATCATAAATCAAAATTTAATATTAATCATATTAATTTTATTTATTATATATGTTATTATTTTAGGACCCTAAATATGAATCAATTTGTAATATTTCCAAAAGAAATTGTTTGTGTGAGCTCTTATTTCTAATAACAATTATATAAATAATTTCAAATATATATCAATGGATATAAAATAAAAATATAATTTACTGAAAGAAACATTGTGAGTATATAATATTTATTGTAATATTTATAACAATTTAAAAAAAATGAAGTTAATATTTCAAAATATATACATAAAACAATTATGTTTTGAAACAATCATATTTTTCAAACATTTCCTTCAGGAATTTTTATTATATAAATAGATAAACTGAAAATATTTTTATCATTACCTTCTTCAGTAGACATAAAATCAAAATATTCATCATCATTATCATCTTCTGGATCATTCTGATGTTCTGTTAACCATTCTAATGCTTCTGTTATGTTTGATCTGTAATAAATTTAAAATCCGACTATAAAATATTATTTTTAATTTATAAATATTTATAAATATTAAATTAAATAATAGATTGCTTATACTTTTGCAAATAAAGAGCTTTCAAGACTTTTTTCTTAGAATAACCCATTTCTGTAATAATTTTTATAGCATTTGGATCAATATCTGTTTTACATTTTAATTTTTCTTTTAAAATATCATACAGCTTTTGTGTTTCTGAATTGTACAATATAACTTTTGCTGATGCTCTTACAAGTGTAATTAAAATTTTTCGTAGTTCATACTGAAACTGTAGAACATATAATATAAATTTTCTTTATACAGAAAATGAAATAGATATATATATGTATATATATATTTACGTCAGTATGATAGTAAAGACATGGAATATATTTTATTGGATTATGTGTAGGTAAATCTTTTGTTACTTGTAGTATTACTTCCTTATTTGGACCTTTTAAAGCATCATCAGATAAATTTTCATCTATAAATTTTGGACGAATGTTTATTAACATTAATTCATCTAAAATAAAGGCAATAAGTTTATATTGTTTTTATATGTGTAGATTTAATACAAAATTTCAACAAATTATTTTACCATTTTCATGAATTTCTACACAAGTTATTTTATGATCATCCAGAAGCTGCATAAATTTAGATGTATGAATTAAACGAAAATTAATTGGATTTTTTGATATATCATCGTCATAGAAATGTTTTATTGCAATAGTTTTTACAGTACCGACAGTCATATCTGATGTCACACTAAAGCTTGTAATCATTCCTTCAGGGCTAAATAAATATATAATTATTTATTAACAGACTTTAGAACATATTTAAAATATTCAATAATATTTTACCTTATAATATTCAAAAACAAATTTGATGTAGACATTGTATAGTTTTATAATTTTCTATTTCAATAGATGGAATTATTAGACTGTCTTTTGCTTGTTTTTGCTGAACCAAATGCTATTATGGAAACATTAATCCGTTAATAACTGAAAAATATATATTTATAACGTACAGAAATGTTCTTTTCTTTTGTTATGAATGACACAAACAATTTTGTATTTATATTTTTTTTATTTTATTAAACAGATATTATGTTCACATGAAATTTTTTATTTAAACGTATTTTAATGTATTTTAATTAAAATTTCTTTTGTACTACATATTGATAATTTTTTTAATATAAAGGTTAAAAATAAGTCAAAAAAATATTTTTAAATGTTGTTATAATCGTAGCCAGAAAACCTCTATCTATGGTTTTCATTTATGTTGTACGTGAAATAACCAATAACGTGTCTGTAAATATTTTGTCAAAAGTTACAATACTCGATCAACGCTTCTTAGCAACATAAAATTTAAGCATATATATATAGGTATACAAATGTCAGTTAGAAATTGCAGATAATCAGATAATTTGTTTGCACATATATACACACATATCGTGATGTATAAAATATAACTGAAAATATATAACTATGAAAAAATAAGGCTGTAAATTTGTTTCAGGTTTTAAAGAAAAAGAAAATTATAATTCTATACGAAAATATAATAAATATAATATATTTTATAGAAATGCTTTTGTGATTTAGAGGCTATAAATAACAACTACTTTTGTGTTACTACGTTATTGAAGACAAGAGTCAATAATTATTAATAACGTAATTGTGAATATTATATGTTTATTATATGTCTAATAATGTTATAAATTTAAAAAAATGTAATTACAATATTTTAAAATATATTCTTTTTAATGTTAGTAGAACAAGAAATTCATACCAAGTTTAAATAAAAGCTTGCTTAGATTCATTGCATATATTTATTGCTTATTAATATAAATATTTGAATATTCTTTCTTTTCTTTTCTTGTAAAATTGTTATCTGAATGTAAATATTCATTAAGTTGGATTTCTCAGGATGGCTGAAAAGTCTGGATGTGGTGAATTACAGCAATTAGTTCAAGAAGAAGAATGTGAAGAACCATTAAGTCAACGTGGAGAAGCTACACCACCTTCGACACCAGCAAGATCTCATCATCCAAGTAAAAATGATACACATAGTTCTCATATATCGGTATGAATTTAATATTAGTTATTTAATTTCTATTAAAACAAATCATTTTCTCTTAAAAAAAAAAAATAATAAAGAAGTTTAATATTGTAGCAACAAGTATTGTGGGAAACTAATGTACAAACATCACCAATTGTTAGTAAAGGAAGTTCTGGTCAAGCAACAAGTCAAGGATCTATGGTTTCTGGACGTGCTATAAATACTTCAAATCATGGTAATCAATCTCGTTTAATGTACATGAATGAGAAAGAAAAACAAAGACCAAATCGACCAGAACTATCAAAAATTAATCGTCAGCATAGAGGTAACTTTGTATTTTATAATATATCTCAAATGTATCATTTAAAATATTAATAAATTAAATATTCTAAAAGTATTTTCAGCAACACTTAAATAATATTTCTTTAATTTAATTTTCAGTTATGTATTATTATTTACATTGGTATTTTAGTATTTTAGTATAAAATTATTGTATAAAAAGTATTATAATAAAATCTTACTTATTAATATAAAGATTTATATTTTTGTTAATTAATAATAAATTATAATCTTTTCATATATTTTCTGTTTTAAGTATTTTTAAGTTTTCATTTTTTGGTTTTGGTGTCATAAAATAAAGCTACGGCACCATGCAAACATCATTGCTTTTTGTCAGAGGTTCCTGATGTACGGCGTATGGAACAAGCTTTGTTACAACTCTTAGAAGATTTTCATAGTGGTAATTTACGAGCATTTGGTATGTGAAATATATTTTTTAAATATACTGGTATGAATATAAAATTGAAGTAATATTTTATTGAAATATAGGAAAAGATTGTAGCATGGAACAAATGACAGAAATAAGAGAACAACAAGAGCAATTAGCTAAACTTCATTTTGAGTTAGGTCAAAGGCAAGGAATTGGTGGAGAACAATCAGGTCTTCGGCATTCAAATGCTAATATGGATAATTTGTTGGAATGTCTTCAAGAGCTCAGTGTTTGTATTGAAAAATTACATAGCAAGTAATTATAAAATATTTATGATGTATATATACATATGTATATATATAAACTTCACTTATTTAAACAAGATATTTGAATAGAGAAATAGGCATCGATTAATGTAAAACAGAATGAAATAATGAAAATGTAAGTTTTTTTATAAAATGTTTTTACATTTTGGAAACCTTTTATGGTACTTTTATATAATTGTACATTACATTTTTCGATAATGAAATTTTATATTTCTTGATTTTAGTGTTTTTTTTTTTTTATTTAAAAGTTCCTCTTATTATTTCTATAAATTTATTTTTATCAAATTTTTTTTTTTAAATACATGTACAAATCAAATGCAACTTTTTTCCTGTAATATCAATTTATGAATATTTATAAACTCCTCTCAAAATTCTCTATCTCCATTTTGTCTAAATTGTCCATTTGCTCTGGTTGAGTCTCGCTCGAAATCTCGGTCGAAATCTCGGTCGAAATCTCGGTCGAAATCTTCGATCGACTTACTAATTGAATCGAAATTCTGTTTCTTGCATCGAAATGCTGGGTTGCAACCAATTCAATTTTTTCTCCAAGTTGCTTTCTAAGACTATACTGTTATTTATGATGTCTAGACCAGAGGTGGCTAACTGTCCAATTAGGAAAGTAAGGGCATGTGGCTCTTGCCTTTACTTTCTTAATCGCTAACGTTATCTCCTTTACTATCTGAATCTCTCCATTGCGTTGAGAATATCGCAGTCACAATACTCGCATTAGGTATATATGTTACACATAAATTATTTTCTTTACTGTAGCTGCTAAAGTTAAAGGAAAATTTGTGAGCAACTCGTTCGACCCGCAGCGGGGAAGAAGTTTACCGCCTCTGCTCTAGACGGTACTCTGCGGATGATTTGCAGATGCCCTTGCCCTTATTATAGTTTCTGATTGCTAGTGCTATTCTCTTCCCTGCGTTGAGAGTGCCGCGGTCACAATACTCGCATTAGGTATATATGTGCGTTTTCTTTAGCCTATAAAGTTAAGGGAACATAGGAAAGGTTGTTTATATGGCCTACGGACCAGAATAGGAACCCTATTATTTATGGTGGAGGAACCAGCAGATTGACAATGAGTAAGCAGATCGGGCAGCCTGTGGTGAAGAAGGATCTACAAGTGGATACGGCTTGACGTTCGTCTTTCTTTGTTCAGCTAATGCTGAGAGTCTGATTCCTACATCGATGACAATTGTTTCCGATACCGATTCGTCGATGCCGAACTAGATGTACATAGATTTGCACAATATGTATCATGAAACTTAGGAGTCGATGTAGGCATGTGTGGCTTAAGCGGCCTTAACAAACAGTAATAAGTAGTTTATTAAAAATTGATTACATTGCATTATATTTAGTAATTGCGTTATTTATTAGTGTTTTTATATCTATTTTTTTTATCCATAAAAAAGCTAATAGAATATTATTTATTATATTATTCTTATATTTATTTACATCTGTTTTTCATCTAAAAGCTAATATAGCTGTATATTATATAAAGTGTACATGAAGATAGTACGTAGGTTCGATGATAAATTTTGTTTAAAACAATATTAAAAATGTTATGTAAAATAGGTACTTTATATGTATGTATGTATAATTAAATTGTATCTTAAAATAAATGAAGCGCACGTAAGGGTCGTGAAATAGTTGTTTTGAAATACGATTATTAATCCAATAAACTAAATAAAAAATTAAATTTGCTGTAACGTATAATAAAATTTCGAATTTGAAAAAAAATGTATTTCACGAAAAAATTGCAATGTATTTTACGTTTATTTGAAATCGCATCTCGATTGATTTTAAACGGAAGTTTATATATGTAGATAGCAGTCATTTTTGTTACCTTGCAGCATTAAAACTATATTTTGTACTAATACTTTTTGGATATGCAACAAAATATATATTCTATCAGTTCAATTTAGTTTTATTTAAAAAGGTGATACTTCCATTTATCTTATTACATGTGTTAAATACGACTGATCTGCAATGTTTTCTTTCCAACCTTATAATCAGGTTTGTATGCATATTTATATTATATTAAAATACTACAGCTATACAAAAATTTTCAAAGTTTATAGATTGTTTGCTACATAAATTTTTATATTTGATAACGTAATAAATATATGCGTAAATTTATATTTTACATTTTTTTTTAAATATCTTCATAAATTTTTATTTTATAACCTTATATATATAGTTTATTATGAAATTTGTGTATATTTTGTAGGTAAAGAATAATTTCTTAAATTATAAGATAAACTTTGTTTTATATACACATACTTTTCTTTCTAAAAAAAGAAATTTATGCTTAATATTTTTTAGGTGTTATATCATCTGGCACAATTAACTTCAGTAGTTAGTCCAAAATCTACATCATTTCCAGTTAAAATAAAAAGACAAAATGAGTTGAAAAAATCTGTGAATGACATCTCCTCTAATAATTTGTCAGATGTAAGATAATTTGGTAATTACATAAAATCATAATAATAATTTATTAAGTTTTTCTTTTGTTTTAGGCTACTAAAAATCATATTGATACATTAATAAGTAAATTAAACACATCTAATGTAATTACAATGTTTGATATAAGGACGAATAATGTTTTGATAGTGTTAGATCAAGTTTCTATGAGAATTTTTAAGAGAAATTTAGAAAACAATAACAAATGGAAAGTATCATATATATCAGAATTGAATTCTATAAAAAACAAACATAAATATCTGTATAAGAAATGTGCTGAAGAAATTATTTTACCTACTATGTATTTATCAACGAAACAACGTCATACAACATTATGTACCTTTTGTAATAAAAATTTATTTAATTACCATATACAAATACGTAGTTTTAAAACAAAACGCAATGTGAATGCTGAATTAGAGAAACAATCATCGCTTATAAATAAATTAAGAAACGTGTTCGGTTATTTTTCTGGAACAGTAAGATCATATGTTATTTATCATTTACAATAATATTTTTTGTACTTTATAAATAACTTTTCTTACTTTACAGAATTCAGCATTAGTGCAAGCAGTGAAAAAACAGAAAGATATGATGGATCTCAAATCTTTATTCACTAATGAATCCAGTGATTATAAAACTATTATACTAGCTTTTATTGAAGGATTTGAAGCAGGACGCCAATCGTCTTCTTTTGGATGGGTTAAAACATTATATAGTTTAGCATCAGGATGTGTGTTTCTATCACTCTTATATATAAGTACGTAAATTTGGAAATGTAATGGAACTTCTGTAATTATTTTCTTTAATAATATTATTTTAATATATTTTTTGTAACATATACTCATACTGTTTAAGAAAATATATATTATCATAAATATTATTGTAAATGAATACTCATTTTTATACATATTTTTTCACTGAAAGAAAAAATTTATTTATAATTTTAATTATTAATATGTTTAAATGAATATCAATATGTTATAAATGATCAATAATTATATAATGTTTCTTATACTTTCCATATTGTAGTTTATGTTGTAGGAAGTGGATTACGATTTCCAATGGATGGTATGAAGTTTAGACCAGAAATAACACATATAACTTTCAATGATATTAAAGGAGTAAGTAAATCGTTTTTAAAATTTTTAGTATTAAATTTTTTCATTTCATTAAATGTTGTATATTCATTTACATATAATTAGGTTGCAGAAGCTAAACAAGAATTAAGAGATATAGTTGAATTTTTAAAAAATCCAGATAAATTTGTTGCACTTGGTGCAAAGTTACCTAAAGGCGTATTATTAGTAGGACCACCAGGAACAGGGAAAACATTATTAGCTAGAGCAGTAGCTGGTGAAGCTGGTGTTCCATTTTTTCAAGCAGCTGGGCCAGAATTTGAAGAGATTTTAGTAGGACAAGGTGCACGAAGAATGAGAGATTTATTTAGTAAGTTGTAAATGAAATATTACAAAAATAAAATAAATATTAAAAAACATTCTAAATTATGTGTTAACAGGAACCAACTTTTATATTTCTTAATTTCTTTTTTTTTTTTCACAGAATTCATGTATTAAATATATATATATATATCAGTTCGATATCATCAGTAATTCATATCAGTTTGATATATTAAAAATCGTATATTTATATTTAAATATGATCATTTTTAAAGCTGCTCTTGATGTTATCTATCTATATTTTCTCTCTTATTTATAATACAATTTAATGAATATCCTAATTAGCAAGTATGTGCGCCTTTAAATATTTTTTTTTAATTTTTAAAATTATAAAACAATGCAATAATATATTTTACACTTATTATCATCTTTATTTTGAATAAAAATTTAAAAAGATGATATTAATATGATATAAAATTTATTACTATAATGTTTCCAATAAATATATTTTGAAAAATTTTTACAGCTCCTTCATAGTTTATTACTTTTTTCAGAAGCAGCAAAAGAAAGAGCACCCGCTGTAATATTTATAGATGAAATTGATTCTGTTGGTGCAAAACGAACAAATTCATCTCTTCATCCATATGCAAATCAAACAGTAAATCAATTACTTACAGAAATGGACGGGTAAACCAAAAATTTTACTTCTTTGTTTTGCAGCATACAGAATGATTCTAAAGATTAATATGGGTTGTATGTGAAAACGAAAGAAATTGGTAGAAGAAAAAATGAAACATTTAATAAGAATTATTTTATCATAATATGATTTTTTTTTAAATTTAATAATGTAAAAAGTAAATTGATTCTCACATTATTTTCTTTTTTTGATATATTTTCAACAATTTTTTTACTACTTTTTTAAATATGTTTTATGGGATGTCTTTTTTTATTTTATATGTATTAGGATAAGGAAAATCGATCTATAACGTAAATAATATGTCTTTCCTTATATTGCAAGAAAAATAAAGAAATAGAGAAAAAATTAAAAAATTATTGTAGGATGGAAAAATAGTGCTAATTGTATTTAATTTTCTTTTTTATTAATTTTTCTTTTTTTCTAAAGAGATAAAATTTAATTTTAAACTTCGTTGTATATCTATTTTATGTACAGTTATTCTTATCAATAATAATTTGTTTTTTTATACTTTCAGATTCCTTCAGAATGAAGGTGTTATAGTATTAGGTGCAACGAATAGACGCGATGATTTAGACAAAGCATTGATGCGACCTGGTCGTTTTGATGTTGAAGTTCTTGTTGATATACCAGATTACTCAAGTCGAAAGGAAATTTTTGAGTTATATTTATCAAGAATATTTACTGAAGACGTCGATTCAGACTACTTAGCAAAATGCACTCCTGGATTTACTGGAGCTGATATAGAGAATATGGTATTCATTTATCTTACATTTTTATTAAAGTGTTTTCATTGAAAATAAATAATAATTTTAAGTTAAATTATTTTTATTATTATGAATTCAATTTTAAAAGGTAAATCAAGCAGCTTTAAGAGCTGCTATAAATGATGCTGAACATGTAACAATGAAACATTTAGAATATGCTAGAGATAAAATAATCATGGGTCCAGAAAAAAAACAAAAAATTAAAGACATAGAAACTAATACCATTACAGCATATCATGAAGCAGGACATGCATTGGTTGCATATTATACTAAAGACGCACCACCAATACATAAAATTACTATTTTGTCTCATAACTATTCTTTAGGACATGTGAGTATTAGAAGTTAATGATTGTATGTCATATTTATATTACCACTATTGATACATACATACATACATACATATATATATTTTTTTTTATAGACTGCATTTTTATCCGACGATGAGTATCATACAACAAAATCTAAATTATTAGCTCTAATCGATAGTGCAATGGGTGGTCGTGCTGCAGAAGAATTAATTTTTGGTCCTGATAAAGTAACATCAGGAGCATCTAACGACTTTATGGTATTTTGATATGGTTTATATTTATGTAAACAATTTTTTATCATATGTTTGACACAATAATTTAAAAATATAAATATTAATTTAATGTATATATTCAATATTATTCTCCTTAGAGGGCAACTGCCATTGCAGAAGAGATGGTACATAAATATGGTATGTCTGAAAAAGTTGGTTTTGGTATAATTCGTAAAAAAGGACAAATGGATGGATATCAGTTAGGTCCTAGCACAAGTGATCTTGCTGATAAAGAAGTGAAACGCCTTTTACAAGTAAATTTTATTATCATATAGTATTAATTGTCATGTAATATTATTTCTTAATTTTTTTAAAATTAATGTATTTTCTATTTTAGGAATCATATGAACGAGCAAAACAGACATTGCAAAAACACGCGAAAGAACTTAAAATAGTAGCAGATGCTTTACTTAAATATGAAACATTAAGCTCTAAAGATGTAGAAGCTATAATTAATGGAGAAAAAATTCCACCTGAGGTTTTAAAAAATCAACCACGGATTGTAGATCCGTCTGAACATGTATTATAATTAGTAAACCAAGATTCAATTTACAATGATATATAAAATAAATTATTTCGTGCAGTATCGCAATCTACAATTATATTTTATATTACTTTATTATAATAATTATATTTTACAATTTTAATATAGACGCAGAATTATAGAAATTCAATATATCAGATCTTTCAATTGAGAATTTTGTAATACATAACTTTTATTTCGTTATATAATTTCAATGCATCAAATTTATATAATAGTTCATATGAATTTATATTTTACAGCCAATTAATACTAAAAGTCTCAAATGAAAATAAATTAAGACAATATACAAATATATCAAAAAATAATATAAATGTAAAATACTATATATAATTATATATAAAGACAAAATTGTATATAAGTAGGTATTGTAACAAAATTTTTACATTACCTAAAATTTATAGCAATAATCATACAATTAAAATTTTCATAAAATAATTCTGCAAAAGAAATTTTATTTTTCGTTCATAAAGAACATATTAATGTCATTATTATTGTTGCAAGAATTTATTGTTTGCAATATTGAACAGAAAACATTAATAATATATATTTTTACAATATAATTGTATTTTGGTTGCTAATATAACAATAAATTCTTTTTTATGTTAACTAATTTTCGATTTTATTTTCAAAAGACGAATTATTGAAATTACCGCATCAATAATAAATAAGCAAATATATTTAATTTTATTATTCTTTTATGTATTATAAATGCACTTTTTAACTGGAAATATTAATTTTTATTATGATTAACTAATTGTTTGGTTGAAAGAAAGTGTTTGTAAAATATCTATATGAAATATTTAAACTTTAAGATTAATAATATTTAGGCCATATAGCGTTAACATTTTATTTATTACTAGATATTTTTATTTACTACATATTATAAATTATACAAAATTATATTTCATATTCCTATCTATTTTTTATTATACAATAAAAATTACTCTATTATTATTGCATCTAAATCTATTACATAACTACGAGTCATTAATGCTTATTCTTTTCATCTAAAGATATTGAATTTATCAATTAACAACGTGTAATATTACTTAAAACAAAGACATATTTCCAAAATGAAATGCTAGAAAACTTAAGTTCAAATTTGTATTTTGAATAAATAATTTGCATAAAATATAATACGCGTGGACAAATATAAACCAAGGAAAATGCTTTATAATCTAATTCTACAAGATTAAGACATATATGTACAATAAAATGTACAGGAAAAAATATATAGGTATTCATACAAATATCACAGTTTACTACCTTTGAGAAATCATGACAATTTAAATTCTCCGAATACACTCGAAATTAATTTAATATATGAAATATTAATGAAAAAAGCTTAATTTAAATAATGTTTTTCTAAAGAGGTAAATATTATCATTTAGATTTTTATATTCGAAATATCTTTGTAATAATGTAATTATATAATGTAATATAAATTATACATTATATAATTTATTAACCAAAATTTTTTATTAGGTAAAATTTCATATCGTATTAATATATTACAATATTTTTGTTTAAAAAACAAAAGAAATTATTTTCATTAACGTATGCAAATTAAATCTCACATTAAAGAATATATTACAATATAAAATTAATGAAAAAAAAAAATTACAAATATTATTAAAAATGTCTGTACATACAAATACATTATATAAAATTATTATATTACCATGTAGAACACATTATTTTAATTTAAAAAACGAAATTTAGAGATATATACTTCATAATAATAAAAAAAAATATTTTTAGCTAATTTAGAATACAAAACATAAAATTCTATATAGTATAAAATTTCATAACATTAAATTTATAAAAAGAAAAATATCCATGAGAAACTAATAACGGGAATTAATCGCTATCTTATAAGGAATAAAGAGGGAATTACATTTGTTATGTTTCTCTTCAATGATTTTTTTGCATTTTTTTTTTTACTAAAAAAGAATTTTTATTTACAAAGCAAAATAAATTGCCAGTGACACTAGCACACGCAATGGGAATATCGCTTTCCTATTGCTTGATTTAGTCTACCTGACATTCGATCATACAAAATAGGTAGAGAAATTTTTGTTTTTTTTTCCATTAATGAAGCGAAAAGATCTTGAAGAATCAAAAAAAACGATCCTTCGAAGATCGATGAGCCTCAATCACGGCATTTAAAGCCGTATAATATCGCCAAGTCTACTTTTTTTCTTCGGTTTTGAAAGTAATACAAAATCTTTGACAAGAAACAAAACGCAGATCGTTTAATGTGGCAAGATTACGTGTATTATAAATATATTTGACGGAAAATAAGCAAGGCGAGTTTTCTTTTTATTTTAATAAATTACCAATAAAATAAATCTGCAAGCAACAGTACTTTGTTTATACTTTCTTCTTCTTCTTTTTTTTTCTATGCAAACATATCTTTTATGTGTGTTTCATTTGATTGTGCAGGATAATATGCTAATTCGTGATAACGTTGAAGAACAGAAAATTCGATATCAGAAAAAATTCAGCAGCTGAATGACACTTCAAAAATTAAAAATAAAAATCTTTGTAATAATTTATGATCCGTGGATCTTGTTTTATGAAAATTATTTCATTCTACATATTTCTAATCGTGATAACCGATAAATTATTGCATTCTACGATTACGACATATAATATTTTACTGACCTATAAAACTGTCCTACCCCATGCAATATTGTTAATATCCGAGTAATTATCAACTTGTACTCCATTTTTTCTCCGTCGAAATTTATATTTCTATTTGAGAAATAAACTCGTAATTATTAAACAATCTAAGAAAATATTTGTACGAAATTTTTATTATAAAGGAAGATTTTCGTCATGGTATTAAATGTCAATATAATAGAATATAGACAGATGAAGCTATGTTAATAAAGAAAAATAATTAAACAATTTACAAATCAATAAACTTTCGATGGAGGGAAAAAATACAGTGCAAAGTTAGATTGTATGGTAATTTAATTATACCATGCCCATTTAAACAATCTTGTCCTGTCAGCTCATTTTCATTTCTCATTGAAATAATTTAGTATTCAAATTGATGTTTACGATTTCCTAAGCAGACAAGATCGTCATTATTATTACTTTGTCGTTTAAATATAACTATATCTATTGACTGTCTGTGTAAATATGAATGTATATATGTTTCAATATAATTTATTTCCGCTGTTTCGTTTTTAATTCTTTTCCTTTTTTTTTTTTTTTTTGTTTTTTTTTTTTTAATAAATCGGTGCTGTTAGATTACAGATTCTTAGATATCAGTATCAATTTTGACGCTTCACATTCATTCTCTTATTATTAATTTGAGCCAATAGTTATATAGTATTAATTTTTTCTTTTCTTTTTTTTCTTTTGTTTGGCAAATAAAGGATAGTATAATTATTGCACATTCTAACTGTTTCATAAAAATGTTCCGCGTATTTTAAATGATCCGTTCCTAGATCAAATTGTAAATTAAACAGCACAGACAAACCCTGATTACACGATAATATCGAATAATTCCTACCTAAAATCTTTGTGCGTACAACAACAAGTAATATCGTAGTACATATTCTTTTTTTTTTTACTTACGAGTTATAAATAGCAGTATTATTATAGAAATTTCCAAGATCTTCGATCGTTTGGTCAAGTTAATGAAAGTCATTTATTTTATACTTGCTTGATTTATGTTTTCCATTAATTTTTCTCTTTCTCTCTTACTTTTCTTTTTTTTCTTTTCTTGCCATTGCACAACCTACAAAAGGTCGAGTCCTCTTTTCTTTTTGCCCATTTAATTGCTAGTTTCAAATCACTACTTGGTTCGTCGAATGATTTTTTTTTTCTTTTTTTTTTTTTGTTTGTACAATTCACAACTCGCCTTACAGTAAGATTACCGTCTTATTAGTTTTTTTTTTTTTACAGTTTAGAATATTTGAAACTACGTTGTAACTTATTTCGTACAAAGAATGCTCTTACTCTTGCTGTATTTCAGACTGCATGGGAAACTAACGTTTTCTTGTTGCTTATAAATGTGTGATGCAATTATCAGAAATATTTATTAACCCTTTGAAGTATTACTAATTCCTTTTCTTTTTACCTATATTTTTTTTCTATTTTTATTATTCATTTTGAAATTCTGTTTCAATTTGAATCGAGATATAAAAATACGCTTAATCGGCATATGTTCATATAAAGAATCTTTTAATAATTTTCAAAATATCTTGTCCGATTCTCTATCTTCAATTTGTCATTAGAAAATTTATGATATGCCGAGAGATTTTTGTCGAGAAGATTTGTTTTCATAGAAATTTTAAAAGCTGTGCTTTTCCTAAATCCGGCTTGGATTATCATATTGGACCAATTCATGCTTCAAAAGGTTAATAGAAACGTGCAGATTACAAATTCAAAATCTTGATTACATGTGTAACATTATCTAAATTCGTGGAATTCGAAATCTTTCGAACTTCCACATACGACTATTTAGTTACAGTATGTGAAATGGCGATTAAAAACCGATATTAGCAATGTAGTGCCTGTATGTGGCAATAGCATAAACCAAGAAACATATTCGAAATACACTTTGATTAATGGTAATGTAACAAAAATTTTCTATACGATAAATACACAGAAACTGATTTCATAGATTAAAAAAAAAAAAAAAATGCAAAATTTCAAACGAGTCATTACTTTTTAACTTATTTAATTTCTTTTTATTGTCATAATAATCGCTCATTTGATTAATAACAAGTTAATCGATTTTAACAAAAACATGAGATTTGGTTCATGCTATTTGTACGTCAATAGTAACTCTCAAAGAACAAGATTTCACAAAAATCATACTATATATTTACATGGTGTTAACATTCGTAACGCCATATAATCATTTTACAGAATGATAATAGAGAATTCTTACAAATGTCGTGTTCGTGATCATTTGCGAGTAAATAACATTTACTCCATACTTTTTTTTTTCTTTTTATAAAAATCTAATTATTTTACGTTGAAGCTCATCATTTGAAGACTTCGACGTGAAAAATAATTTTAAGTGACGAAATTCGTACAATCGCGATCGACTGTATCATTTGTTTTCGCGTGAATTCTTTACGAAAGATCCAATCTTTTCTGTTTCGAAAGCTAAGTAATCACGATGCGTTAGGAATAAAAATCGGTTAAACAACTATCCAATTCATAAAATTCTCGATCAAGAACGCCATAGAAAAATATAAATTGGCGGTGTATTTATGGTAATTCGGATTTCATTGATGAACAAAACGACATACCAGGAAGACCCGCCATAGCAATAATTATTTAGCACTATTATCGATGTAGAATCCAGTACGATACATAAATATGAAATTTTACGTCCTTTTTTTATTTCTTATTTAAAACAAAAGTGCTCAAACTTCAATTATTTAAATTATACGAATTTCGATCAATTTTTAAGAGACCAAACTAATATTTAAAAATTGTATTTAAAATAACAATTTGAAGTCGTGCTTAAAAAAAAAGAAACTTATGATAACCATGAGTTTAATAAATTTATATTGATAATAAAACTTAAAGCCTATGGCAAAACAAAACAAGAAGAGAAAATATAATATAAAAGTTAACAACCAATAATACCGATTTTATGAAGTTTGAATACTTCTGATCTAAAAATGTGATGTTCTGTCAATCAAACACAAATTTAACAAATTTACACAAATAAGGTAAAATAAAACATTTACAAATTTACATACTTGCTTTCTTGCCGTCATTTCGCCGGTTAGAAAAAGCGTACCACATACTGGGTTCAATACCGATTGTTATGTAAAAAGAAGCTCACCAATGTCCAGCAGGTGATCGTAAATATTTCTTAGAAACGCTTGAATAACAAAGTCGCAATAACGCGTTCTTAAATGACTTAGAAACAAACGTTTCGAAACGACGAATATAAAGTATTTATATAAAATCAACTTCCACTTATTTGAATCTCAAATACTACACAGCGACGATCGCTCTGTTTGAGCAACTTCTTCGTCATATTTTTCACACTTGTAAACTCAATGTTCCACCAAAGACACCTAAGACTGCACTGAAGACATTTACACTTTTTAGTTTCACTAGTGGCAAATTCAAGAAATATACAGTATTCAAAGATTTTTATTTGCATCACAGTGATTTCTTTCTTGTCTTACTTATTTTAAGAAATAAGTACAAGATTGGCAGTCACTTATTCTGCTTTTTATATATTGAGTTGAATTATAAATACACTTACAACTGCACTGAAATTACATTTAATTCAATAGTCAATATAGTCAACTTTTTTTAAAGATATTATTTTTATATTTGAATTTTCCATCATGAGCTGCTCTTATTAGTACGTTTGTATAGTGTTGCAATTAAAAACATAAATTGAAGATATTTAATTCTGATGATATTCTTCTTACTCTGTATTATATAGGCAGTACAGATTCAAATGTCTCAATAAATGATAAAAAACTGAGAAATTTGTACAAATTGTACTCATAAATATAAAACACGAAGGAATTATTTATTCTGATGAAAGTTCAAACTGATGCAATTTTATCTAATCACTATGACATGTATCATTTGATATTAGCACAAGGAATTAGGATTTATTTATTAATCTTTTCATACTGCCATTATAACGCTTTGTATATTAAAATGGAATATTTATGCAAATTACTATCATTATAAAATGGAGTTATGAGAACATACAATTTAAGAATTACTTTTTCAACCTTTGGTAAATCACTATGCAAAATCACAAAAAATCTATGAATTACTTCTGTATATGCTTTCAACGATTAGGCTCTGTCACTTCGTTAAATAAAGGTGTCAGTGAATCAACGTCTTGCAATCCATCAAAATTACCAAGTGGGTCCAAATCATTTGTTTCTGTATCAGTTTCTCCAAGGAAATTAGCTTCGAGCAAATCCACAACATTCCTACATAAACTGCTAGAAGCAGACTCATTAACAGTCTCATTGTGCAAGTTTAAAGAATTCAAAGTAGGACTTGAAAGCATAGGTTCGTTAGTATCCTGATACGTTTCTTGCGATTGAATTGTATGAAGTGGTGTTGAAGGGTATGATCTTGATCCATTACTGTCTTCTGTATAAGATGGCGTGTATGTTGATACCGGCACAGGTAATGGTGTATTAGGATAGGACCGTGACTGTATTATTTTCTGTAATGCTCCACCTACTGGAATATCAAGTACATTTGATGGATCTAACATATCCTCTTCTGACAAGTTTAAATTTGAATTTGGTAAAGCATCCAACACTATTGAATTATTTTCTATCAAGCCTTCTTCTGCAGATTGCTCTGGTAAAATTTGCAAGCTTTGAGTTCCTTCTTCATCTAAAATGTTTAATATATTTGTTATGTTTTCAGGTGTAATTTCTTTATCACCCATTAAGAAATTTTGGTCATCTGATATAAAGTTTGGATCAACATCATCAAGTAAATATGTTGAAGGTACTTCTGACTGACCTATTGACCCAAAATCATTAAACTCACTAGGTACTGGTGTAGGCGCTACAGAACTGCTCGTAGATGGATTAAAACTCTGACTTTGAAAGGATGATAAGCAATGTTGTGTTGAAATAGGTGACATTAATGCAGGATTGACCATTCTATGTAATGGAACTGATTGTGATCTGTAAAGTTCACTGGTAAATTGTTTATTGTTATGAAACAGTTCGCTAATTTCTTGATCAGGTTGACTTTTTTGATAAACGTTCTTAATTTCCTGTAAATTTTCCTGGCTTGGATAATTAATAACCAATTGTTTTTGCGGCGCTAGATCAGAAGATAAAAATGCAGCACATTGTGATCCTTGTCCTTCTCTTTTTGGAGTAACTGAAATTTGCGTTGTATTGCTATCTACTTGCACTTCCGAAGATTTGGTAGAAATTAACGGTAATTGCGGTGTAGATGACGCTTGTCTAACTAATTCTGGACCACTTGTGGGAACAACAAAAGTATCATTTTTACTAGTATAAGGCATACTGCAAGAAATTGAACGTGATAAGGATTTATGAGCACGGGCTCTGGAACTACTTGCTTGCAAATTGCTTCTTGAGCGTGGCACAGGTGTATTTCGTGGTGAAACAAATGGACTGGCGTTTGCAGAATTAGATTTGGAAGCGCGACCATTGATAGGTGAATGTGGGCCTGGCGATATTGGTGTAAAATTAAATATTCGACGTCTTGTATTCGGACTTTGTGGAACCGTATTAGTAATAACATTCGAGTCTTGGACATGTTCTACAACGTTCGTTTCAAAACTGACTCTACGTCTAGTATTATTTGGATTCGGATGGTTTAATAAAGTTGGTAATATCAAGTTGTGTTTTTGAGTGATTTCACGTTTTTCAACATTCTGTCTAATGATAGCAGCAGGTAATACATCAATAGGTGCATGTACAGTCCCTCCTTTCAAATTCTGTTGTAATATTAATCTTAGTTGAGAAACTTTGTCAGATCTTGATATTTGTTCATCAATAGAAATGGTGTTTGCTTCTACATCTGAACTCGATGAATTGCTTTGTTGAAAATACTGTAATAACTCTTCCTCTTGTTCTTGCGAGTTGTTACCTCCGTTCAAATAATCGTCTAAAGCATCCGAATCAATAGAGCCAAGTTTCTCAGTTTTACTTGCAAGATTTGAATTTTCTTGCAATAATAAAATCTGGTCTTTAGTCAAAACTGTTGCACTTGATTCCTCTGTTGCATTTCTATTAGATTCAAAAGTGGTGGGACAACCATTTACTTTAATGCAACTTTTGGAACATGTTGATGACTCATTATCACAGTTTTTAGTAGACTGATTGTTAACAGCCTCATTTGTTTTGCACTTGGTAGGCTTCAGGTTACTAGCTAGTATCACCGAAATTTTCCCAGGACGTTGTATAGATGTAAGCTTAGGCAACACATTGGAATGCTCCACATTCTCTTGTATCTGCTGTTCTGTAAGTTTTGTCTGTTTTTCAGGGCTTGTCTCCGATGGTTGATTCAATACAATTGGATTGGCACGCTTTCTGGAATTTTTAGGTTTGATATCTCGCTGTGTATTCACGCAGTTGGTCATCACTACACTAGGATTGCTATTATTCTGTACGTCTTCAATCGATTGTACCACTATATTATCACAGTTAGATTCCAGGGAGATGTTACATGGCTGACTACTAGTAGCTTTAAGAACTTTTCTCTGCCGATTGGTTGCTATAACAGGTGAATTCAATTTACTTAATGCATTCTGTCCACTTGATACGTTTGTACCTTGAGATGACTGATTAGATTTAGTTTTCTTATTTCCTTTATTTATCGCCTTATTATCGACAGTCTTCTCTTTGTTCTGGTTCTGAAACGTTTAAGAAATATTATACTTGTTATTTGTTATCAACATTGTATTACTTATTAGAAAATATTTTATACTTGTATAACAGCATCAAGATGGCGGTGCTTTTGATCCCTTATATGTTCTCGCTGTTGTAGTTTTCGTTGCAATTGTAACTGTGCTTCTCTAAGTTTTCCAGACTTTCCACTTACAGATGTTGCACGTATATCTGTATTCGATTCTAAACATATAAAGCCATACAAATATAAAATCATTTATAATATACATTTTAAAATATATAACAATCGCGAAACCTTTATTTGTCGCTGTATTTGAATTTCCTGAAGCACATAATATACACACAGCAGATAGAGATCGAGTATCAACACACAAATTATCAACAAGATGACGTGCTAAGGCACTCAAAGTTGGAAATTTCAAGCCTAGGAGGTTTTCAGCCCATTCTCTGATCAAGGTAGATGCAGCTCCCAACATTTCTTCAGTAATATTTTCATCTACTTCGTCACCCTAAAAGATTTGAAAGTTAATTGTAATATAAAAAATAATGCATACACATATATATAGTAAAATAAAAATTCTATTATATACATAATGTATATTTTCTTTATATATTGAGAAACAAATATATATATATATATACATGTAAAACAGACGTATACATTATATACATAATAGAATTTTTTTTAATAATTCCATCCTACAGTTTGAGTGCCAGATATATTAGGCAATGCTGGAGGATCCAATTTAACTCTTTTACGCATTCCAGCATAACAATAACGTGAATTGCCTCGTGTGCCTAGTCTACGTGGTCGAACTCGTGGATATACTTGTTTCATGACTTTACCAAAATCAGCAGTTGACAGAGGTTTCATAGAATTTCGCATACAATACATACTGCAAATAAATCAAAAACAGAAATATAAAATAACAAAATATATATTGCTTACAAAATAACAAAATTTATAATTTTTTACAAGATACTCAAAATTTTATTAATTTAATAATTTAAAAACTTCAAGAATACTTTTCAAGATATGTTAAATTTAGATTACTTACTTATATTCATCATAAACTTCTTGTTTTGGTAAAGACACATCTGGATCTTCTTCTAAGTGTGTTTTAATCCACATAATAGTTTGATGAATTTCATAACGATTTCCTAATGGATTTAATGGTTGTCTCAAAGGATCAACTGTTCCTCCAGTATTAGTCAGTGATAATGGAAGTTTCAGGTACAATAATAATTTTTCTTCTATTTTCAGTTGTTCAATTTGTGAAAAAATTTCTTGAATGCGTGCTTTTGATTCTTCACTATATATAAAAATCAATAAAACTAATTTGTATATAATTGTAGATGAAACATTGTATATAAAATTTAAAAGTTAAAAAAAAAGACATTTAAAACTTTTATAAAAACTTTAATTTTAATGTTTTAAATACTAATAATATAAGAATTGTGGCATATAATCAACAAATAAAATTATGATGATATGTGTAATCTAATTCCATTACTTACTAATAATATATTAAATAAAAAATTTTATTATTTTGTAAATATTTATTGTAACATGATAAAATAAATTTGTCAAATTATGATTTAAAATAAAATTTGCTTAGTTTGCATAGCAAATTTTACAAGTTTACAAAACGAAGAATTAATTACATTTTTATCCCATATAAAAATTATATAGCTGCATATTTTCTTTTTGTTAAGCTATTAAAAATTTACATTCATTTTAGACTTGATAGTACAAATTTAAATTAATTTGAAAATATTTTTAAATCAAATTGCTTAAATCCCAAAAATATGTGAATTTGAAAGTATATATTCTGAATTATAGATTTTAAATAAAGCAATAAAACTTCTTCATTCCCACATTTATAATAACATAAATGTCCAAAAAGTAAAGGAAAAATATGAAAGTATTTATTGTAATTAATGTTTTAATATTCATTATTTCATAAAAATAAAAAAAACATATTGAAATATCTTGTCTTCATTTAACTCTATTAAACATGTTAAAAGCTTAGAAAATAGTCAATTCTTTTTTTTGATTTATAAAGTTAGCTCACACATTAATGTAATATATGGTAAAACATACTACATAACTTTAATATTAATAAGAAGGAAGCACATAAAATGTTAAATATTTTAATATATAATTTCTTTGGAAAATCTAATTGTAAGTTTTAATAAAAACATTAAAATAATTAATTGATTTGATGATGAAAATTGTACCAAATCCAATGTAGTAAAAAATAAAAATAAAAAAAAAGAAAAGGGTAGAGACAAGCGAATACAAAATGAGAGAAGAGATTTTGTATGTGTGTGTATTGTGCGCGCGCGCGCGCCATGTTGCGGAAGGGGGAAGAGAGGGGGGGGGAGAGAGAGAACAATTGAATTAACCTGATGCTATCTTCGATCATGAGCCGAATTTTGTCGTACTTAGTGGTTGTGCCATGATTTGCCAGGGCCGTGAACTTGGCCGCGATGATATCTTGAAGTAGGTCGTCGTCGTGGAAGCCGTTTGAAAATCTACCGGCAGCCGGTCGGTGACTCGACTGTAGTTGCTTGTTGGTATCATTAATACCGGCGTTAATACCATCACCATTCTCGAGAGAAACGTCAGTTCGTTCCTTCTTAATTCGCCTGCCGTCGAACGCGCTTTCGTCGGCGTTAAGCTCGATTCTTGCGGGTGGTTTGCTGACGCAGGGCTTTGTTTGATCATGATTATCAGTACTCATCGTACCCCGTCAGCGGAGGCGCTTCGATTATGTGTGTAAAAATTGATCACCTCCCGTAGGACGACGCGAGTACCCTACCATTTTGTCAGAGTCAGCTGGACTACTTGTTAGCATTGCACTCCCGGTGATTATACATGAGCGCCATTCGAGACTCTCCACTCGCACGGATCCGACAAGTCGCCGAAGCGCATACAATATGAGAATAACCACCAACCCGTCATACCGATCTCGTGCGCAACATTTTACCCATGCTTCTCGGCATAGTTCATTTTGGCGGAATGCTCTTATGCGCGACCCATGACCAACTTCAACCCCAGGATTAGTGGACGGTCCAAGCACAGAAATCTGAGTACTTTGCGCGTTCCTCAATCGTCATAGATCTTGCGCTTTGTCTTATGAGCACGTCGCTTTATGTCGCTTTCTCTTATGTGTCAGATCGCGTTCTCATCGAACTTTCGCGTATCCCTTGAAAGGCAGCTGATCATTGGTGAATTCTTTCCCTCAGAGCTGGACCGAACTTACATCTTTTTCTCGCGTGTTTGCGTACAGGTATTGTAAATATTACAGTTTACTGTTACAAGCCTGTACGTTTTTCCACTTTATAGAAAATGAGAATTCAACGGTAGCACTGTTTTTTCTGAACGATCGTTGCAATTCTGCCATTTCTTTGATATCGTGCTTCTTATTGGATGTCTACAATTGAATGTGAGTAATCATTGGTTCGAAGTTTTTTATTCTGGTAGTGCTAGATACAATATGATTGGTCAGTGTTAATACTTTTGTAATTAAAATACATGCACTTTATATGTAGTATATTGGTTTTATTAGATTAGGTGCGCAGTTTTTTTTAAAATATAAATTTAAATATATATACAATAGAACCTCGTTTATCCGAACACGTTTATCCGAGAGACAAGGTTCTTCAGACAACCGAGTTTGAAAAATAAAAGTTCATTAACTTTCTTTATATTCTTTATTTTGTTTCCTATTTTAATAAAACATAATAGCTGAGGATAAAAGTTGATCAGTTATGATTATATATATCTGAAGCTCATTATTAAATTGTTCGTATAATCAAGATTTTACTGTGTACGTAGTCACAGATATAGTTAAACGAAATACTTGTGTAACTATATATAAAAAATTTTATATTCATAAAATCAGAGTTAATACAAAATACATATAACAATGGTTATAAAATTATAACTTAACAATGTTAATAATAATTTACGATGAATAAGTTTTGTCTATTTAATCATTTGAATATATGTATCATGAATATATCGAAACAAATAGAAAACGAAGCAATACCAAGAACAAATATCTGAAAGTTGTTTGTTATAAATAAAAGGTATTACAAAATTATTCATTTAATTTTTTATTCTAAACTATTAAACTTTAACTGCTATCCATTATTTTTTACTTATTACTTCGTAATTACAATTATATAGTCATGAATTGTAATCGATCATTGATTTTAAATAGTCAGAAATTTTTTATTTTATAAATTTTCGACGTAATTATTATCAATTGTCATTGATCAATTAAATAATATATATCATAAATAACAATTATTAATGATTGTTGCATTAACATTCGTCATAATAAAAAATCACGTGCTATGGAAGACGTAAACTGAAAAATCAAAAATTTGCACGTCGTCTTAACAAAATATAAGATTGTTGTCTATGCATCGAATATTTAATTCTGGTGAGTGATATAAGCCTTTTTTTCAAAAGTCTTTCGTTTTATGTTGTTTTATTAACGTAAGGCAGTAATAATTAACCTTTACAGATATTGAAGTTCCACAGAATAATATTAAAGATGTTGAATGTGTCATATTTTCATTTGCGCCAGTTTGGATTAAAACATTGTTTAAAATTTTATAATTCCCATTCAAGAAGAAATATAACATGTACTGTTACAAAGTATGATAGAGCTGCAACAAAAGCTAGTATCAATGAATTAAAAGACGGACAAATTATTCATGGTTTCATAGTAGATGAAATTGCAAAAATAGATGAAGTATATCTAACTGCAGTGAAATTAACCCATTTGGGTACTGGAGCGCAATATTTGCATTTAACCAGAGATGACAGTAACAATGTATTTTCAGTTGGATTTCGTACGACTCCAAAGGATTCCACAGGTTTACCTCATATTTTAGAACATACTACTCTATGTGGTAGTGAGAGATATCCATGTAGAGACCCATTTTTCAAAATGTTAAGAAGATCATTAGCTACATTTATGAATGCCATGACAGGGCCTGATTATACCATATACCCATTTTCTACTCAAAATTTAAAAGATTATCGAAATTTACAATCAGTATATTTGGATTCTGTATTTAAGCCAAATTTAAGAGAACTTGATTTTAAACAGGAAGGATGGAGATTAGAACATGCAGATGTTAATGATAAGAATTCACCTATCATTTTTAAAGGAGTAGTTTTTAATGAAATGAAAGGTGTTTTCAATGAAAATCAAACAATATTAGCTGAGAAGTTATTAAATCTTATTTTACCCAGTCATACGTATGCAGTAATTTCTGGTGGAGATCCTCTTGTTATTCCTACATTAAGATATATTGACCTGCTTAATTTTCATCAAACTTATTATCATCCTTCTAATTCTCGATTCTACTCCTATGGTAACTTCCCTTTAGAAGATCATTTAAAATTTATTAATGATCGATATCTATTTTTAATGGATAAAATAGATACATCCATGTCAAAAGTTCCTTCGGAAAAACGTTGGAATAGTCCAAAAAAGGAACACATTACATGCAGGCCAGATCCAATGGCTCCAGATCCTAATCGACAAGGTAGCATAGCTATTGGTTATTTGTGCAATGATATTACTGATATACAAAAGACTTTTGAAATAAACATTTTATCTCAACTACTGTTGAAAGGGCCAAATTCACCATTTTTTAAAGCGTTAGTAGAATCAAAACTAGGAACTGCTTTTGGTCCAATGACAGGTTTTGATTCCCAATGTAAAGATACCATGTTCGTTGTGAGTTTGCTTGGTGTTAAACCAGGAGATTTTGAAAAAATAGACAAGATCTTTAATGAAACTATAGAAAAAGTTGTTGAAGAAGGTTTTATAGAAGATCGTATTGAGGCTGTTTTACACACTATTGAACTTCAGATGAAACATCAAACTCCCAATTTTGGGTTGCAATTACTTTTTAGTTTAACACCATTATGGAATCACAATGGTAATATTATACAATCAATGAGAATTAATGCAGCGATTACGAAATTTAGAGAAGAAACAAAGAATAATCCTAAATATCTTCAACAATTAGTAAAAACATATCTAATGGATAATAATCATAAATTAACGTTAACAATGTTGCCATATGAAAAGTATGATCATGAAAAAGCAGCTGCTGAACATGAATTATTAGAATCTAAATTAAAACAACTCTCCAAAGAAGAATTAGACCAAATTTATATAGATGGAAAAATTCTTCTTGAAGAACAACAGAAAGAAGAGGATGTAAATGTTCTTCCTACTTTAAAGATAGAAGATATAAAAGAAGATGTAGAACGATATAAATTAGAAGATATGAAAGTAATTGATGTTCCCTTACAAGTAGCTAATGAACCAACAAATGGTGTTTGTTATTATCGAGGAATTCTTGGTACAAGAGATTTAGCACAAGAATTAAAACCATTGATACCACTTTTCAATAATATTATTTCAAAAATGGGTACAAAAAATTATGATTATAGAAATTTTGATCAAATGATACAATTAAAGACTGGAGGTTTAAATTTTATGAAACATGTTGTGGAACATAAAAATAGTTTATTGCAATATGAAGAAGGAATATTAATAGAATCATATTGTTTGGATCGTAATGTAAATGATATGTGGAAACTATGGTTAGAATTGTTTAATAATGTTCAATTAGCAGATATTGAAAGATTTACGACACTTGTTAAAATTAATGCTGCAGATTTGATCAATGGTATTGCAGATTTAGGACATACCTATGCAATGAGTAGTGCAGCTAGTTTGGTTTCTCCAGTCACTAAGTTTAAGGAAATTATATCAGGATTGCAATATGTCTCAAACATGAAAAAAATAGCACAAATGCCAGATTTAACACCTGTTTTAAGTCAAATGCAAGAAATATCCAATTATATTTTGAATAAACAACATTTGAGATCAGCAATAAATTTGTGTACAGATAACAAAGAAATAATACTAGAAAGTATTAGTGAGTTTTATAGTTCATTGAAAGGCACACCTAAAAATGCATATATTTTCACACATGATGAAAATACTGAAATGAAAGATAGTGCTATTCATTATGTATTACCATATACTGTAAATTATACAGCTAAAGCAATTTTTACTGTACCATACACAAATCCCGATTTTGCACCTTTACGAATACTTTCTAAATTAATCACATCACTTTACTTACATCCAGAAATTCGAGAAAAGGGTGGAGCTTACGGGGGTGGTGCAACATTATCATCAGATGGAATTTTTGCATTTTACTCTTACAGAGATCCTAATTCTACTCGTACTTTAGATTTATTTGACAAAGCTTATGAGTTTTTATTAAAACATCCATTATCTCAAAGTAATATTGATGAAGCAAAATTAGGAGTGTTTCAACATTTTGATGCTCCAATTTCGCCAAGTAATCGTGGAATGATTAAGTTTAGATACAATGTAACAGATGATGATATTCAAGAACAAAGACAAAGATTGAAAGCTGTAACTAAAGATCAACTTATGTATGTTGCTACTAAATATTTACAACCTGCTCAAAAGCACATTAAAGTAGGACGTGCATTGATTGGACCAGTTAATAACGATTTATTAAATAGGCATTCAGAAAATTGGAGGGTTCAAAATCAAGAAGAAGAAATTCGAGCAAGAGCAGCTGAATGAATATTTTGTTGAAATAGACATTATTTATTAATTAATATTATTATAATTTTTTATTAAAAGAATATTATGCATTCATAATACATACATATATAAAATAATTTACTCAATTTTCATTAAATGTATTGTAATTTATTGTAAAATGTTCACATAATAAATGTTATAAAAATTATATATATAAAAGTATAATTGTAGTTACAGGTTTTGTTTGTTAAAACTGTAAAACTTTTATAGTAATGCATATAAAATATGTATAAATTTTTTTTCACATATATTTTTTATATATACAGATGGCACACGTAAATAAATGTATAGCAGATACATATTTTTTGGATGCATTGAATTTATTTCTTGATACACAATGGCTTTATAATACTCCAGTTACTGATTTGTTAACTGAAGGAATACTCGATTCATTTCCAAAAGAATGGTTGAATGCTTTGCAAATTTTGGAAAATGGAGAACTTAATGATTTTGTAGTAAAAAAAAAGATGAAGGTTGGTAAATGAATAACACTAGAATACATTAATAAAAATATACAATAAGTACGTTGATATAATATTGTAGATAAATTATTTAATTCTTTAGCCAGAATGGTCAAAGACCTTAATAACTTTTGTTGAGAAGTGTAGATATATTGATCAATTACCAACTATAAATACTGTATTATCAATAGAATTACCAAAAAATTTTCAAATTGGTCTTAATTGTAAGAAACAACATGAAATAATGCATTTGGCACATTTGATACACTTACAATGTGCACCACAAAATATTAAAATTATTATTGATCTTGGTGCAGGTTTGGTAAGAAATTCATATTTACGTAATGCTGTTTATGAAAAATAAAATTTATATTTATGATGTACTTCTATTGCAGGGATATATTTGTCAATTATTGTACCATTTATATGGATATAAAGTTCTTGGATTAGAAAAAAATCAAGTAAACATAAATAATGCTCGAAAGAGACAATTCAAAAGATATCCTGATTCATTAACACATGTTAAATATAATTATTGTGATTTAACATGTAATTCTGCTAAAACAATAGAAACCATATTAAGTAATGAATTTCAAGAAAAGTCAGATGTTTGTTTGATTGGTTTACATGCCTGTGGAGATCTTAGCATATATGCATCAAAAATATTTTGCGATATGAAAGCAGCACGTATTTTTATTATGATTCCTTGCTGTTATCATAAGCTTTCAATATCAAAAAATACAAAAATAAATGAATCAATTGAAAAACAATACTTTAATAATTTCCCTCTATCTAATTGTCTTAAAACTGTAATTAATAATACCAATTTTGATATTGGTTCCTTTTTAAGACAGCCTTTTTTACGATTAGCATGTCAGGAAACAGCAGATAGATGGAACAATATGTCTATTGAAACACATAATAAACATTCTTTTTATGTTCTTGCAAGAGCTGTCCTGCAATTATATGCAACTAAAAGTATGTGTCACTTTTTCATCTTTTTAGCATTGTTTATTTAATATTAATATAAAACTTTTTAGATGGGTTTTCTCTTAAAAAACGTACTCAAAAAGGAACAAGAAAATCTCAGTGTTTTGATTTTAAAACTTACGTTCGAGATTCATTATCTAGGTATATTTTACAATCACAAAAAGGAGAAGAATTAAAAGAACAAGGTGATATTCTATTATTTATGTTATATTCTGTTTTATTAATTTATTTCAAAATCTTTCTATAATTTTGTGATTATATGTACATTATTTTAGAATAATATAAATTTGAAAAAATTATAAAACTATAATGAAAATATTACATTATTTTTTAGATGTACAAGTCAATCTTGACATGCATGAAAAAAATATAATAGAACTATGGAAAATTCATTGTGATAAACTAAAAATTGTTGAAATATATACTGGTTTACAATTGATGTTACAAGCATCAGCAGAATCATTTATTTTACAAGATCGATTATGCTGGATGAAAGAGCAAGGTTTAAAAGCAAAAATTATTCCTGTAATGAATAAATATTTATCTCCACGAGCAAATGCAATTGTATCACAAAAAAGATAATAAATTTTTGTTTTTAAAAATTATATTTTTATATAATAAAAAATTATATTCAGCTATTTCAAATTTTTTATTCTTATTTTTCTAAAACAATAAATGAATGTTATATTGTTCATGTACCAGAAAATAATTAATTATGGTAGAAATAATATTTTATTTGATAATTATTATATTAAAATCAATATTAAAAACAAAATTATATTTTATCTATATGGATGAATTTGTGATGCTGCTTTAATATTAGTTTTGATTGCACTTGGAGCTTTGTTCATTTGTCCCACTACAAATACATAGAATATATTTGTCAGTGTTGTCAATGTAAATATCAATTATAAAATTAATTAAATTATAATGGATTTACTTACTAGATGGATTTCCTAGAGATCCTTGCCCTGGAGTTTGTTGTTGATTTCCAGGTCTACCTACCATCATTCCACTAGGTACAGAATTTACACCAGACTGAACCATTTGTACAGAATCAGACTAGAAAATAAAAGTGCAAAATTATTTCGTACTTAATTTCATATATAGTTAATGAATTAAGATGATTGATCACTTTTTATATGAAATTTATCATATATATATATTAATTTCAAAAGAAATTTACCTTTAAACCTTTACCCATACCTACAGCTGCTACAAGTGCATGAGTATCTGCAGTACTACTTGTTTGAGCTTGAGTTGCTCTAGACCCAGCTTCACTTTCCCATTCTTCACGTGCTTTATTTGCTATATCCCATACATGATTAATGACTTTTGTGTATTGAGCCACTTGTTTCTGAAAATTATAAAGTATATACATATTTTAGAAGACAAATAACATTTAGCGTTCCACTCGCTAAATGGACCTACTATGAAATTTTATAGCATTTTTAAACTATTAGAGGAAAAATAACTTTTGTATATCAAAATTAAATTGTTGTACACAATACAATAATACTTTTTTTGCAATTCATAATATTTTTTGGAAGCAATGATTTCCTCTAACAGTTTAATATTAACAAAAAAACATATTGCAAAATACTATGTTCATATAAATATAAATAAACTATAAAATAATTTGTAATTTATATTAAATACAATATTGTAAAACATAAAATACATTTTTTTGTCTCTAAAATTTGAAAATTATTTTGTGTAATTTATAACTATTTTAATTTCAGTCCAAAGCGAATGGAACTAATAAAAGCTGAAAGCTAGCTGATAGTAGCTTACATTGCAGTCCTAGTTGATGTTTAGTTAGCACATTAAAAGAGAAATAGAACATCTTATATTATCTTTAAGCTTCTACAATAAGACAGTAAAGAGATATAATTCTATCTCCGTTTTAAAATACTTTCAAAATTTAAATTTATTAAATCTTTTTATAATTAGTAAGAACACATGAAATTTATATGAATATTTCATAATTAATTTTTAAAAAGATATAATATATAATAAGAAATACTTCTCCTTACATGTGATGTTTCATAATTTAAATTTGCAGCTTTTGCTTCAAGCTGGATCATTTTTTGTTCAGCTTGAGGTTCTACTTTGGTTCGCAGATAATCTGGTACTAAATCATGAGCAAATGTGGGAATTCTACCTTCAGTTAAACGAAGCAGTTCATCATCTTTTTCTGGACTTAATCGTAATGGTAAAACTGTTAAGTTTCTTAGGTTTGGTGCTTTATCATGACCAAGAATTTTTGAGAGACTGGTTAGCTATAAATGAAACTTGTTTTAGGTTAAATCATTTAAATTAATCAAAATTGCTTTCATTTAAAAGTTATAACTACATTAACTTACATGCCCTGAAATAAGTGCAAAATTATCAAGAAAATTAGGCCAATTCAATGTTTCATATTCATGTTCCAATTTAAATATCATTGCAGCAATTGCAGTCTTTAAATCGTTTACTCTCATAATAATAGCCTCCAAAGCAGAATCCAATTGCTTTTCTTCTCTTTGCATTTTGGATCTTATAAAAATATAAATAAAGACGTATTGTAATAATTTTATAGGTTATTTGTCATTGTTGAAATGACAAGTTGTTATATATAAACAATATTATATTTATATTTATGTATTTTTATTGGTTTACTTACTATTAAATATATAATAATTTAGTAAAATTTATAATTATATATTGTTGTATTTCTTTGACATTAATTTTATATTAGTAAAACATAAATATTCGTAGTTGTGATTAAAACTTCACGTTAATGGTTAATAATCAAACACAACACTTCTAACACAAGCCACGTGATAACGTTGCTTCCGGAAATAGTGTAGTATATATAGTGTAGTAGTGAAGTATATAATGGATAGATTTGATCGTTATTTTTCTAGGGAAATTAATCAAATTTTTTTAATAATTAAAAATATAGTTATATATAGAAATATAGTTATAAATATAGTTATATATCAAATTTTTTTAATAATTAAAAATATAGTTATATATAGAAATATAGTTATAAATTATAGTTATAAATAGAAATATACATAAATAATATGTAAATATTATAACTGTAATAAATAAAAGTATGTAATATACAAACTAGTATTGATAGTACTTTTATCTGAAGTATTTTATAAGTATTTTAAATATAAGTATAAAACAAGTTCAGTTTTTTTCAAACAAAACTTAACTTTAAAAGTGGATAAAATATCATATAAGTTTGTATAAAAATATAAAAGAAACAAGATTAGAAACATTAAATGAAATAGTTAGGTAAACACAAACGAATGATAAGGATAACTTTTAAGAAAAGTTATTGAAAGGAAAATCTTTTGAAGTAAATAATGGACAATAAAAAATGCCACAATTTTCAAAAATAAAAATAGAAATTTGTTATATTATTATTTAACAGATATGATACATTTTTTCACGTTATTTTAATGTATATTAGTACTGCAGTATATTAGTTTAGATCTGCATATTATAAATATCCCATATTCTACATAAATCTAATTTTATAGCTTTCAAATATTATAATATAAATAAAGCATTATTTATTTTCTATTATAGTAAATTTATTTACAGAAAATAATTTAATAATTCCTTCTAATGAAATATTTTATCTTTATGAATTCTTAGACAACTAATTTTGATTGTTAGACTTTACTATTGTTTTTTTGTAGTGAGTTTTATAAATTCACAGGATGCAACTGCTTTCCAACCAAGAGCTTTAAACATTTTTTCTGATGATGTGTTTCCTTTAATAATAAATAGTGTTGTTGAAATTCCTTGCTCAGCAATTTTTTTTGAAAGCATATTTACTATTACTTTTGCATAACCTTTTCCTTTATGTTCTTCCAAAGTTTGTACCATTCCTAATCCCTGCCAATCATTTTGTATACCCCATGAAACTAAAGAATCATTTTTTTTTAAATATAGTCCTATTCCACCATTTAATTCTATCAATGTTGCTATATATTTTAAGGACAACTCAGGATTTTTCACACTCTTATGTGGCCATAAAGAATGTATTAATGGAACGTTTAATTTATCCAAAGGTTTTATATAACATTCATCTGGTATCCTAAAACATGAAAGAAAAAGAAATTGTTCTTATATTGTAAGAAATTGCAATTGTATTTGATATCATATTAACATAATATCATAATAACATAATATAATAATAAATGTAAATATCATATTAACACAATATAATAATAAATGTAAATAATACCAAATTTTTGTTTTTATACATTCTTCGGTAGGCTTAAAATAATAATTGTTTGATAATACTAGTTCTGTTTCTACATTTCTCAAATACTTGAGAGTTTCTAGTGCAGTAAACACATTAGATGCAAAAGATCCATGAACTGAAGCAAAACATATTTGTTGATCGTAATCTATGAGTTTGGTTTCTGTTAACACTTTATGTATGATATCACTGTTTGGGTGCAATGTAAATATTAAGATATTACAAACTGAAAACTGAATGTATATTGTATATTAGAAAGGATATTTTTTATAGTCTCTTTTACTTTTCAGATTACTTATTTCAATTTATACTTACGTTGCTTATTCCAATAAAAGTTCCTTGTTCATAATCTCCATCTGGACAATAAATTTGAATAGATATATTTGGATTTTCTTTTTTCCATACAATAGAATTTTGAATCCAGTAATAATACTACAAATAAGGAATTTTATCATGATTCATTTATAGAATGTACATTAGCATTATTAAATTATATTTCAATTATAAATTGTTTAAATTAAAACTTACATATGCAAACTCTGGCCAATTGAGCTTTGTTTTATTTTGTATAAGAGACCACTTTTCAAATGGCACAGGTTGCAAAATATCCGTAATGGAATTTTTTGACATTGTGCAATTTGAAATTACTAATTGCAAAACGACGCCGCGATTAGTTATAGATATATTCGATTAATTTCCCAACATTACTACTTTAATATCAATTATCTGAGATTTAATCATTGAGTAAATTTGATATTAAGTGATAATAATAGAACTGCGTAATAGTGCATTGAAGATAAATGAAAAATATGGAATATTTAACAACACGTGATAATTTTTGTGAATGAATTCTTTATTTTAAATAATTTGAATATAATCTAATTTATCGTATTATATTGTAAAAAAAAATATGTTCATAATTCGTCAAAGTATATATAAATTTCTAATTGAACAGAAATGTCGATTACGTCATGTAAATCAAATCAAATAAGTGAATATTTACAAATGATCATTCTATAAAAATTTTTTTATATTGTACTATAAATTTATATTAAAAATTTTATAGTCGCAATTAAATTATTATAAAATTATATATTTGTATTTAATAGCAGGAAGAAATGATTTCATATAAATGTAATTATAAATAAATTCTAAACTTAATATACTTTTTAATGTATTTTTATTTCGATATTCATACTTAATTAATAGTATTTAGTTTTACAATAACATTTTTTAATCATTAAAATTAACAATTCATATTTTTTTACGAAATTTTCAATATAAAAAAGATATTTATATTGTGTCAATGTGTGAATGAAACACACTACGTATTTTTGTAAAATTAAATAAAAATACATGTAAGGAATAAATAATCTGATTCATATAGTTCATACGTTTAAGTATGGTATTTTGTGTTATTAAAATACTAAGTTATTAAAATACTGTGTTATTAAAATTAAGTTTATAGATACAGAACATTTGAAAGATCTATTTATAATGTGATAGTTTCTTGAAGATTAAATTTAGATATCTTATAAAACTTTTGACCATGAACTACTAAAGTAATAGATATAAAATTTTTCATATGGGAATTTATTTTAATTAAGGACTTGCGAGAATTATTTCCTGTAGCCCTCTAATGGTAAATATTAAAAATATAGTTACATATGTTGAACTTTATAAGTATTGATAGTCTTTATTAGTGTTTTTTTTTATAGTTAGAAATTACAGCTGATTGGTGTTTGGTATTCTGGTATTTCATCTCTCTTTACGCGGTGCATCTCACTGACATTTCTCTGTTGAGATTTACTTTTAATATGCCTACTACTATTACTTGTTACAGCCCTTTCTGGATATCTTAGTGTTTACCTTTAGTTCGTAAAATAAAATGTCGAAAATGAGTTCCAAAGATAAAGATAATAAAACGTTACATGATAAATTGAAACAATTCTTTCGCATTAATAAAGGTGATTTTATAATTTATAATGATTTTTGATTTTTATAATTTATAATGGCACTGTATTATTGATGTAGTTTTATATTAAATAATGAAATAAACTCGTAATGGTAATAAACTTTTAACTTATATCGTGCAAATTAATTTTGTAATTATAATTTATAAATTATAATTTAAGATTGCAGTTTATATATTATTTATTTATTTTATATATTTATTACATATTTATATATTTATAAATAAATCAATACTGAATTTATTTTTAGGAAATTATAAAAATCGTGAAGACTTTACATTAACTCATGATCTTGAGAAAGAAATTAGTCCTGAAAGTCCTGTGCACCATCGTACGAAAGCAATTAAAGATCTGTGTGATGCAGTTCTTAATCAACAATGGGAAGATGTAGGTAGATTGTATGTCTAAGATTATATATTAATTGTATAGTAGTATATTTAAAAATGTATAATATTATCTTTTATTTTTTTAAATTAGAAAGCAGCTGAAAGATTATGGTATTTAGTACAAGATCTTTTAGAAAAGGATGTGCCCCGTGAACATAGGCATGTGACATTAAATTTTCTACGATGTCTTGTTCAAGGCCAATATTCTAAATTATCTTCTCTTATGAGAGTAAAGTTTTTTATGGTTGTTAAGGAACATAATATTCCTGAAGATATTGGGCCTAGGTAATCATTAAAATAGAATAAGTAGAAATTATCTTATTTTATGAATATTTTAATTGAGTTGTGGATTATTGTACAGATTAGAACTTCTACAAAGCTTGACAGAAAATGGAAAAGATATATTACACTTAGAGGAAAGAATGGGACCTTTCTTATTAGATTGGATGCCTGTTGTAACAGTAGGAGATGGAAAAAGAGGGGCCGAGTTTTTATCACTTCTTGTTAATGTCATAAAATTTAACTCGGCTTATATTGATGAAGATATTATATCAGGCCTTGTTCAGTAAGTATTTTATAATTTAATAGTAAGTAAATGGACAATTCTGATGATCATTGCAAAATAAACTTTATGCTTTTATTTCTAGATATATTTGCCATCTATGTTATTGTAGCAATATCAGTGAAGTTGTTTCTGGATGCTTAGAGGCTTTAGATGCAATTGTTTGTTACAGTAATTTACAGTCTGATTCATTACAAACTTTTATCATTGCATTATGTGGAAGTGTTAATGTTGAAACATACTGTCAAATAAGTTGGAAGGTACATTGTAAAATTTTATGAAATTTAAATGCTAGTTACGTTTATGCTATATGTATGGTATTAATGGATTTCAAATGTGATATTTGTAGATAATGCGTAACTTATTAGGTACACATATGGGTCATTCTGCACTATATACAATGTGTCGTTTGCTACAAGATACAAATTTTCAGAGAGATGTTCGTTTACTTAGAGGTGCAGTATTTTATGTAAATATGGGTCTTTGGGGGACTCATAAAATTCCAAAATTAGAATGTACTCCTACATCAGTTTTACCCTCATTTTATCAAGTAAGTAATAAATATGTAATGTAATGGCCATGTATTTCCACTTACAAGAAATATTATTTATTATTTTGTTATTTTATAAGGCTTTAAAATGTAATCATCCAATTGTTATGTATGAAGTAACATTATCAATTCAAAGATTAGTAAATAAATATGGTGCTGAGTTATGGGACCCTACATGGAGTATTATTCTTGATATTATTGAAGAAGTTATTTCTCATACAGGTAAAATCTAAAGTTGTAAAATTTAATATAAATATTTAATTTTCATTAATTTCGTATTCTGTTGGTAGAAACCAGTAATCAACCTGCAACTAGACAAGTCTCAGTGAATTTACATGAAACAATAAATAGCATTGAAAATTTATTGGATAGTAACCATTATAATGGTTGTGTTCAACGATTTTATGATCTCGTTGAACGATGTAGTGATGCAAGACCTGTAATTATCATATTTATAATGTAAATATAACATTAAATATTTCTTTTTTTTTACTAAAATATACAATTAAATTTTTTTTAGGAAGGTTCCGTTTTGAAATTAATTGAATATCGAGCACGAACTATAGGACCTACACATTATCAATGGCAATCTAAATTAGCAAATTTGATGGAACGTTATTATAAAATTGAAACACGTACTAATGTTAGAATGAAAGTTCTTGATGTTTTAACAAATGTCGTTCAAGTTAATAGGTACGTAAAGTAATACTTTGTAAAAATTAAGAAATTTTTTAAATTGCCGTTATTTTTAATAGATCGAGATATGAAGACGAATTAATTGAGCGAATAATTGTGCCATATTTTCAACACGTTGATATGGATTCAGATATTACAATTCGTAATGGTGTTGCACATTTACTTGTTGATCTTTGTCTTGAATGTGATACAAAAAGATGTTTAGAACTTTTAGATATATTGGAGAAGGTATATAATGTTTTAGATATTTATGTAAATAAAATATATTATTTTTAATATTAAATGTATGTTAAGGTAATCAACAAGCCCTTCATTTCTGATGCTCCAGTTACAAAAGATAGTGATATTAAAGATGTAAAGACTGCAGTTGTTGGTGTGATGAAAATATTAACATCAAAAATTTATTATTTACCATCAAGTCATGCCATACGTGCTTATAAAGTTTTAGTGAATCATTTGGAACAGCATTATAAAGAACCAACTGTCTTCCATGATATTTCTACAATTCGATACTTGGTAACAAATATAGAGATGATGTATAATATTTTAATTTTTAACTTTTTAATAATGGTATATTTTACTTCAATGTGTCTCTTTATAAAATTATTTTGTATTTTAGATTTTTGAATGCTTTTTAAAAATTAGAGCGAATACGCTTTATCATCTTGGATTTCTGGATACTCAAAATTCATCCGTAATAAAGTTCAGTCCATATTTAGTTTTAGAACATGCAACGACTGAACGAATGAATAGTGGAGGAGGTGGCAACAGTCCTCCACCAGTTAGTCCAGCTCCATTACAGCACTTATCTTGTCAAATTACTCATATGTCATTGGCACATGCATGCAAAGCTGTTATTTCTTGTATTATATCGGAAAAAGGTTTATATTATATATGCTCTAAATTATTATAATTATTTATATATGAAAGTTACGAGTTGAGTTTCAAATATATCTGTTTTACAGATTGGAAAGTTTTGCAACTTGTATTAAAAGAATTGCCCCAAGTAATGCAAAACAGAGCATTAATATTATCACGACATTCAAATGACATTGACTACTTTGCAACTGCACTTTGTTCAATGGTATATTTTATTTTAATGGTATTATTTTATTTACTTTTTTTAAACATTTCAAGGAACTTATTTTAATATATTTTTATAGGTCAGTGATAAGAGTTTGAGACTTCCAGAGTCTCTCTACAATGTTCCTCCAAAATTTACCCTTTCAGAATTTCGCGTTCATGTTTTCCCAGTATTAGCATCATTAGCTTCATATCATGCACATTTGGAGCCCAATTTACAACAGCGTTTGATAAAATGTTTAGAGGTAAAAAAGAGAAATTAAATTTTTAAAATTAATTTAGTGATATAATATTTGTAATTATATAAATTTTCTTAACTATTGTAACTTTTAGGTTGGTTTAACAGCAAAGTGTGCAAGTCAGTGTGTTACTAGTCTTACAACTTGTATTTTAGAGATGCGTGATGCGATGAACAAACTTCTATCTGAAGTACTTTTAAATTTGTCAAAAATTTCAGCAACAGTACATATAGCTATACCAATTTTGGAATTTCTCTCTAGTAAGTTTTAAAATTTAATAGTTATCAAATTTAACTGTGAGATATATTTATTTATTTTTTTCTTATAGCTCTTACTAGACTTCCAAAAGTTTTTGCAAGTTTTATTGGAGATCAGTACATGTCAGTTTTTGCAATTTTATTGCCATATACAAATCCTTTCAAATATGATCATTATACAGTATCCTTAGCACATCACGTAATTGCTGTATGGTTTTTGAAATGCCGACTACCATTTCGTAGAGATTTTGTTAGATTTATTACTACAGTATGTATAGTATTAACGTTATATTGCTAATATAGTAATACTATTAATAATAAAATTATTAATAAAATTATTTTATATATATAGGGTTTGAAGGCTAATGTAATAGTTCCCTTTGAAGAGGGACATTTGATGAAGTCAGATTTTAATTTCATAAATGAAGATTCTTCAAATAGGAAACGTAGCTCAAGTTTGACAGAGCAGGTACGAAAACTAATAGTTATGTTTGTTTATCATTGTTTCTTAATCCATTAATTATTGTTACATTCTTATTTATAGGGTAGTAGAGGTAGAAGAGAAAGGCCTATAATGGCTAATCGCATGATAGGAGATAATAAAGTTTCAGATTTAAAGCCTCCAATTGATGAGGCTTTAATGACTTTTCATGTAGAGCTTACTGAAACTTGTATCGATCTTATGGCCCGGTATACATTTTCAACTTATTCAGCTCGGCCTAAAAGGTAAATTTATAAATTTTTATATTTTATTAATTATATTATATATAAATATAAGTATTTATTTTCATGTAGACTATCAGCTGCCGATTTTTTACTTAAAGAAGGCCAATCAATGACATGGTTGCTTGGTAATAAGCTTATTACAGTAACAACAAGTGGTTGTAGCAATAAAGCAATGCGAAATGGACTTTGTGATAACTGTTGGGTTGTGTGTAAACCTGGCCCTCAATCTCCTGAACATTCGAAAACATCTCAATCAACTTTAAGACGAGCATCGAGCACAGAGGTATTATTAACATGCATTATTGATAATTTGTTGTTACAAAAGTGTGTTTTAATTACAAATGTTCTAAAATATAAAATGATAATATATAGACAGCAAAAGAGGACAAATTATCTAGACAATCTTCTGGAGGTCATGGTAGCTCTACTGCAAATACAGCTGCAAATTCCCCAACAGAGGAATCAAAGAAAACATCGGAAGATTTAGATCCAATAAAAAAAGATCATCCTACCGAAAAAGTAAATAAAGACCAAGCAGAATTATCGAAATTAGAACAAATACTTAATAGTGAAAAACAAGAAGAACACGTTCTTTGTGCTTGTTGGTGTCAGGGTTGGGCTGAAATATACGTGCGTAGACCTACAGGCGACATGTCTTGGATAATGAGAATTCAGAATTCTATGCAATTTGAAACAAATGTAGATTTTCCTGTGTACGATATAATGGCTTTATATAGACCAAATCAAGATTTAATGCAAAAGCAGCCAGAATCTACATTCGAATGTTCTGGGGATGAAGCAGAGGTAATTTAAATATATACTATTTAGAAAATAGATAAAAAAATTTACAATTCTTGTCTCCTTTTGTAGGACACTGCGGATAAAAATATAGATCAAGTACGAAGTGATTACAACATGAAGTCTGTGATATCTTCTGTATCATCGGGTCCAATTGCAATACCCGGTTCACCGGCTCGACCGAGTCCTTCGAGGCAAAGTTCTCGTGATAGTTTAGAAAGTTTAGAGGATGGTGAAGATGGTATAATTTATTTTAATTATCATAATAAATAGATAATAAACTATGTATATTAAAAAGTAAAAATTATTGGTAGATTTACGTCGTTCTCGAAATCCTGTACGCAGATCAAATTCTAGTCCCGAAATGAGTGCTAATTGGAAAAATCCATTCTTGAATAAAGAAAAACAAAATTTGCAGCAAATAGATCGAGATCTTTCATCAGCAGACATTGAAGTTAAACTTGATGCTGAATTAAAAAAACCTGCAAAAACCACATACGCAAAAGATATGAGGTATTATTATTTTAATAAAAATTTTATTTTATTATTTTAATTGATTTCAATGATCATTTTCATGAGCTTTGTAAATGTTTTTGCAGAGTTAGTTGTGAAGCTATACCAGAAGAAATGTTTGGTATGGGTACAACACCTCCGTCAGAAAATACATCAGATCATCCAACTGCATTACGATCTCAACGTTCTTATCCGGGCGCAACACAAGTCACTCAAATTATTACGACTACTACTAGCAATACTGTTCCTCCATCACCTACTACCATACAGGTGTTAATAATAAATAAAATAAATTAAATAAATAAATTTTACAGTATGTTTTACTTATGAAAATCTTTTATCTATTTTTATAGGGTCAAGGAAACTTTTTAGGAGTACAGGGACGCGCAACACAAATTCAATCGTCTATTGCAAAGCCTCCACAATCACCTACACAAATTTATCCTCGTTTATCTAGTCTTGATTCTGGTCAAAAACAAATGCCATTAGGATCAGATAGTAAACCACCTATTGGACGCAATCATCTAGCAGATAAGGTATCATTGATGATATTGTTTATATTTTTTTGTTTTAATAAATAGTATGTATCTTTTTTCAGCAAAAGGATGAGAAACCTGATCCTTCTATGTTACCTCCTTTACCGTTACCTTTTCGTGATAGAGGTCATACGATTTCTGTAATGAGTCCTGTAAAAAAATCCCGGGAGTGGGATAATATTCGTAGAGGAAATTCACCACGAGTGAAAGAAACACCTAAAACTAGTATCAATCCGAGGTAATGTTGCAATACTTTAAAATAAAAATATCTGATAATTATTTTTGTGTTTTAATATAAAATTTATATTTAAATTATAAATTACAGTTTTGTGTTTTTGCAACTGTATCATACAGCACATTTTGGTTCACCTTCAGAAAAACCTTTATTGGTTCCACAGACAACGGCTGTACAAAGAGCAGTGACAAATTTAGATAGAATACAACCATATGAAACGCATAAAATTGGAGTTCTTTATGTTGGTCCAGGACAAGCTTCTAATGAAATTGAAATTTTAGCTAATCAACATGGATCACTTAGGTATACAGAATTCTTACAACGATTAGGGACCTTAGTCCGATTGAAGGACGTTGATGAAGGTGTATTTTTGGGAGGTTTAGATCGTAATGGTGAAAACGGAAACTTCGCATATATTTGGCAAGACGATGTTACACAGGTTCAAAAGAATTTTTATATTCTTTTTTATTTCATATTTTAAATTTTAATTTTATATCGTTTTATTAGGTGGCATTTCATGTTGCTACATTAATGCCAACAAAACTAAGTGATCCAAAATGTACATCTAAAAAGCAACATATTGGAAATAACTATGTTACTGTAGTTTATAATGAATCTGGAGAGCCATACAACATACAAACTGTAAAAGTATGTTTAATATGTTAATTGGTTAACTAATATTGACTGTAATATGTATTAATATTTGTATTATTTTTTTAGGGACAATTTAATTATGCATGTGTTGTGATTCAACCCCTAGATCATGGTACTAATCAAGTTACAGTTCAAGTAAAAGAAGAATTAGCTAAACATATTCGACACAGTGAGCCAAAAATTATTTCTGATCAAAATTTAGCTATTTTATCTCGACAATTAGCTCTTCATGCCAATGTAAGTTTTATAAAAAAAATATAACTAATATTAGTTTAATAATTGTTGTAGCTTGAATTGTATTGTTGTATTGTAACTTAAATTACAATGAGATTTACGGTTCTCTTCTTTTTTCGTTATAGCTTGCTTCGATGGTTTCCTCATCATTAGAACAAAATAGTCACAATCCATATGCTTCTAATTGGTTAGAACGTTTACGACATATTAAACGACTTCGGAATCGTGTGTTGCAAGAATCAATAAATAACAATCCAGATAGAACAACTGATGACTTATCACCAAGGTCGAACAAACGTATTTATATGGATGATTTTACTGAATATACTACATGATTTAATTTTAATAAAAAATTATTTAATAATTATCATTGAAATAATCTATATTTGTTATAAACATATTTATATATTGATGTAATAATTAAGTATTATTTCTGTACACCACAGTGAAGATAATTATTCTAACTTAAAATTCCTAAGTATAAATATCTGTCTTTATATTATATTTTATATACAAATTTCAGTTGATTTATTATAAATTTTTAATGTTATGATAAATAAAAGAATGTTTATGTAATATTCTAATGTAATTATGTATTGTTATTCTAATGTACAATATAAAATAATATAATATAAAATAATATTTAATATAATCTTTTACACTGTAAATAAATAATTTGATAAAATCTATTTCATACAAATTGATAGAAAAAAATCTACAATTTTCGGGAATGCAGTTAATAAATATAAATTCTATATTATATTCTATTGTAAATAATAAAAATATTTATTTGATGTTACGAATATTTATTTGATACTGATTGGTAAAAATTTTTTTGCGAGGTTATATTTTATCAGTAAGTTGGTAATAGAAACAGCGCTTAATCATAAAGGAGTTCACGTAAGAGCTACGAACAAAATCGTTGACAGATATAAGCGCCTCTAGCCACATAATTAAGAAACTCACGGGTCGATTTTTCGCATATCAACATATCCTTATAGTACTGTCAGTCTCGTTTGGTCCTGTCAGCTGGTGAAGAAGGGGAGACTGGAACGATAAAAATGGTAAATGTACTTTAAATTACTGAAACCTAGAATCGTTTGGACATATGTTATGTTTTTTAGTAATGATAGTTTTTTGTCTTTTTAGTCGTTCGCCGAGAAGATATCATCGATTATGCAAAGACCAGGACAGGACCCTGTTGCCAAGGACGATGTACCTTGGTGGATGAAATATGCTGGACGAGGACTCGGTACCGTGGGTAGTATAAGTATGTTTTCAAACAAAATACGTATTGCAAAATACATATTATTATAGAATGAAACTTACTGTTATCACTTTCCTTTGCAGCAAACTTGTCATATTTTTCAGAATTTACATAGAAAAAAAATGTATAATGATTAATATTTTGTATACATACACAGTATTAAGACACAATATGCATTTATGGTTTGTGATTTTTCTATACTATACAACTAATTATGTAAAATTTAAACACTTTATATTATTTATTATCACTACAAATATTTGTATTATTTTTACTTATATTGTTTACAATAGTTACAAAAGTGCTACACGACAATTAGAATTTATAGTTTGCAGTGTTTTCTATAATTTTCATGGTTTTCTGATTTTTATGAATTTGTTACAGTTGCAATTATTCTTGGAGGATGGAATTGTTTGTCAATACTGGGAGCTTCTATAGATTGTTTAATAAGTGGTATGTGGCAAATGGTGGCTGGTTTTATAGTTGCAACAATAGAAGCACCATGTTGCTGTTTATTTATTGATTATGTACAAAACTTCAGTGACTGGGTGGAAAAAAGACCATACTGGAATAGAGCAGCTGGATATTGTATGTAAGTAAATCTTATTTTTCACACAAACTGTATAAATATATTTCTTTTTTTTTCCTGTAATATTAATTTATATCAGTAACATTTAGACATGACGTATTTTTTTTATTTTTAGAATTGCAATTCCTTCAGTCCTCCTTTGTTTTGGCCCGAGTAGCTTGTTTGGTAGTGGTCTAATATTTGCAACAGGTGTAATATATGGACTAATGTCACTTGGACGAAAGTAAGTTACATGTGTTTTATTTATTATATAAAATATATCATACATTGAATTACATAGATTGTTAAAAATATAATTTTGTAGGTATACACATTTTATACTAATAAATGTATTACTTTGTTTCAATTATAAGAAAACAATACATGATATTGTATAATTCAGTTAGGAAAACAAATTGTGTGATGTGTTATCATAATAATGTGTGCACATGTTATTTGCTTATGGGTGGAAGACTAATTTTGTTACGTTGTCTCATATTTGTTTGTATTTATGTTTGAATTTATTGCTGTGGTTTTTGGGTACCTTTTATAATACATATATTAACTAACATAATTTTTATTTCACTTTATGAAAATTGTATGAAACATATATTATTCATTTAACATACATTACAAGCTATGTACTGTTAAAATATAATAGTAAAGTATAATATATTTGATGTAATTCTCGATTTTGTTACTAATACACAACTACTAACAGAGGAACCAGGCCCGACCCAGCAGGAATGACGTCGGGTGTGAGTTCCCCACAGGGTACTGTACCTCCTACTACAGATCATCATACAACTCTCGTGGAAGATCCTGATGTCTGGAGGCCTACATAAATCATCAAACATTCATTGCACCACTCCTCTAACCAGGCAATAATATATAAAATTTAATGTCATTTTTACATTGGTAGTCTTCTAGATATCACATAGATTTTTAGATTTTAATATTACAATTATGAATAATGTATTTGACAATACAAATTTAATTTATCTAGTATTAGAACTAAATTGTCATTTTGTGTGCAATTATGTTTTGTTAAAATTGAATTATTTGGTTGAATTTAGATTTTATTTAAATTAACACTTATAATTCAGCTGCAATGAAAGGCTTAAATGTGTGTATGCTACAAGTATTAGTTTATAATTTTAAATTATTTATCTATATATAAACATACTTTTAATTCTATGAGAATAACATGTAGCTTTGGATTTCTTGCATTGGAATTACATGTTTGCTTTATTTCTGTATTTTTAAAATATCATATACTATTTATATTAATAAGTTGCATGCTATTGGTAGCTTTTTTTTACTTATAATTTTACATACATTTGAATTTCAGCTCATAATTTTAAATTTTAAATACTTCTTCTTTATAGGATAGTAGGATAGATTCTATTTGGACATAATTATAAAATATCTAAAACACATAATAGAGATATGGAAAATTTCAATTATATTTTTATGTTTTTATTGAAATTTTTGTTAATACTATTTATATAATATTTTGTTTTATTAAAACGTTTATTTTCTTACATTTTATAGGTATATATTCTATGATACAAAATTTATATTTTGTATATATATATACAATAGCCATTTCATAGTTTTTATATGTTCGTATTATTTTATAAATTTTTTAATAATTTATGAATTTTTAGGGCATCGCTTCGTGAAATGAGATCAGCAGCGACGAATATCGAGGTTCCTTCATCAAGTATGCAAGCTACACTTGTTGAAAATGCTCAACCAATGGGTTTTACCAATAGACCAGATAGTAATGTTTAAATTCACAACATTAATTGGCAAAATAATTCATCTTTTTGTGTGAATGGTGATAAATGTTGTCTTGGAAAAATATTCAATAATTGAGCCTATGAATATGCAAGCGTTTGAAGCACTTATTTAGTTCTATTAATTTTAGTATTTTATTATTTTCAATTTATGGTACTATAAATGCTTGGATTATTTATACCGAAATATAGGTGAAGTAGTTCGATCATTTTTTTCCTTCATACATAATTTTTAATAGAGTTTCAGTTGTGGTTTTTGATACTGATAGAGAATTAGTAATATTAACACATTATTTACTAAACCTTTATATGTTACATTATTTCAGTTTTTTATTTGAAATAATGCCAAAGTTAAAGACTGCTATAGAAATTATATTCTGATAGTATTCATGGGCTTGATTTCTTGTGATTCTACTTGTCTATTGCGTGTCATAATATTACAAGAATAAAATCTGCGAAGAAAAAAATAATTATACATTGATTTTGGATGTAGTTATTTGTTTAAATTTTACGATTTAAATTGAGAGAGTGTAATATTTTGAACTAAAATTACATTTCCAAAATCAAAACATCCTAAGGGTTTAAAAAAGATCATTCATAAGTTATAGGAAGATGGACGAATCATAACATATTATTTTATTTTCACTTATTGTGTATACATATATGTAGGTTGAATCACGTGTAAGTAAAACAATCTTCCATTTCTTTTTATTTTTATTATTTAGGGTAAAAAATTGAATTAGAGTGAGTATATAGTGAGGTAACAGTAAGAGATAGTTATATAATTTTTCTTCTTTATTCTTTTTTTGAATAGAAAAGAAATATATAGAAGTATATATGAATTACCCTATATATTCTCTCTGCCAAATTATTTGTACATATATATGTATACATACATACATTTAAATTTATTTGTAATAATTTCATTTAAATTTATATGTGTGGTATTTACTTCCATATGGTATTCTGGAATCAAAAACTTCCAATTTTTTGTACTTTTCATGCTTTTGTGGTTAAATGTGAGTGATAAATGACAGGAAAAAGCACTAATCAGCTGCACTGATATTTTATTATGTCTAATGTAGTTTCTATTCAAAATTACAAAATTGTAAATACATAATATTTTGATTATTTCAATAATGTTTATACCAGCTTTAATTCTATTCAAAATTATTTTAATCAAAATCAAATTTATCAATGACTTACTTATTTTCATAGATTTTTAAAAAATTCTTTTTCTTAAATTAATATCATGTATTTTTAATCGAATAAGCACTTATTTGTTAATTGAAACTGTCAAATTACTCGACCATTATCTTTCCTTACATTCCTATTTTTTAATTAATTTATTTATTAAAGATGTAAGACTTTTGAAATATTTAACTGGGTACTGACTTTCAATGTTTGGTGATTTTTGTGTTGCGTTTGCCAAATAATTCATTTTAAATGCCACTTTTAGACATACATATATTATTTATGTAGCGTGTATGTAGATTATTCTAAAATTACTGTTTTTGTGATTTTTGCGTTGCATTTTATTGTGATTGTTTATAATTAAGTAAACCCTTAGCAATTTATATCCATATATAATAAACAGTATACTATATTATATGTAGTGTTAATTAGCATGAAAAGGAGGAGATAGGAGCATGTAACTTGATCATATTGCATGTAATTTCTGTACTGATATATATGAAACATATCTGACTTTTATTACGTTTATGATTATTTCAAGATCATAAAGTGTTTTTTTTTCTGATTTAAATTGTATATGTTATATTTTGAGTATTAAAAAATTTAACTGTACTTTGATAACATTATCAGTTTTGAATATTTTTGTATAATGTTTAATAGAAAAAGAATAATATAAAGGATGTATGATATTAGTGAAAAATTAAACTAGAAGTAAATGTTCAACGTTAAAAAATTTTATTTCATTTAAATAGTATAAATTTTATTGAACATTCAATTTTTACTTGATGAAACATGATACTTGAGCAAATTCAACATGTAGAAAATAATATAAAAAAAGTATTAAAATGAATTTTCAAATGATGTGTAAAATGTATGATAAGTTATATAAAACATTTTATTGTTGTTATAAATAGGACAGGAAAATTTATAATATTTTTCTGTCACAAGGAAATGTATTCAAACATACATGTCGCATGTGTTTCTGACCAATTGTAATTGACAAGAATTAAAAATCTGTAGTGTGAATAACATGCATAATGTGCTGTATTGTTTAGTGGGATATGAGTAAATTTTAAAACTACATATTGTCTTCGAAGTATACCAAAATGTATCTATGTAGATATTTAACTTCCATTAAATAGAAAACCAGTCAAAATATTTATAATGCTTAATGCACTATCACAATTTCAAGCCAATATGAAATGTACACATGAAAGGAAATAGACTTGTTTTAAATATATGTCGATTTAGTTAAAAACATTCTATTATAAATATGTTTAATTTCGAATGTAGAAATTTACAAATAAAAAGTTCAGATATATGAATTTATTTATTTGTATGTATCACATTAGTAACTAAAAGAACAAGTTAATGGGCTTGATTATTATTCGTTACATACATGTGTAGTAAAATTGTCAATAAATATTAGAATTATGTTAATGATATTTGAGTAATTTTTACCAAAGTGATAAAATTTAATTAAATCTTTTAAGCTTTGTTTTTATATTTTTTTTTCCTCAATAATTTTTATTTTTACGTATTACATATTTGATATGATTCTTTTTTAAAATTCGCGCCTTTTATATTATACTGGTTACTTAAATTATCAACCAATTACAGAGGAAGATTTTAAACGACCAATGAAAGTATGTGTTCAGAAATTTTCGTTATTCGTCCGTTATAACGTTCATATCTTGTTACATTTAAACGTGCGGAAATTTATATTGCTATTGTTGAAGTACGATTAAATAATGTTTTATAATTAAGTGCTTTTGTAAAATAACTAAATGTAAAAATTTGGACTCAATTTAGAATAATTTGTGAGGGATTACAAAATCAAGAACGTATGTGGAATAATATGGTATGTGGAACAAATAATATGACAACGATATTATGTAAAATTCTAGTGCACTTGTTTATTATCTTACTGTTTATTTAAAAAAACATTGATATATAGTGGTAATTTACTAAATAAAATAGAACGTTACAAATTTTACAACATATAGCTATAATAAAGAACGGTGGCATTGTTATTTGTAGAATACTAGCACATTAACTTTAATATTAATTCAGAATTACAATTTATACGTATAAAAATGATGAATTAGAATTATTCAAGGCATAAGATATAAACATGTATTTTCAAATATTTGAAAACATTTATTCATAGACCTAAGTCATATTCTTTCATATAGCATTTTCCTTTTGTTTTTATTTTTACTTGTTCTAAAGTAACATTAATAATGCAAAACTGATGTTTGTAGTATGAATCAACGTGTTCTTTCTTTGAAAAAAATTGCAATAAGATCAAGTCGTGAAAGTAAAGCACAACATAAAAAAAATAAAATGACACGATGCCCCATATGTTAATTTATATCGAGATTTATACGACTAATATAAATCCGCCTGCGGATTCATTTTTAATATGAAACTTTCCTTACATGTACATGTATGTATACTTCTAAATTATATCTAGTTATTTAATTGCAAGATTTTATAATAATCGAGACGATATACGTACTATAAATAATCGTAATCGTGCAATGTTTTATGATGACTTTTCATCCGACAATTTTTTAAGAAAATTCGATAAAATTCAATGCTTTCAAGGTTAGAGATTTAAAAAAAAAGATTTAAAATAAACGTATTAAAAATATGAATTGCTATATTACAAAATGATTTTGTGTTTTTCATTTTGAAAAATCGCCATTTTGTAGAATTTGCTTGATGTCAGGCATATTAGAATGTAATAATACTATTTAATGACTGATTTTAATCAACGGCATTGATTAAAATTAATTAAATTAAAAGGAATTAGAGGAACAGAATACATTCAAAGTATTTAATATGCCGAAAAATTGAATATAAGCACGTAATCAGTGCGATGAATACTTAGGTCTATGAAAATTTTAAAATTAATTAAATTTATATACTCAGGATACTCAGACATTTATAATTCTTTTCTATCACTATAGATTATTATTATTTGAATATTATTCATAAATTTTCATTAAAATTAATAGGAAAAAAGGTTGGTTAATTTTATTATTTGTCATATAAGCAATTAATAAATAAAACTAATAAATAAAACGAAATAAATATATTTTTTTCTACTTATAGTGATCTATTGAACTCATGGAGAAAGTTTGTTAAATATTCCACGGAACATCTGTATTTATGTAAGTATTTTAAAGTTCTGAAAAGCAATGATCAATTTATAAGTTTCCGTCTCAATGTATGAATCCTTTCGAATTGTTTTTTATACTTTGTGTAGAAAAAGTCTGATGTAATTTAAATAAATCTACTTTATGTATGCGTTTAAAAAATGACTATGTGTCTACATAATACATATAAGTATTATATATGTATCTAATTGTTGTATTTATTAATGTTGTATATATTTTTTAATTGCGCTTAAAGAAATAAACAAATGCATTTTGTACAAATGCACTTACTATCTGAATAATTTTCGAATTTAAATAATGTTGATAATTTTGATTAATACCTCGCATGTTATAATTTGTAACGTAAACATTTTTAAATGCATACATAAAAGAAGATTTTATTCTAATTTTGCAATAAGCATATCTATATAGTGTTTTCCTGCGATATGAAATATTAAAATGTAAGAACTAAATTACTTAATTATTTATGTAACAATTAGGATTTGTTTGAGGATTTTATGTACGCGTTGTTTTCTCTATAAAAGAAAAAAAGCAAAAATGAAAAACTTGAAAAAAATTGTTTTTTTTTCTTAATATAAATATGTGAATTACTTTTTTTCATATATAAATCAGTCCTAATGTCAAACATATAGTATGTTTTAAAATAGAAACAATAATGAACTATAATATGAATATTGACAACTAGAAGAAAACTATTGAGTTTTTCACTGACATACATAATGTATATGGAATAAAACTGAAAATATTTTAAATATAATAGAAGGGTATTACATATAAAAGGAAAATGTTAATATAGAAAAGTATTCGTAAAGAAATAATAGCAAATAATAATGTTAAAGGAGTTTTATTTGTAAATATTAAACATAAAAATAAATTGTTAGAAATAATTAAACAATCTATTCAAACTAAGTGAAAAAAAACAATCATTAAATTATTATCTTATCGTGCTTGCTATAAGTTTAAAGTAACAGAAACACGAATAATATTGTTCCATCAAAGTAGAGTATAAGATGCTACATAATATTTACTTGTAACAAGAACAATTATTTAATTCCTTTTAGAAATAACTCACTGTTTCAGTTACTGATTTTCAGCCATTAAATTTATATAAGTTAATTCAATTTTCATACTATATAGTAGTTGAAATTTCACTTATTTCATTTTATTTCATAAAAAATGATTTTATTTTCAAAATTTTATTAAAAACAAACAATATTAAATAGTTTACTTCGTTAGATATTTGTCAATTCTCGTTCGATGTGTTTACTTTTTGTAAAGTAAATAAAAAAGAAAAGGAATCAAGTAGAGAAGAAACAAGAAAGAAACTGATACGTATTTCATATTACATTTAAACTATCTAGTCTCGAAATCTCGATATTTTAATGTTTATTTCTCTATATCGAGTATAGAGAATTATATATATATCTTAATTATATATATATATATATATAATATATATATATATTATATAATTATATATATATAATATATATAATAATTAATAATATATATAATATATATAATAATTAATAATATATATATATAATATATATAATAATTAATAATATATATATATCTGCAAATTTATATATTTTTTGCGTTTGGCTTTCCTCTTAAATCCTTCCTTTAATCCTATTTAAGTCGTAGTTGCTTAAGGCACAATGCGAATGTATTATTACACATACTGTTTCCGAATTTTCCCGATGTACTGCGGCCAGTGAGAAAATCAGCGATCGCATGAAGTTCAGCTATAAATGCTTTGATGTTGGAAAGTTATAGATACATACACAACATCAATTAAATAGCAATTTTTCATTGTATGTTTTTTTCTGCCTGGAAACGATTTAGTTTCATTTGAAGACTCTTGTAATATAAAGTTTAAAGGCACTTCTATTTATCTGTGGCACTAAAGTTTTTCTTGCATCATAACAAAGCATTTATAGACAAAAACTTCATATATAATCGTTTCTATATTTTTATTTATAAATTATACTTATGCAATCTATCTAGGAAACGCCGGAAACATTCGGTATAGTATTATAATACGTATAATATACTATAATAATACTATAGTAATATACATACATACGTATGATAATACGTGTAATATACATATTATATATATATATATATATATTTTATCAGAGATAAAACCTCGGGTGTTTGCTTAATTTCGTAGACATTAACATGGTCAACTCTTAAGTTATAAAAAGATAGTAGGATAAATTAAAACTATCCTCTTTTCCTTTTTCATTTTTTCATCCGAACGATATTACACGTGCAATTAACTACATGTGTAAATTTTCTTGGTAACCTTCGACCTCGTTGTACATTTTTCTCACGGCGTCTTTCGCATTGTTCGGCAAATAATTTTGGACCGCCGGTGCAACCTTGTTGTTGCCCGATATAATTCCGTTGGCCAGATGTGCCACGCCGTTTTGCAACATGTGCGCGGTACCGTTTGCAATGCCATTTTGCATACGAGCAGCGCCGTTTTTTTGAGCTTGTCTCGCGGTATTCTTCAATCCATTTGCAATTCGTGCTGCCCCTATTAACGAAAATTCCGATTAAATCTGATTTTTTATTTGGCTTTGATTTGTTTAATTGGGCCACTTCTTATTACACTGCAGACGTTTATTGAATTTCACATTTTTATAAATGTAGGTAATTAAAAAGATTTGTAAACAGAAATTTAGGTAATTATACAGAAAATAGTGCCACCTCCTAAGACTTTAATAATCTTAGATGGTTCCTTTTTCTGTATAATCACTGCACTCTGTGTATGTACAATTTTGCGTATAACTAAACTAAAAAAAAGACAAAGGGATATTTTTTTGTGATTTAGGATAATATAATTAAAAAATAGGATATTATTTACCTTGTATGCTGATTCCATTTATATTCTTCTTAGCAGTAAGTGCTTCCTTGACGTTTAATTTACCGTCGATCATCTGCTTAGAAACGCCGTTTGGTACGATCGGCTGATCTCTATTGTCAGGGACTACCGTATTCAGTTTCGCGTTGTTCCCATTTTCTTGCATTACATCTAGTTTAGGACTCTGTACATTATTTTCTCCTTTGCGACGCGTTCGCGTCATTAATTGATAAAGTGCAGCGGAAAATTCTTGTTGCACGCTTGGTACGTCGGTGTCGCCATCGATCTTTGTTGAAAACGATTTCAGATTTTAGTATTTGAATCACATTCGCGTAATTGTACGATATAATATTATATAATAACATAATAATTATGTTTCTATCGTTAGAAGGAAAGTACTATTTTTGGATTGCACTTACAATCGTTAAGCGATTTTCGTTGTCCAAAGTTTTCAACATAGGTAAAGATACTTCGCGAAAGAGTTCCAGCCTCTTCCTAAATGCAGAAACATTATCATCTATTCTTCCTCTCCCAAGTTGCAATTTCGAACAGTCCAATAATACTAACGGTGGTTGCTGACCAAACTAATAAAGTTGAAGCATTATATTAGACAAATTTATTAAACTTGAAAACTAACAGCTAGATTTAATTATCCATTATGTGTACAGTTGTATTTTATATTTATTATCAAACTATACATATACATGTAATATCACAAATTACCTTATTTTCAAATTCTTGTACTTGATTCAAGTCCCTCGGATAACCGTCAATTATTATACCATCTGTGTCGCGGTTTAGCATAATCTGTTGTTCTACTACTTGTATTACAATATCTTGCGGGACCATTTCTCCAGAAACGATGGCATCGTTGACGATAGTGTTCGACGATGCCATTGTTCTAAGTAATCCACCGATGCTGACTTGAACCCAACCTGGCATGTTACGAACGGCCTGGGTGCATAAGTTTTCTTTGTTGCTTCCTGGGCCACCTAATGAAATTAAAATACCAATCTGACGTGCTTGTAGTATTTGGCTAAATTCAATGTAACTCGTTCACTAAATTCAATGCAGTTTATATATAATTATATAATTAAGTATAACTTATATATTGGCTTTATTATTAAATTTTCCTTTAATACTTAGTCGGCCATTCCCTTTGAATTTGGGAAATTTTTTTAAGAGTAAGAAAAAAAAGAGACGATTGGATTTAAAATAATTTAAAGGAGGTGGTAGAGTTTAGATGTTCTTTCTCTTACCTATAACCCAGATGAACGCAGGTAGCCCTTTTCTGGGTTTATCCGCGGTTTTTACAGGGTTCACGTTCATCTGGTCAAGTACTTGCGTTTCAGCTATCGCTTCTTTCCTAGGAGACGATGATTTTGGAATAGATTCTTTCCTTCTCTCAACTTCTACCTATAATTTCGTTATTCCACGTAGTTTGAATATCAATTTTTTTTCAAAAACGAAAAGGCTAGCAAAGAAAATCGTAAATCAAAGAATAAATACATGCCATTGTTTCGGTGAATGGGGACTTACTTCTGCTTCTAACGGTTGAGGAACATTTTTTTCTTGCACTTCGCCGCTCGACAAGCCAAGAATTTTGTAAACCGCTTCGCGAAAATCGACGTAAACTTCGCTTGGATTTCTTTCTCCGTTCACCTGTACATTATCACAACCGATAATTAAGTACTATTCTAATTTTGTCAGATCTGTAGAAAATTAGATTGAACCTCAATCAGTTCATAAAAAGTACATAATCATTTCGTCATTTGTTTACCTCTATCAACATTCCGCTTTGATCGAAATATTCCGCGACGGGCATAACGTTTCTGTAAAAATTATAAAGTTCCATCCTCGCTAGTTCGATCACTACTTGTCCAAGTTGTGCTCCAAAATCGATTTGTCTTTCGAGAATCTCCTGCCTCCAGGACACAAGAATCACGCCATTCACGATTTTGATCTGCAAATTTATTTTTTCGTTTCTCATAACATAAACAACCATTCTTTTTTTTCTTAATATAATAGTCATAGTAAAATGCTGTAAGAACTATTATAAAAAATTTACAACAACACTAACTACGATCATTCAAATGTGATTCCCAAGCAGAATTGATTTCTTTTCTGCAAACGAAAATTTGGAAATGCATATTGCGAGAGGATTAATCGTAGAGAATGTTCTAATTTGGTGATTGATCTCTGTCCTTTATATGCTTCGTGCATATTTCAACCTTAGGTCAATGGGACAGGTCAGTAGGTCACAGAGAAAAAGTTACACAAATCTTGCTTGGATGTCGTATTTATAAGAATTTGTCCCTTTCTGTCTCATTACGATAGAGATCTTAGAATCAGAATATACTTGAGATACTTACTTTCTCAGCATATTCTACTACGTCGCGCATATTACGTGGATAACCACTAACGAGAAAGACTTTGGAACCTGGAGACATCTTGATTTCGAGCATTAGCACTTCCGCGACGGTTTTACTGCTAAGTTGCCCGAAATCTTGCATATCTATCAAAAGTAAAGAGTAAATAATATTACATACAAACAGTAGACCATTTTAATATGTACTGTCCTAGGTCTATTGTTTTTAGGTTGTCTATAACAGTAGATTTATTGTCAATTTTGTTTAGTAATTGTCATATTTGTAATATTGATGTGCGATGCATGCAAGAATTGTAATTTCTCATTTAACGATTTCCGAATAATGTGTCTTCGTACCATTTCCTAGAGCGTATTGTTGTAGAAGATCCATCATGTTGATATGCGTTATGCCCTTTTTCTCTTGCATCAAATTATCACAATGTGTCACCTTTCCACTACCAGGTCCACCTGAGGATTAAAAATTATATCACGATGCGAAAGGAACGATAAAACACCATTTTATACTAATTAGGTACGATAAAAAGATGTAGTATTTTGTTCGGACGGTAGCAGAAATGCTGATACGAAAAAACGGTATGAAAAATTTATGACGATCAAATCAAATTACGGCAGAAACTTTTTAATTAAAAAATTTGTTATAATATAAATAAAAGTGAGGAAAAATTATTTATATTTATGTCGCGTATTATACATTAAAAAGGATTGTCACAGTTTAACAGCTAGACAATTTAGAGAAGTTTATTCAAATCCTTATTGCTAGTTTTGTTCCTTGTTTTTTATCTTAAAAATTGAATCATCTATAATACAAACCAAGTACAAATATGACAGGCACTTTTGGAACTTCGAATTTAATTGCACCAACGTTCTGTTGGGGAAAATATCCGTTTGGTGGGGTCGACAAGAGGCCAGCCTCTCCCCGCCATTTTCCCGCGCTTCGAGCATCAGCTTCCTCGAACACCTGCGATCCATTTTGTTGATCTGCGATCAAATTTTTTGTTAAACAATGTGAAGATCACCACATTATATTTTTGGAAGGGATGATTTATTTTCAGAAGTTTTAGCAAATTTTTTAAGTAATCTTTTATGGAATTAATGGGTATTTTTTAGAAAGCAACTCTTATTGATTCGTTTCGATCTTAGTGCCAATTTTAATTCATACTCCGTTCTTTTCTTCTTTTTTCCTCTTCTCTGTCTTAATTGTCAACTAATGTCACGTTAGTTACAATAAAAATATATTTGTTGTGAGTGTTTAAATTTAAAAGAAGAACAATTGTAAAGAAAAGTAATTAACAAATGAAATGGTCTGGTTGAGTATCGAACGCAGTTTGAAGGATATGCTCTTGAAAGGAATATCTATCTACACAATGCCGTATCGTTGAATTTTTATATCGTATGCATTGTATAATGTTACATGACAATTCATAAAGCCACTAAGTAGCCGCGCTATGTACATTTAATTTAAATATTGATGATTACGAGTTTAGTTAGATTGAGAGGTTACCAGCATCTATTTATCCCTTCCTTTCATGTAATTTTTCTATCCTTTGGTCTTCGATTTGAAAGATAATAATAATAAAATATTTTGCTAACTTCGGTAATTTATCAAACATTATTTAGATTTATTTTGTGTGATAGATCATTACTGTGATTTTTATTAATATAATATAAATAAAATAAGGATGCACAATTGAATAAAGTTAACAATTAAACAGAAATATTTAAACAAATTTCATTTGAAAAACATTAAAATGAAAGTTGTAAATGATAAGAATCGTTGTTTCCTTTTTAAATACTTAATATTTTAAAAAATATGATCTTAACTAAATGATTTAAATGACTGATGTAGTGATGAGTGAGTTACTACGCATATCGTATATTATTTAGTTTATTCATGAACACGTTTATTCAAATGCGTAGGTACAGATCGTACACAGGTATAGATACTTATGTATATGCATACACATGGAGTAAATTATTCAGACATGATTTTATTCTTGGTATCTATTATTTACATATAAAAATTCTAACAGTCTAGCGAAAAATTATCAGTTTTATTCTAGTTACACGTAGTTAGAATTGCTATTAAACGCGTGGTATTTAATATGCACGTAGTTTACTTCGAAAATAATTTTTTTAAAAAAAGTTGATTTTGATAAACAGTATGCGATCTTTAATTCATAAATAGACAAAATTCGATTTGACAACATTCGTATGAAACCAAATCTCCTGATCAAAATGATTTTTGATCAAAATTTTTTAATCTTGAATTTGATTCTTCAATCAAGAATTTAACGCTATCATATATGTAGAAATTTAATGAGGTATTACAGGCCTTCTTTTTCAAATGACATTCCGAAACCAACAACTAATCTCTCTCCACTTTCAATCAATTTATTATAAGATTTATAGAACAGGAAAGGATTTTCCTGTCTGAAATTGTTGGATTTCTCTTTTCAAATTATAATCCACTTATCATCGATAAATGATATAAGGAAATATATATATATATATTTCTTTTATAATAAATGTTTAGTTAAAATTCTTTTAGATATCTTTTAGATATCTTTCTGGAACATAAATTATCGTGGAAAAAAACTTTTTAACGTCGTTGCAATCGGAATCATTTGAATTTCCATTATTTCGACTGTGCAATTTATCATGACGGAACACCGTGTCATAATGTAACATCATTTCCACGATATCGATTAAGCTGTGTACGTAAACTGTATATAAACTGTACTCTTGCGGTTTTCTTTCGATTCAAGAGAGTTTGACATTCAAGCATCTAAGTGTATGCATAGATGTCCATAAACGAACGAAAGGTATGTTGCTACATGTGGAACAATGTGTTTTTGTAAAACAGGTGGCCACGCATCGTGAACAGGGATTATGAATTAGAAATGATGTTCAGAAATGTAAGGTTTTGATAAAAGAGATTCCTGACTCTGGCAATATAGTTGTCTCTGGCAATTTTAGTTAATTCGGAGAAAGAGTAATTTAATTTGTGACATTGGAAAGTATACATTTGTATATATTGATTTTTATATAAAGCGACGTTACTTTAGTAAATTGAACTGAACTTATTTTTATAGTAATTGTAATAATACGTGCAGGCAATTTAGATTAATATTATTATTATTCTCAATGATAGTTGGCATTATCAACGGTTATTGTGTAAATAATTGTAAAATAATATCTTACTTTTAGTTTAATTTTTAATAATTTTACAAGTATATATATAACAATTATTTATAATAATTTATAATAATTGTTTATAATTGTTTATAATTGTTGTTAATTTTCTTAACAATTGTTAGCAAGAAGTCAATTGTAACACTTACGATGTTCTTTTACGATATTTTACAAACAAGAATTTAATCGTGCACAGAATAAACAAAGGGGCCAAAATTAAAATTTAAGATCTAATTTTCGTCTTGTTTCCAAAGAAAGAGGTACGAACACGTTTGACTAGCTAACGACAAACTTCATGAATTTATTTGCAATATTGATTTCGTTACATGAGTCACGCCTGTAGATATTTCTTTGTTATCGTCGAGGTATTCATTTCTACGTAAACCATTAAGTCTCTACGGTAAATCTCATTGATCCTTGAAGAAAATATAACACGATGATGTTACGGTTGACAAAGAAAAGAAATATATCTTAAAAGAAATATACGTCGTTTTATTAAAAGTCGAACACTTATACATGTATTTTATTAGCTTGATTTAAGATAATTAAGAAATATTTGGCACATTTTGAAGAAGGAACAATAGTAGACTTTATAATTATTTAATTATACATTTTTTTATTTATTTATGTATTGTTATTATTTTTTTTGAAAGTTGTTCATATTTTTTATCAAGCAAGAGAGAGAATGTATATTCTTTGTTACTGAAACAATAGTAGATTTTATAATAGATTGGAAGAATGAATTCTAGTTTTCTGAGAGATGATTTTGAGAATTCTGAACCTTCGCGTATTATATTTATAAACTTTTTATATTTTTGAACTTTTATACTTCTAGAAACATCTGTTTAGTCTACTGATATCCTGCCTATATTAAAATTCTGAATGAAATCTTCTAAAATATGCTTTCATTTATAATTTCAAGAATTTGACAAAATTGAGTAAAATCGTGAAAAGCCTTTATATTGTAAGAAGGAAACATATGTTACGTGCACTACATGATAGTAGGTCCTATGAAACATGTTTCTTATTTATAGCTTTGCATAATTTAAGGAACGCGTCCAATTTGGGGTAAATATGAGTTTCTACTTTTCTTTTGGGATATTGTTGGAAGACTTATTGATCGAATAATATAATCTAATGTCAAGTACAAGGTGTATATGGGTCACACGTGTGTCTCGTTCACATTGTGACGTAATGTCATGAAAATGAAATGAGAAACATTTTGGCCAGTTATTGTACTTAATTTCCTGTTGCAAAAAGAAACAAAATTACGAAACAAAAATACTGTTTGATGTTTCGTAATTAAAAAAAATTTAAGTATCAGATTTAGTTGAATTGTAGTTAAATTAAGAATTTAATTAAAATTTAAAATAATTTATAATATACTAAATAGACTCTTTAATGTCTCAGTACAATGTTTCTAATACAAAATCTTGAATATCATTCATACAATTTTATAGAGAATTAATGATTTAGAAAATTTTTTTTATTTATTTTTCATTAAATATTTACTAAATTTTAGCTCAGGTGAAGAAAGAGAGAGAGAGAGAGAGAGAGAGAGAGAGAATACCTCTCTCTTATTTTTAGTGTTTTGCAATTAAATTTGTAAAATTGGTTAAATTACAAATAAACTGACATTTTATTTTCCCATGTTTTAATTTAATATACGTATGTTTATTAATTTGAATCGTTGAGACTAATTTGATTCATCGCGGTGATATTATCCAGAGATATAACGTGATCGACCGCTTTGGTGGATACTACATACCTTTGAGAATAGATCGACGCTAAGTTTCCAGCCAATTTTGGCATTTTAATATTTACGCGAAAATTTCACTTTACAATGCCTTGAGATACTAAAAATAAAAAGCAAGTACTAAAACACTGGTGGACTTAGATATGAAAAGTTCATTTATATCGATTTTGGCGAGTTCATATATCGGACAATCAAACGTCAACGTCATCTAACACTCGCCGTGTCTTTTGATAAACAAAGGAAAAGAAAAAGATGTTAGGATGAAGCATCTCGTGAAATTATCGATTTTGTAATAAATTTAAGTGATATTCAAATGTAACGTTTTCCATTTTTTGTTTTCCACAATTTAAAATTTCTCGCAATGTGATCTCATTTATATTTCGGTTTATCATATCACAGTTGTAGCGTGTGGTAATATTCTGTATCGTATCGTATTACCTATATCATTACATCATCATCCACTGATAAGAAATACCAATATTTAATATAAATTTTTCTAACAATACTTATTTGCAGTTCAACTCGATAGCATTATTATATATTTATTATTTGTAGTTTTGATATTTGCCATTGTAAATATTTATTTCTTGATTCTGATTTACAAATGTTTCTGATATTGAAAGTATTTGCGGTTACAAAATTGTCGATCGATCGATCGTTAATATTGTAGCAGTGCAGTAAAATGAAGAGTTTAAAAAAATTATTGAAAAAATAAATATAAAAATAAATATGAAAAATACATACTATTCTCAATTTTTATAGGAAATAAATAAGTAATTGCGACACGAATGATGATATTTACGATATAAACTATGTATATAGTATTATATTCCATGAATCGTTTATCAATTGGCATGGTAGTTTCTTATCAATTAAAATATCCTGTTAATTGTCACTCTTTATAAATTTTTGCATTTCATAAATAAGAAAATCAGAAGCTCGAAAAATAATGATTTTGTTTTAGAGAAAATAATGCTATTTAGTATGAAAAAAATAGTATGTTAATGGATGTCGATGGTATTTGTAATAAGTACTCACCAGTGTCCAGGCAGATGCCCATAGTAGATCCTTCAAAGGATACCAAGATCCTGCCACGGCCATTTAATCACATGCTTCCAACTAATTAATTCACGTTTCCCTGACACGTTCCTCTCAGAACCAAATATATAACACAATCAACTTCCTTCTCACATTAGAAACTCCTTTTTTCACAACGTTCTTGATTTATCAACTATTGATCAAGTTTCTCGCACTTTTTTTTTAACGACGTCAAGTCAAATTCAACTGTATCTTCACACAGATTTGTGAAAGTAGAAATCGAATAAGTGGCCGATTAAGTGAAATTTGTTATCACAGTCCAATAAATCGGTACACAAAAGTCGGTGGTGTCTCGATTCGCAGCGTTTCTCTCGGTACTTGATTAAATCCTCGCAATTTCTTTAGGAGAATCTTCAGAACGACGGTCAGTAACAACACCATCCACATCAATGATGTCGATGATATTTCGTTCAACAGTTATAAGACACAATGTACTTTGATCGTTTCATACGTTTATCCAAGGACGTTCATCTTTAACATTAACCACTTTCAGTAACAAATCCATCGTGGAATCTGTAATAGAAGCAATCACCAATGTTGTTCATCCACTTTAAGGATTTTGTCTGCTTGTAATTACAAAGAGATTGTAAACCATTGGAGATCTTTTATTTTAGCTTTTGTGTATTTTTTAATTGAATCATAGATGGATCGTTATACAATTGTATAGAAATTTTTCATAGTTGCAAATAAAGCTTGACTTAAATAGAAATTTATTATGTATTTAGAAAGCATTGATTAAATATTTTTTTTTTTTGCGTGATTGTAGAAAGTTAAATTGACTTTGGCAATATTGTTTAACTTCTGCTTTTTGTCTTCTAACTAGCTTATTTCTTGAAATTCCACCGATTCGTAATTCTGCCTTGAAATTAGTATTTCTGTTTGAAGCTGTATTTTATTTCAACGTAATTCTTTCGTCGATATTTTCACTTATAGTCACTGGATTATTTCAATGTCGAGTCGATTAGTATCTTGATAATGCGTACAATGTTTGTATATATATATATATCCTAATTCTTAGTACAATTCGAGTAGATTACCGAATTTTTCAAAATGAAAATAACAGAAAGCAAGTAGTCGAAATTCTCTAAAAATTTCTATCCAGATTGCATTTTGTTATCGATTTTCTCTAGAAATAAGCATTCGCATAAGGATCTGCAATCTACTAATAGGACACAGTATCACACACGTATACACACATCCATAAATAAAACGAAATTTATAATATGTAGGTGTTTGGTCATTAAATGTTTAATTTCCAAAACATCATAAAGAATTGAATCAAAGTTAGAATGTTATATATAATAAATAAAAAGATAGAAACCAAATGAGATTTTCTTCATTCTTCAATATCTATTGTTTGTTATTCGTACGATAGCTAATTATATAATAAAACTTAGTATCGTTGCTCTGTTATAAACTTTTTAGCTTTTGAAATTATATTTATTTTGTTACTTCATCATTATCTCCCTAACTAAAATTATTGAACAACCAGATGAAAACAAAAAAATTATCAAGCGGTGGATAGAACCAAGAAGGATCATTTTCGGAGTTTTTCGATTGAAACATAACATCCGCGACCGTGTTCCATCGAAGAAAGACCGATCGAATAATCTGCTAGGAAAGTGAGGCCACGCGACGAAAAGATCGCGACACGATCCTACTTCTCACCCGAACAACTACAAAATCTTTCTACGAATCTCTTAGATCCTTTCGTTTTCATCGTATATTTATTCAAATTTATTCAATTACCAGAATATTCACGCACCAATGACAACTGCACGCAAACTTACATAATAAATAGTGCCACCACGGGGAAAATTGTTTCTTCTTAGATTTCTATTAAAACTTGTCCGTTTTCACGATCGTCCAGAACTTGCCCGAGGACCTCTGTGATTTCGACTGTCGATCGTTGTACAGAGAGAAGGAAAATGCGGTCCCAGCGACGAAAAAACACGGCCGACACGCGAGGCTTCCGGAACGGAACTTTCACGGGCAGAGGTTTCTCAGTCGCGGCGTGATAACGCTGTAATGGATTGTTAGAAACGACTAGAGGTCGTAGCAAGAGTCAATCGTCGCTATAGATACGCCCATGCGCACCTAATCCTTTTTCCACGACTCTCTTTAGTAGTACATACATGTGTTTTGCATACATTTGAGTTAATGGCCACCCCTTCTCTGTTGGCCACAACGTATAGTAGTGTGCGTTGCGTGAGCTGCAGGTTCAATGTCAAGTTCCTGTCGAGCAGATGGTTCTCGAATGAGTAGATTAATCAGTAGAGTAGTAGAAAATTGACTAACTCCTATCGTAGCCGTTATAGGTTTTTTAATCTCTCTATAGAGTCAACGTTACACTGTTACAGTTGAACACGACTGTTTCTCTTAGCGAACCGATCAAAATTTTATTCTCTATGGCACGGGTGATAAGATTTTGAAGGATTTTTAAGGTACATTAGGACTTCTTTTTTTAAATCGATGATCTATGAGCCTGGATCTCTATGTTGTCTGACCAATACGGCGCATTTCTACTGCATTGCTACTACTTCCTTCTTAAACGTTCTAATTCTTCAATGTTAGATGGAAAGATTAATTTTGGATAGCCAATTCGTTTCAAATATTTGTATGAAAATCTAATTTATAAATCAACTAATGATTATACTTTACATTTTATAAATTATGATACGACCGTACGATTTTATGACAAGCGTGCTAGGAAAGGAAATTTTTTTAGTATTTGAAAAGCAGTTTTATAGTTTTTGAATAAATAATGTTAGAATTTATCTCTTTGATACTTTAGCAATCGATTGACTTTCTAGAATAAATATCCGACGTGCGCAATATTAACATAGTGTATTGCGCTCGATTAGTATCAGTAGTCACCGTGTGAAAACATATTTCTTTACAAATATATTATTTGTTATCTAACGCCTTCGCGTTCGATTGTTACAAGGTGATTCATCTAATTTGTATTATTTGTTATATGAAAAATCGTTCCAAACAAAAATCGTATAACATTAATTTTTTATTAATTATTTTCTTATTGAAGTAATATCTTAGAAAAGAAGGTAAAAAAACACAAGAGAAGGTAAAAAAATTCTTCAGGTTATCGTGCCTATAGATTATCATTCAGAATATTTAGGTAGTATCTTTTAGGAATTGGGAAAAATACAGAAAGCGTGCTTACAAAGCGCGAGTACAATGTTAATTAAGAAAAATTGAGAGACAGTTTAGAGTAATTTTTTAATTGATCGATGCAAGTTTCGTCAAAAAAATTTTAATTTCTTTTTTTGCAATAGTAACAGCAAACCAATAATTCTCTTCTTAGCGTGTAAAATTAACCAACAAGTCTCTTCACGAGTCTTTTCGTGAATGTCTCTAGTAAAAGTAGTTGTCAGGAAATTGTAACTTAGTTCGTAGAAGAAAAGTGACCAGCAGTTACCCCCGCGTTATTCTGCATTATTTGTTAGTCAAATGAGCTTGAAGCTATAATAACGACTCTCCTCCTCTTCTTGGACGAAAATAATGAAAGTACTCGAGTTGGAAAACGTCAGTAACGTTGACATCGATTAAATTATTTAGATATCCACCTATACAGCTGCTCTGCTCTCATACATCCATGTATAATTCTTGCAAGGTAAGCCGTTTAGATAACCACGCCCGTTTTCCAATAACATGCACCATCTCCGTAACAACGAATCACTCCCCCGAAAAACGATTTAATATTTAACCTTTATTTCCGCTTTCTTCCACTTCTTCCATTCCTCTGCTCCGAAACGGTACAAATTTTGTTTTAAATATTACTGCTTACTTAGATTATTTGTTGAAAAATCAGTAATTTTTAAAATATTTCTTGAGAATTTCTATTTATTGAAAATGCCAATTTATTGATATAATAGTTAGTAATTAATCCACGATCTTCTTAATTAATACTATATCTAAAAGTTTGGCTTGAAATATTTTTTTTCATATAACAAATGAACTTTGAGTAATTTAAAGAAAGGCAGAGGTAAGTGATTTACCCTGAATAACGCGAAATGACCAGTATGATCTGTTTTTGTACATACAATTAACAGACTATATATCATTGATGAAAAAAGTATACCTTGATGTATGAAACGTCATTTTGGAAGAAATTTCGATTAACCTCTGAGGTGTTCAGTAATATTTGATAGAAATATTCCGTTTGAAATGAAACAATAAATTCGTTTTACTTTAATATGCAACATGATTATTGACATTTCATTGAGACAAGCAGTACTGACAAGCAATAAGCAACCTTTGTTATTTAACGTAAGTCGAGGACACATGTGACGTTCTCTGATGAATTACTAGAACATTAATGATGAATTAAAAAATAAAATTAAAAGAATGAAAGTGAAAAGATAGTTCTAATTGCAAGCATATTGTGTGAAAGTGGTCAGAACAACTAGAAAAAAAAACATAATTGAATAATGAATATTTTACAACTGTAAGAAAATAATAATTCAGTTTCTAATTGAAATCTTTTATGATTTGTGTTTTTAATTTACATATTTTTGTACAATTTTTTTTTTTTTTTTAAATCATATGAAATTTAACAAATATTTACGTAGCAATCTATTAATTCATCAGATATTACATTTATTTAAATTTAAGCATTTCTCTTGACCTTAATATTCGACCAAGTGAAGGTCAATAGTAGTATGCAAATTTTACGAAATATATTTATACATATATTTCCTTGCATTTAATGTCACATAAATATTCATATTGTCCTCCTGAAATTGACATATTAGATTGACAATAGCTTGATATTTAGTTCCATCATGAAGGTACATTAAATATTATATATGAAATTATTAACGTAATTCGTGTAAAATATTTCATATTCGAGAAATGGTATTAAAAATATTGTTAATGTATTATATAAAATGATAGATATGTTTATATCTATAATAATATAAATAAGAAATATAATAATTTAAATTTGTTAAACATATTGTCAATACCACGTGATTATTGTCTTCGCATTCATGTTTATAGAGCTTTTTTAACAGTTTCTAACATGCTGTCATTATAAATATTTCAAAAGATATATCCTATATAAGTACTATGCTTGTTACTACTATGCTTGTTCATAAATTGTTCGTATGATTAATACAAGTTCCTTTGAAACTTAAAGGTCGATCATATATAGTTATAGTTTCTTGACGATAGTTTTTCTGTGAACCAATTAATCTTTTGTAAATTGCTAAAAATTTCCATGAATTTTGTGATCTATTTCTATTTTTACTAATATATATCCTTAAGATATAATTAAGATAATATATATCCTTAAAATTTTTTTGTTAAAATATAATTGAATTTGCTTGATATCACAGTTGTTAAGAATACTTGTATTAAAGTTTTGGATTCTTTCATTGGTATAATTCTTTCATGGTCAGTATCAAATAAAAATTCATAACTAGTCTTAGCATTAAAAGTTTCACTTACTTCCACAAGGATCGAATGCATACATACATCAAACGAATAATTGACATGATTAGATATTAAAAATTCTTTATTATTTACAAATTTCACATTATTCAAATATTGTTGTAAGTAAATTACAAAAACAATTATAATTGACGCTATTTTCTTTTTCATTTTGTTCTTGATAAATGTATAAATTTACTGTTTATAATTTCCATATTATTATTACAATTGACATGACAAGAATAAATATTTCTTCAGATGCTATACAAAAATCTCTTGTCATGTTTAATATTTTGTTGTAAAAAATACTTGTATCAAAATCTTTGGTTCGTGCCTTGTTTCATTTAGAAAATATACACACGTATACCTAAGTATAAAAAATTCGTTCGCAATTCTTTCGATGTACAATATACAACGTATGAAAGATACATGTACGTTCTTACATAAATATCACTCATTTTAGCGCATGTACAAAAATAAATGATTAAAAATGGCATATAGCATTGCATTAAATTAACTAAATAATCTCAGTATAAAGTACAGAAGAAATACTAAAATATAAATCAGTATTTTTCACTCGAAAACTCGAAATGTAAGTAGATATGTTAGTATCACATAAAAGTAAAGTATTGTTTAAGTACGTAAATATCTTTGATAATACCTTGAAATTTTGTACTTGTTAAATACAAATATTAATTATTAACATTTAAAATTTCAAGTAAATATTATCATTTCATTGTTAAATTTCGAAATACAACTAATTACTGATTTAATTAACGAAGTTATCGGTGAAACTATTTTATCTTCCAGCTCAGGTACTTCATTATTGCTTATTAATATCAATTTATAATATCAAAGCATTCATAATATCTAATCGCTCACAAGATCTGAGCTTTAAATCGTTTAATAGCATGGTATCGCGTAAACTTATATTGTTCGATCACAGATATGACCAGAATGTATTCCACACGTGAATATGACAACCTATGATAGCAATTTCAGAAATCAAATTTTTCAATGAAAGCTACTTAATGTTTTTGTATCGCTGACTTAATTTAACTCTTCAAATTGTAAATTCATTTTCCAAAGGATTTGAGAATTCGACAGTACAGGTTTCGGATTTATGCTTTACTATTAACTTAACATCTTGATTTCTTTTGCGCCACTGTTGCCAAGACTTGAGATGGAATCTGAAAGCAAAAATTTATAACACTATAATATTTTCTACTAAAAGTGGAAAAATTTAGAGAGTAGAGAAAGGAAGGTGAATCGATTTATTGACTAAGATAAATACAGATACTTCTGAATCATTGATCCTTATTTTTAATGATTATTGACGTTGAGTTACACAAGGTATAATCAGAGCTTATTTATTATCTTTATCATACTTAATCTTTCCTCTAGGGAACCTTGATAAATAGTACTTGATATACTATAACATATGAAAGATAAAGTATCGAGATGTAAAACAAGACGTAATTGTAAAATATAAAGCGCAGTGTGCAGAATAATCCAATGATAAGAAATCACGATCAATTTTAGTTAATATTAGAGCATCAATATTAATTTCAGTTAATTTAATCAAATATATTTTAATCAATATATATTTTTCGAAATAAAATAATATTTCACTCATGATATGAATGAATAAATAAAAATAAGTTAAAAATAGTTTAAAAAAGTAATAAATTCGCGAAATTTTGTAAAGAAATCAATAATATAATCACTTTTATGACAATCAAAATTTTTGGTTAAAATATGTTAAGATTATTTGGAAGTTATTATTGCTAGGATCGTTTGGGCGAATTTTTCTCGCTGAATGCTATCTTTTTTTAAATCATATATTTTTCAAACATTTTGTAATAACGAAGTCAGAAATACATAAGTAGTTCCTAATTTTTCTCAAGTAAAGATCATAAGTCATACCTGACAGTGATGAGAAACCATAAGCAATAAGTAGTCATCAACATACAACAAAGAACGGTCAAGCCTATTCCTTCCCAGAAACCAAGTTTTGTATAAGTAGATGCACCAATTGCGCATAAGTACGTCGCCACAATGCAAAGTGGTGTTAACATTACCAGACATATTATATCGCCAATTATACCTTGTGGTCCGTATTTGTTTCTAGTTCTCCACCATTGTCTGAAAGACTACAACTTGTATTTAATAACAAATAAGATCGAACGAATTGTTATCAAAACAACGGTTCATATTTTTCTTTTATTAATTTCTTATCGAATCAACGATAAAATGAAAATCTCTTCAACATGAGAAACATTAGATATGTAAAAATTCACCTTTAACAACGGTTTGTTTTTCTTCTGTATTGCAAACAACTGTTTGCAAATCTCGCAACGATCAGTGTTCGATATAGACAACCATTTTTCCAAACAACGAGCATGCATCAGGCCCAATGTGCCACAACATTTGCAAGGATCTATTAACTCTTCCAAATTTTCATCTATGAAACAATTTTGTCTCGTTATTTCAATCGACTTATTGTAATATTTCATCTTATGCTTTTTAATGAGCAAAAGCTGTTGTTATTCAACAAGACTTTTAAGTCTCACGTTATAAGTCTCATATGTCGATAAACTGAAGGCTAGTCTTTAATTGGAATATTTAACCACATCCGTCCCAGACATTAGATATAATATACTCTCACTATCATTTAGTCTGATTTTTATAAAACTGTTTTATAAAACGAATATTTAGAAGATTAATTTTAATAATACCATTTCGAGATCTCTTCTTATTACTTGTGTAATATAAAAAGTTCAAATTCTTTTAAATTGTTTCAAAAGTTCGATTTATAAAATAGATTTATAATATCAAAGTAAATTCGTCAATTTTATGATGGTACTTTTGATCTTGTTATTTCTAATAAATAATAATAATGAAGAAATATTGGATTTCATTTACGATTGATCATCATAACTAACAAATTCATCTATTTGTAGTAACCAACGATTAGTAATCAATCGTCATTAACTAATAATTAATGCTCACACATGTTATAATGTAGCTCTTTTTATATTACAAATACAAATATATTTTTATATATAAATATTTAACGATATATTTTATATGTATGCATATATATGTGTATATATATTTTTCTATTGTATATTTGCGTGTATTATGATTTACGTGTTATAATTTAGTGGTGATACGTGTATGCTTATCGTTTCATCAGAAAATGTAGATCGCAGATTATGACTCAGAGTACGTTTCGAGACGTCACTGAATTCTTTGCACTATCATCGAATCTATAACTAAGATTCTAGGTATTCGAAAAATTGATAAGGATGTGAAATATGTATCCATTAAAATTTACAAATTGTTATTAATAGAATTTATAAAACAATTTCAAAATTAAAAAGATAAACATTATTACTATCTAAAAAAGAAAAGTTTACATAAAGTAAGAAATAAACCATGATACCATTGTGAATTTTTTAAAATTTACCCTATTACTTCTTGTCTGTTTGTATAATAATAATAGAACAGTTTTAATGTTAATTAATTTTAAAATTATATTAATTATTACTATTATTTGTTTATAATTATATTCATATTCGTTATTCATCGCTAAAATTCTTTTCATACAAGATGAAGAAGAAAAAAAAGTATACTAAAAATAACGATAAAATCAGTGAAATGATGTGAGTGTATACCTTACCGCTTTCAAACTCTCCCATTAATCATAACACTGAATCACTACTATATATGTACATATACATATGTATATATATAGTATATATACATATATATACACACACACACACAAATTTTAAACATATTCTACAAATATACTATATTTTTTCCATTTTTTTCATTCCAATATTTTATAATATTTTATATGTATTAAATACTATATACAATGAACTTCGCATCCATTTGATATATTTCGACACGTTCATTATATTTATTATCAATACATATGTATCATTCGTCCTTCAGTGAAAGTATCAACTATCAATTAAACATCATTTCAAATTTCAAGCTTCCATATTTTACTAAAATTATTAGTTCACTTGCCAAAAATATCTTGCGTAATTTTGGAACTAACTAAGTTTTGAAAACACTTCGTACGTAGTCCACTTTCGAAATTCCTATTTAAATCTTAAAGACACTTCCTGCTTAAATCACACAAACTTGGCACCACGATATTATCAACGAAATCTTTTCTTTAAGTTACAAATTTATTACTTAACATTCAAATATTCTAAAACATACACTATGCCTATAAAAGCTATACCATATCTATAAAAAAAATTCATTATTCAAATTGTAAACAATTTTCAAAGACACGAAAACACAACACTTTCTTCTTAGCGCTTCTAGATAGTCGAACTATTTGATCATAGACCGATCGTGAAGATAAACATCGTGTAAGATCGATTTATGATTGATATATACAAAAGTGAATGAAAGAGAAATGGAAAGAAAAGAAGAGAAACAAATATTGTCAATATTGTACCTTCGTGACAAATTCGACAAGAAACAGAAGTGGCACTTCGTTTATCGGGCGTCATGTTTCGTCGGTGCAAAGGCGAAGCGATTTTTGGCGTGTCGATGGTCGTTGTGTCGCCGAACACCGCTGTCGTTGCACTACTCTCATGAAATTCCATGGAACGTTATCGAGCTATTATCGAGGAATTATCACCGCCTATGCATTCGTTGCCGGTTGTCGTCGTAAAGTCAGCTAGATGAAATCAACCTGCCGCTTTGTCACAGGAATCGGTCATTCTTCGATCATCAATCAAATAATCGGTGTCTTTATCCTTGATGCGGCCACGTAATCACCAAAATGTTTTGATTCTCAGGAGAATTAACTGAATTGATCGTGAGAAGTATCGATTTGTGGAAGTTACATGAAACATTTATGTTGTTTTTTTTTTTTTTCAGTAAACTAAAGAAAAAATATATAATTGTAATCGTTTGAATATATCATTGATTGTATCATTCATCTATTATAACGGCTTTTTCGTGTAATGTTTGTTACAGAATAATAATAATAGTAAATATACAATGTGCGCAATATTTTGAAGTTGTTTGGGGAAGATGAATAAAAGGATGTAAACGGGCAATTTATATTTATAATTTTTAATTACATATACTTACTTGTAAATTTTAATGATCATTAATTACAATGTTGTACAGTAATTGATGTATTTTACATAATTAACTTTTTCATATATTCATTTTTATTTTTATAATATAATTATTATTAATTTTTAACAAATCTTGAAATAAATTTACGTAAAGTAATAATATTTTATTTTAAGTTTAGAAGTTCAGTTTAGCTTTCATAAATAGCATGTCCAAAATATTTAACATTGATTAAATATTAACGTAAAATAAAAATATATGTTCAAGTTCTATAATACCGACCGGGAAGAAAGCCGTTTCTTACGCCCTCTGCGATTCACTATACAAATATATATAACGCGATTGATATAATCGATATTTTTCACGATCGATCTACAACACTGAAATGTAACGTATTTACAGGCGAGAAGTACAGGAAGGAAAATTTATCTACAAATCGTCGAGTAAAGATTAAAATTAAGAACGTTTGAACTGTGTTTTTGTATTGTCAAATATATTATTTAGAAATTTAAAACAGTGAGGATTGTTTAAAAATTATGTATATTTAATACAATCATCGATGTTGATTAAAAATCAACACGTCTAATATGTGTATAAACTTCTGTAAGTATTCAAATATCTTCGACAGAAAATATTTGCATATATGTATTCACACATTTTTTTGTAATACTTTCGTAATACTTTCATCATTATTCATTTCACGTTAAGTATGTTTATGTTCAATAATTTATCGGTTATTATTATAGTTTTTAATACCTAAAAGAGTGGCAGGACTTCGCGCCCTGTGGATGTAACGGACACAAGGAATTTCTATTGGAAATAAAAATTTCTCTGTTTTACGGGGTAAGAAACACTAGCCCGTAAACACTAATTAGACCCTTAGCTTTCTTTTCATACCCCATTTGACCCGTAAAATGCAGAAATAAGTATTTTTATAATTAATTAGTACCACCGGGTTACCGCTAGATGGCGCCACCATGTCCATTTTGTGACAGTTCGCACTAATTACGAGAAAAACCTAATTAAGAGGAATAATTTGCGAACTTTTTTATATACCTCCTTAAAATTAAGCTCCCCGCTTTCTTTGTATGTGTGTTTTGTCCTAGACAAACGTGTGTATATAAAGTTGAATTTTTTTTCCAATAGATCGAAGAATGTTTTGCACACTATTCCTTTCCTTGTGTACCGTCATTAGAAAAGGAGGGCACTAGCGTGCGATAAGGACATATGCGCGCGGTAGACAAGGAAAGCGATAGTGTGCGACAAGGACGACAATATAAATTAGTTCCACCGTTTCACCGCTAGTATTTTAATGCCTCTAGTGGATAGCATATCTAGTCTTTACTTAGTATATCAGTTCCAAAGACACGAATATTACAAATCGTAAGTGGATGCTGCTTATTGTTAGCTACGGATTAAGTGGAATCTTTATTTTAAGCGTGCAGCGTGTGGAACACTTCTAGGATGGGTGCCGTTTCTTGGCTCAAACTAGAGGTTTCTAATGAACCGAGCGTCTGAGATTAGGGGTCGCCGGCATCAGCTCTATTGATGAATCTGGCGGTGACTCTAAGACGAAATACACTTCACCTTCTATATTCCTTATAACATTATACATAAAATCATCCGCTACAGAAATTTCATCTTTGGTACCATCTACTGACGAAAATTACAAATTGTATATTTTCAGTTATATTTGTCTATGTACAAAAATGAAATGTCCCATGCAAGAGCAAAGGAAGCAGTTCTTTCTCTCATTGACCGACTCACTAGGTTTTGTTTGTTCTGCGTAACGCTCTCAACCAATAGGTATTCTTAAATTTAAGAATCGATTGGAAATAACCAATCAGACCCACATTCTTTTTGGGGAATTTTTCATCTCTTGAGATTATGAGTTGAATTCGGTAAGAATATATTTAATTTTATACAAAATATAAAAATAATATATCAAATTTTGCAATTTGTTTTGCTTTGGGGATTACGAGAGAAATGATTGTAATTATAGAAGATGAGAAACTTATTTTTTTTGTAGAAAGAATCATTTATGGTGATTCACTTGATTGCTATTTTATGTCTATGTTTCATTGCATTTGTGGTATTAATCTGTGAATTCCTCCGTCAGCTACAACAATTGCGATCCTAGAAGAGTGAAGATGTGAAACTATATACTGAATTACGAACATTGCAGAAACGCAGCACCAGGTGGAGCAATTATCTCCATTATCGTAGAGAGAGATGTATGAATTAGAATGTGACAGTTGAGTTAGAATCGTAGTCACTTTGGAACTGAGATGTCAGGTTACGTCAAATGAAAGCAACATGAGTACATTAGATAATAATGATGAAAATATTGACTTAGAAGATATAAAACTCGAAGCTTTTAAGATTGATGATTACGAAAAAGAAATTGACAGTGACGATTTCTACAGTGATGTTCCAGAAGCTAATAATGATGAAAATGTAAGAATAATTTAATATTTTGCATTTATTTTTCTAGTTCTACTTTTGTATAACTATACAAAGTTCTAAATAAAAATTTATTATATCTTTCAAATAAATTTAAATCATGTAGACAGAAGATAATCAGTACAAGGTAGATGATTGTCAAGAAGACGAATATGTGGGACCAGTACTTCCTGGAGGTCATAGATTTGATAGAAAGTTTATTTGTGTTAAATATCCTGGAAATGTTATTAATCCAGACAAAGCTATAGAAACTTTAGGTGGCATTCAAAGTATTTCAACGGTATTGTGTTATTAGAAAGATTATAAACTAATAATTGTTATAACTGATAGTTATTATTGTAATTAATTATACACATGTGTGCTAACAGGCAGTAAATACACCAAATCGACGATTGGAGTTAAGATTCAGACCAGATGATATTTATTGCAAACCAACTTGTGGAGATAGACATAATACTAATGGCCTCTTGCTTAGAATTAGAATTAAAAAATCTAGAGTAGAAAAAGCAAGAGAAGCTGAAGCAAAACAAGAAAGGAAACCACCAGCAAGTACTGTGAAAGTAAATGATTCTTCAGTTGATAACAATGAAAATATTAAAAATAATGTGAATAAAATAGATGTATCAGGGATTGAAGATAATAAAGATCAACAAGGACAACTTATAACTGAATTAATTGATCACATACAAAGTTGTAGCTTTACTACTTTAGATAATCCTGTTCCTGGTCCTTCTCATAAGGATTTATATTCTGAGAATGTTAAAGATTTACAGGATCAGTTAGTAGATACAAAAGCAAATTTGTCAAAGAGTAAAAATGATATACCACCAACATTTGATCGTAATAAGTATGAAGATCTTTCTGAAGATAAGGATTACGAATTACCAAAATTACAAATTTTAGGCAGAGTTGATACAGAATTTAAATTTACAAGTATGTATCTATTATTTAAAATGGAGAAAATTAGATTTATTTATCTTTTTCATACAACGAAAATAAGTTAAATATGTGATTTAAATATAAAAAACCTAAAAAGTTCAAATGTAATATTTTTCAGATCTTTGTGATTTTCAATATTTACCTATGACTCAAAGTAAGGATGATCCAAAAAAATTAGAGTGTATATATCATAAAATTTATCCCAATAATATACCACATTATTCTTGGTTAAGGAATGACGTGCCTTATTTTCTGCCACCAGCTGCGTTCAGCAGAATGGATACAGTACAGCAATATGTACCAAAAACTGAAGTTAATTCATATCCAGAAAATATAATAGGAAAGAGTAGAAAGAGAAAGACAGGATTTTCGAATTTTATTTACTTTTCAACATCAGAAGTTCCTTCTAAACCACCGACAGGCATAGAAACTGCTATGAAAGTTAAGTTTATTCAGAATATACACTTTGAACAAATTCGTCAAGTTTTTGAGGAGCGACCAATTTGGTCAAAGAACGCGATAATGTATAAAACGAAATTTTCTCATGAACGATTGAAAATTTTACTACCTGCTGTCGCATATTATTTTGTGACTGGCCCATGGAAGATTATGTGGGTAAAATTGGGATATGATCCAAGAAAAGATATTTCTGCAAGAAAATACCAAACTTTAGATTATAGATTAAAAGCTATGCGTAGGTTTTTAAATATTGCTTTTAATATAATATTATTTATATCCAAAATTTGCTTACGCATTTTGCTCATTTTATTTAGATGGTTTGGGATCTACTGTAAAGTGTAAAAGAAATTACTCAGATTATACATTACCATATAAATCCACACCAGCTGCAAAACAGAAAACAATTGTACAAAGTGCTGCTTCAAATCAAGAACAAAGCTCTAAAAAGGAGCAAGATTTAAATGAGAATGTATATATCTATCGAGAAGGAACGGTACCTCCTTCTAGACAAATGTTTTATCAGGTCCATTATAATTTTTTTATTATTACAATTATAAAAATTTTTATGCTTCTATATTTCTATATTTCACATTTATGAATTTTTTTTTTAGTATTGTGATGTTCTTGTAGATGAAATACAAGAAATGTTAGCAAAGTTACCAGATCTACCTGGTTCTAAGTGCCATGAAAAAAGAGGCTGGTTACCAAGTGGTTTTGATGTTCAGTGTAGAGAAATAATTAACAAACAAGTTCGAGCTGTTTTGAGAAAGCAAATGAATATACCTGAAGATCGTATGTATTAATATTTTTCTGCGTATTAATTGAATTTTTACTATAATATTTTATTTGTAGATCCTACATCTTTACCTCGAAAACGCAAATCAAGAATTAAATTAAAGCTTAATAAACTTAAAGGTAAAAAGAGAAAGAGAAAAAGTTCTCTTTCTAGTGCAGAGGAAAGTGAAGGAAAATACGATCAATTTGAATCTGGTACTGTTATAACAGAAAATGAGTGAACTGTGTTTCTAGGTAATAACTTTTATATTTAGTATGGTCCAATAAGAATTAATATTTGAATATCTCTGTTGTTTTTGGAAATATAAAAAAGCTGTAGGTTTTTGCATATGAAATGGCGGATTTCACAAGTATGTAAAATCATTCAGAGTTTCATGATTAAAAATGTGCTTTATCAAATGTCGACTTAAAGTTTGAAGCTTGCCAAAATCAACATGATCTATGTTTTGTTTGTTTTATATGTTATTATAAAATTATTTATCCAATCCATGAACATTTTTATGAAACTTGAAACTTCAATCTAAGAGTTGTTCATAACATTAATGTAAATATCTCAAAAACTGACATTTAATATAAATAAATAAAGACTTTATAAATACCTACAAATAAAGTTTATTCATAAATGTACAGAGTTTGTTTGCCAAATGTAAATCTATTAATAAATATGTTTACATTAATCATTAACTGATGCTGTAATTACAAATTAAACAGAATGTAAAAGATTATTGAATTCTTTTGAAAAATGAGTGCGGAAAAATGCAGCGACGAGACACATTTTGATGATATTGATAAACATTTGTAGTATATATGTATATAACATGTACATATATTTACTATAACAATGTAATAATTTTTATTATATACGAAAACGTTATGTTTATGATTCAAATTATAAATGATAAATATGCTATGTACATGCTTTTAATGAATTCAATATAGAATATTTTTTTTATAATCCAAACGAAAGAAAATGTTTTAAAGCTAATAGATAACTAATTAATATATATAATATAAAAGATGTTCAATGATCATTTTTCTTTTTTTCTTTTTTTAATTCGTGTCTTATCAATGCTGCAAAAGAAACGGATAAAGAGGTGCTGATGACGAGGATTATTCATTTATGAAGCCTTTAAAGGCGGAGATTGGGATTGGTATTGGCTATATAGCGCAAAAGTTCTTCAGAGTCCTCACAGACAAATGGTTTCTGATGATAGCAAGCTACATCGTGCCAACTGATTCCATCCTTGTAAACGTTGTTTAGAACAGACATGCAAGATTCGCTGGTGCCATTTATGTCGAATTCAGCGTTATCCGGTTGCCTAACTTTCTTATGACCAGTTTGGGACCATGGGTTGAAAGACCAACCTTCGGGCACTTGATTTGTTGGTGCCATCTTGTTTCTGTTGGCTGACCAGAACCATCCATAGAGGGCTTTGGGTTCAAGGTCGCGGCGATTCTCGCAACCTTTGAAATCGCAGAGACGTCCAGATGTCCAGATGTAAGGAACGTCGTCTGTGAGAAGATAATAATTCATTTTTATTAATATATAACATTATTATATAGGCTTTTTTAATTCAGTCTTTAAGTTCAATCTCTGATTGATTAAGATCGGTAATCTTCTTTTCTCGAAAGAGACCAATATCTTTTTACTTTTAATTCAAAATGAAATATTAAAAATTTTATCATACTTTGAAATTTTGTAAGTCATACGTTTAGAATTTTTGCAAAAACGTACTTTTCCTGCGAAAAAGTAGATATGTACATTTTAATATTGGTAGAAATGTTAATACAGATGATTTTCAGATTATATTATTTCGTGGCAAGATAGATGTGAGGTTGAAATGATTGATGCGTTCCATGATGCAACAATGTTATGTATATACTATATAAAAAGATGAGATTCCTCAGCCTCAACCCACTTAAAGATCCTTCGTTTTGCCTTGAGGATTCTGTTGTTAACTCGTTAACTTGGAGATTCTAACTTCTCGAGAACGAATGGAAATTGTATCTTCACTTGCGAAAACAATTAGTTATATGCAAATGAATCATCGTCAATCGCTGGCGAATTTGGACGTACATGTATGCATTAGATGAATTTTTTTATTGAAATATTCCATCCATGATAGGATAATTAATTGTAGTTAACAGATAATTAATTTTTCTAGATTTTTCTTTCTCATTTCTTACAATATTCAATTCATTCACTCAAAAATAAGAGAACTATTATTTAATATTATTTTACTAGATCAATTATACTAAGATAGATAAATATTTTATACTTATTTTTCTAAAATAGTTTTAGAATAAAAAGAAAGAATAATTTAAACTGGTATAATTATAAAGTTAATAAATCTCTTTCAAAATTATATTTGTTATATATTATTATATATTTGTTTAATATAAAGAATTCTGTGATTCTAATAATCAGTAGATTTTGTAAATTCTACACACAAAATAATGAAAAATATATAAAATACTGAAAATAAAGTTATTATAATATGTAGTAGATAAAATAAATCATTATTTAGATTTCGTCTGTAATTACATCCATAAAAAATATGAATTTGCATAAATATTCTCAAACTACTACTAATTAATTCTCCTTTTAATGGTTCTCTTCTTAATTCCACTTTTTAATGATTTGTTGAATAATCGATGGACTTTTCTCGTCCTCGTTATATATGTTCAATATTGAACATATAATATTTTCACGATATTGTTTTCGTAATAAGCAACCGTGAAACTGATTAGTCTTTCACTTTCTTCAATCGTGAGGAAACACTATGGTCGAAGAGACGTGATGTTACAAGCCACTTAACGTGAAGTCAAAGAAGCATCGCCTCACGGCAATGGATCATTTGTTTCGAAATTTCTGTGCTAGCCAACTAGAGAATGAAAGCTATGCCAGGTAATAAATTGTACACGAACCTGACTACTTCTGTGTTCCTTGGTGCCGATTTTATCTTGGTAGTTGTAGGACTTTCTAAGTTTGACGTTAAAGAAATAGATTTATATCTTCCTACGCTTTTCTGCTTGCACGTAAAATTTAATAACTACTACGTTATATGAGATTACTAGGCATACCTTTCGTTTAATCTAACTATCGATTATTGCTTAAATTCATGCAATTACCGATAGTATTCGTTTCTTGAATCCTCTATGATATTTTAAATTGAAAGATTTCGAAATTTGATAGTGGATCTTGTATAATTTATTTCCAGTAATCAATTTTTGATTATTTGTATCATTTTATGACAAATTATGGGGATTTTAATGTAATTAAAGAAAAGAATTAGAAGTATTATTTTTTTTCAATAGTATCGGCATTCATAAGAATCGGACCTATTCGCAATATATCTATATGTATATTTGTTTCCATTTCTATTTCAGAGATGATACACAAGAAATGCCGTAATCTATTTGAACTATATATAGTTTCTTCTTTTCTACGTTCCTATAAATATGTGTGAGGGAATTAAAACATTACGAAATGAAAATCACATTAAGAAAAGTGACAATAAATAAAAAATCAAGAGAGAAGAGAAGAGTTAAATACGAAGATCAAAACGTTTTGTGATTACGCGTGAACTAGTCATCTTTGTGTCAAGCATTAATGAATCATTCTTATTCTCGTTGCCTCCAGATTATCCAATCGACTGAATAGGATTTTTCTTCATGAATAAACAAATACACGTTCATAGAAATTTTCTTTTTTATGAAATAATCTTCCTGGAATCTTTTGAAAAATCAACCTATATGCAACGAAATTGTAATTCATAATTTTAATAACATTTCAATTCTTCATTTCTTGAACAAATGATAATGATTTGATATTTTTTAATTTCAGACTTTAGTTTATGTCTTTACTCCATAAAATATTTCAAGAATTTAACTTGTATCTCAAGAATTAAAGAAAAGCATCTCAAGAATCACTTACTTTGTTGAATAAGTCTGAAGATTAAGTTGTTTTCATCTTGAGTCTCCATCGACACGAGATCCATACAATATTCTCTGCAGATGTTCCTAGCATCTAACCAATCTACCCTCTGGTTCGCATGAGCTTGAACATGTCCGCTGTAGAAATAATTGTGTCCTCTATAGTTGAATTCTTTCGGTCCTGAAAATCAGAGAATTATTTTCTTCTTATTAAATATTTTTGTTCAATCTGAGTAAAATCTTTTTCGATGTTTGTTCAATCTAAGTACAATTTTTTTTTTTATTTAGCTTGTTACAGCTAACGATAACATGAATTGTCTTAATATATTTACAATCAGTTCAAACGAAAATTTAATTAATTTAATTAATTTAATTATGTTTATAAAACATTATCTGATATCTAATATATGATAGAAACAAAAAGAACAAGCATTGAATTGTTATAAATTGTTAGTATTATTATTTATTAGAGAAAAACGAAAATTCTTAAAATTTATTAAATTTTTCCAGATAATATAAAATGGTAACTTCGTACGATAAATTCTAGTATCTAATATTTTACAATAGTTAATATTTTATTTCAGTCTTTTTATCAAATGATCCGATGTCAAAGATATTCTTCATGGCATTTGACATTTCAAGTTTCAATTGTATAGTGAATTTTTTTCGACAAAAAATGAGAAAAAAAAAGAAATCGTTCAGGATGTTCAATTATCTCTATCGTGTATATAAATGAGATGGATCTGTAATCAGGGGAATGTGATTATCGTTCGGTTAAATGTCAACGGTCTACGCTTTTTTCTCATTGATTATGCAGGAATGCTTCGACCTCGACAATTTACAATGTGTATTTTATTATCTATCATGAATCTAATGTCCTGATTACGAAAGGGTTGCTCCTATTCAACAGTAATATTACGCGCGGACTTGTCCATTATATCTAAGTCCTTCGTTATCAAAATTTTTATTTTTTCATATTAGTTGCATGCATGATCTTAAGTGCAAGAGAGCTTAAGTAACTATCATTTTACTTGCATTCACGTACTTCAATTATCTCAAATATCACGCAAAATTCCGTAATTTACGTATGAAGTCTAAAATTTTGCTACATCTCGTCGGATTATTACTGAATACTTAAGGTGCTGGTTCGCTACTAAGACACTAACATCCTAAATTCCATCTATTGAAATTGATTATGCTAAAACCTGTTATTTCAGAAGTTGCAGACACGTTGCACTGTGTATGTATTTATTATCACGTATTTATTACGCGTTTCATTGCTCATAATACTGACAAGGAGCGGTATGATTGATGTGTGCGGACTTGACTTCACCCATGTAACATGTAATCGTATGTAATCTTTTCGTTGGAAAAGTAACCGTTGAATGAGAAGAACGAAAGGCAGAGATGAAAGAAAAATTATCTAAATTGTACGTTTCTTTTTGACATATCACGGAAAAGAAAATCTCATGGTGAATGTCAGGTTACAAGTGGTTTATTTCTTCTGAATGATACTCAAGCAGAAATTGGTGACTACATTGCGTTTTCTTTTCAGGAACGAACAATGATTCTAACATTTCTAACATTAATGTGTCGATTGTCTTAGTATCAATGTGATGCTATAAGTTTCTACAAGAAGATTTTGTAAGAAGATTTCTATGATTTCAATGACGTCAATCTAAGCAGTTTAATAAATCCAGGTATCCTTGAATATTTGGTATTTAATAACTCGTTGTTGGTAAGATCCTTGAAGATCAAGAGTAGAAACAGAATTTTATATCTGTGACGATTTATTTTGTGAATGTTTAATTTTTTTCTATATTTCGTATTTTCTATAAAATTATTACATTACCATTTCCTATATTTTTAAGATTTTTATTTAATTTTGGAATAGCTTTCTCTATATATTTTTTTCTGATATTAATATTTTTATTTCGACTGGATTATTTATCATTATTTACATTGAAGGGAGGAAATAGTTTTAATTATAGAGAAGGAAATAATTTTAATTGCAGGGAAAAAAATAGTTTCCATCCATTCTATATTATAAACGAAAAAAAAAGGAAAAAAAATTATTGCCAGGGTCAAAGTAGATTCCACCAGTAGTTAATATGTTAATTGGATGGCTTTGGAATCACCCGTTACTAATAACTACTTTAAATTCAAATATTTTCTAATCTCGTGGCTGTTTCAAAGATGTATCATGTACATTTACGTAATTAGATATTACGTAACTAGACATAGAATTTCATGTGACTTAATTGAATAATGGAAACTATTTTGAAGACGAAGTTCCTATTACATGATTCATTAATAAAACCTGAATTTCATCTGAATTAATTTATGTACTAATTTGAAATAAATTAGGGGAAATAATTATCAGAATTGATTGTAAAAGATTAACATACTTTAAATTAACATACTTATTATATATATTATATATATTATGTAAAAACTCGTAAAATGAAAGGTTGAACAAATGAGACATTAAACACCGTACCGTGAGATTAATTTCCTCATTTTTGCGTGATCATGCGCTTGTATCTGATAAACGTTTATGAGAAAAGAAGCAATCCCCTTCTTCATTTGTCTTTGATTTTCTTTCGCACTCGCAATTAACATTCGTTATATCACCGTTCATTAAACATTTATACGCCTTTAGAAGCACTCGCATGTTTCATCATTGCATTGTGTCAAGGAACTTCTGACAATAATTGTTCGTGCAATTCTCTTGTTTTCAAGTCTACTAACGGTTCTTCTTCTTTTATCATTTCTCTAGCACTAGTTACAAAGAAAAGGACTATAAAAAGACTTTTTTAATTGCACATATTATCTAAAATATTATAACTTGTAAATATAGTAAATAAAGATTTTGTAGTGAAATATCTTTTTCGTTAATATGTATTAAATTTTTGTTTAACATATTTGTTTCAAAATAGATTCCAAATATAAAAAAGAAATCATAACTTTTAGTTAATTTTTATTTTTAATATTATAAATTTAGTCTTAAAATATTCTCTTCAAAGCTCTATTTTTCATCTTTATTATTCACATACGCAACTATTCGTTTAATAATGGAAAACAAATTGATGGGTTGTCATTCATATGCAATAATATAAGTAGTTAAATTAGGACGGAGAAAGCGAAGTTTATTAATTGACATCTATCACGTTTTACGCTTACTTCCTGCACAACTTATCGATTAAATTTACGTGTGAAATCTTTTGTCTAACATTTAGGATTTACATTATTTTTAACATATTTCTTTCTTTTATCCATACATAAATTCATATCTATTTAATTTTGTTATTTTTAATTAGAAAAAAAATATTTCCAAGAATTCCTTTAAATATATTTTGATAATATATTATGATAATTTTTGTAAAAGAAACAACAACAAATAATGTTTGTATTATAGTTTGATATGATCAAACATAATTCAACATAAATATTTTAAATTAATATTTGAAAGACTAATAACATTTATTGTGACAATCAATATGTAATCGAGTATGTTGTTTATCTTCTTGAAATTCTTCGTAGGATAGAAAGACGACGAAAGAATGGTGCGAATGACAGCAAGAGGCTTTCCACAAGATTTTTAAACTGATCTTAAGACACGAAGAACTTCAATGGAATGGAAAGCTCTCACTTTCACGTGTCACGATTTGCATGTGTTTCACGGCAGCGTCACCCAAACGTTTCCAGAAACGTATAATTTATGCGAAATGGTTAATATTTGCAGACTGTATTTCTATATAACGTATGCGAAGTATGTTTGCCATTTCTTGAATAGAAAAGAAGGAAATATATAAATAATATCTTTGACTCGCGTCGTTTTAAAGAATTAGAAAACGAAGGATTTTGAAGAATATTTTATATTTTTCCAGAACACCAGAAATTATATTGGAGTGTACGATTATAAAGGAGGACTCAATTTTCTTGAAGAAAATCACAAGTGTGCGAATAATGAGATGTAAACTCATTGTTGTAATATTTTTATGGCTTTGTAAAAAAGTAAGTTTCGGAAGATTTTTATTAGACTAATATTTATAAAACGAATTTCGGAAAAGTATTTTCAGTAGAAGTGAGAAGCACAAAAGAGATGTAAACTTTTAATGAAAAGTTTTAATTTATTTAACGAGAAGATGTTACATTAAGCGATGAATTGATTTGTCATCGAAATTGCTAACATTTTAAATTTAATGTTCCAACAAATTAAATATGAATTAAACGTTTTGATGAGTTATAGGCAGTCGAGTTGCTATAAATAAATGGTACTGGATGTAGAAGTGGTTTTGACCAAAGAAAACGACAGCCAAGGAGGTGAAACTTTTTCTCGAGACAACTCGAGTCAATGAGTCGAGATTCGATTTATCCCGTGACTGAGAATAACAGGTTTCCTTTTTCTTCACACTCTTCCGCAGCTGTATTTAATCAGACATGTAACTTTGTTCGAAAAAAATTGATATGCATGCAATATGATATTTGCAATTCATCATAGTTTAATTCTGTAGTATCTGTTCGATTGTAATTTTATAGTTACTTTACGATTCGAGATGAGATAAAGGTTGGATAAAGGTCAAACTTTTGCAAATTACGCAATATTACATAAACTATTACATAAAAGCACGAATACTATTGAATTAATAATGTGTCAAATATCGCAATTTTCACCTGTATTGAGGTTTATTGATTTATTGCATTTCGTCTTATAAAATAAATAATCAAAAAATACGCATTATTCTCGTTTGTACCAATTTAATTTTAATTAATATCAGTGCAAAAATTTAATATTTTATGTTAAAAATTTTTCATTTTGAAACTTTGTAGAAGAAAGAGAATGTCTGTAAAATTTTGTATAAAACAACAAAAATTACACCAATTGGAAAAAATTTCTCAATTTTTATGAACAGACGCGCAAAGTTTATGTGAAATAACGAAAACTTTTATTTTGTAGCGAATGTTACATTGCAAAATCATCGAATTCGAAGTTCAATGGTGGATAGTGGTGTGCAGGCTCTCGAGTAAAGATATACACGAACTATCGTTAAAGAGCGGTCATTATACGCGGGTATAACGAGCAACGGTGGAATTATCTTTGTAGCGCGTCGTTGTTTCGTTTCGCAACAATTCTTGACATTTTCATGGCGACTGAGCATCGGCCTTTTGTAAGGTTGTCAGTTGAACAATCTTACGAGCTACAACATTACGACACCTGATTGGTCAGCCGTGCTGTCATAAGGTAATTCAACGATAGTTTGTTAGCTGTGGACCAATAAAGTTTCATAATCCTGATTAAGAATCATCAGTTGAATTTAATGATTCAACTTTTAATTGCAAATCAGTCGCAGAAACGATAAAAATTTGTTACATTTAATAAGGAGTAAAAATTTGTGGTGACCTGTTGCAGCTACTTTTTTTTTTTGTTAAATTACAAGTTTGAAGGTATATGAACCTTCTGATCGGATTAAAACAATACTTATATCATCTATTTCCCAGATGATTTCATGACACACGTGATTCGAGTTTCTTATTCTTGCTAACTTGGAAAGTGAGTGCAACTATGGATGATCGAACATTCCAGTTGAGGAAACATGCAATCTTTAGGATGTCAGATGATCATAGTCTTGCAGAACGTCATTATAATCCAACATTACGACACTGATTACCTTTCACGTGATTAAATACCGTGGAAATGAGAGTACTATGAAATTTTGATCGATACGATCATAATAGAATAATTATAATAAATATTCATTAAGTTTGACTGTTTATAGCGAAATATTTTCAACATTAATCAACGAATATTGAAAATGTTAATTGTTTAATCAATCAAGGTAACTATTAAGTACTTTTTTTCCATCATATTATGGAATTAATTTGTTCAGAACGATGTTGCAACGAACGATGACATAATTGACTTGTTTTCTTTCTAAACAGTATAATTACAGAATATAAGGTGTTGTTAACTTAATATTATTATTGAGAATGTGCTTCTTGTAGGATATATTAAAAGTGAAATGACAAGTAATCAGAAATGATGAATTTACATTTTGAAATGAAAATTGAATGAAAATGAAAAACAAACATTTAAAAATAATGACAATAACGGTGTCGTACATGTATTTTGACAATACTTCATTATTGATGAACGTAGTAAAACTATGATCTGCATTCAATCAACGTGCAACACAAATAGTCAGAAGCGATGAGAAATGATACTAGATTTTAGATCTTATAAAAATTACTGCTGGCGAGATATAGTTGACCTCCTTGTAAAAGTAAGAGATGGAGATGGTGAAAGTGAATTGTATATATATTCCTTAAACAGATTCTTCATCCAGGATAAAAAACGAAATGTATGCTGCTTTCATTCTCGCTTGTTGTTTGTGAAACAAATTATCACGACGAGCAGTATACATTTCTGTATGAAGAATTACAATAAGAAGAAATACATACAAATTATTTGACTGCAGTTGTTATATTTTTGCAATAAATAAAAAACACGTAAGTCAGACAGTTCTTATTGCACTTAAAATACATAACTTGTGAAAAGTCTTTTAAAACCATTCTGAAAGAAAGTCATGTAGAATGATATGACAAATTATAGAAAAATCAATGTTTGGTGGCAGGTCTTATGCAGCTTTCCAACAAATGATACGCGGGAAACTGGTCAAAACAAAGCCAACGAAACATCCTGTTCAAGATTATGCAACCAGTCCGTCGACTCTCGTTGACCCCGAATCGGTGTCTCTCCCTTAACTTCGTCTCGTTACACGTCCTCTCGCTAATTATCGCGGCGCGATTGCGAGATGTCTGCTAGTTTCTTGATTTTGCATCCTAGTCGTGAGAAAGTGCATCGAACACAAGCGAGAGAAGACGAAAGAGGCTATTCTCGCATTCTACGACCTATTAATAACGAGCTACCAATCAACTATAGGCTCACCCACGCTAGATTTTATCTAAATAAAGTCCAAATAATTCTACGTAATTCTGGATGAAACAGATGTATGTATAATTAATGTGAAAATCTTTCTCTTTCAAATAACTTATGAATTTTTGAATGTTTATCATTTTATGCAGGATTATTTCTAAAGAGGAGACACACTAAATACACGATCTTAGGATTGAGTTTTGTTGGCATGTGTCGTTTAACCCCAATTTCTTTTAGTCGCCGGAAGAACGTGCCCGGGCATTTAAATGTTCCGAATTTCGACGGAAAAGGATTATATCTTATTGTCGACGATATGGTTTTAGATGTTGAACTTTCAGTCATTGCTCGACAGAATTTAAATGTGAATTTTATTGTCCTTTTTGATCTTTTAGCTTGTAATTGGGAATTTTCAATTTTTTCCTTCTCATGTGTTTTTTTTTTAATTAATATATTTACGGTTCGTTAGGAACAATGACGAATAAAATAATTCTGTTTTTGTTATTTTAGTTACGAAAGATGTCGAATCAAGAAGAATTGCGATTGAAGTATATATTTGAACTCTTGAAAGAGTCTCGAAAATTGAAAATAAAAAATTTACTCACGGTTTGCACATTTCTGCGGTATCGGAAGAGACAGAAATCTTCCTGGTCTGTTGCTTTGTGGCCGAATTTCGTTTATGGCTGGTTGGGCGTACACCATCGCCGTGAAAAGTACCACGACCAGCGGCACCAACATCATCTAAGAAATATATTAATAAGTAATAAAAATATTACTTTTTTATTTTAATTTATAATATAATTATAATATAATTTTTAATTATTTATAATATAATTAATAATTATAATATAATATAATAATATAATAATATAATAATATAATTAATAATTACAATATAATATTTAATTTATAATATAATTTTGAAAGCAAAGAGAGCGATACGAGCAATATAAATAATGTTCTTTAAAAAATAAATAATATAAAAGGCAAAGGTTAAAGAAATCGATTACGAAATTAAGAAAAGAATTCTGAAATTACATATAATATATATGCAGACATCGTGAAGAATAATTCAGAGCTTTTAATAAATCTTAAGATGATCCATCGCACTAAATTCAACATTCAAACCATCAACTTGAGATTGAAGGATGAAGCGACGGAAAGTTGATTATAATTTTAAAGTAGCTTCTCGCCGGCATGTACAATTGTCGCCACATCGTGACCAAAAACCGGTGAGAGTTTCACTGGTTAAAAGTGACACGAAGATAAGATCGTGAGGCCGTATACAGGCTTAGATTCTATAAGTCAACAAGAGTTTCACTTAAGGAGTGCCAATTTTGCTAAGAGACGAACGTTTGAACGTCGCTTTTTATGGATAAGTAGCAGCATAGCTACTGTCTTATGTGCCAATTGTTACGTTGTGTAGTGATCCGGTAATCGGCGAATATTTCTTCGTTATAAACTTAGTTAACGACTCAACGTTCCCTTGTATGGTCGAACGTAATGATTTTCGACATGCCGAGTCGTTTCATCTCTTTCTCTGAAGAAAATAAGATAACGCATGAGGCAAGAACCCTCTTACGTAATAGGGAATAAAAGAAATTGCACAATTGACGTACAAGTAGCAAAAAGTGAATTTAAAATCGTAGTTTGTACTACGATGGATCATTTAGAAATTAAATAAAAACAGAAAGATATTTTTAGATAGAAATTTTTCCTGTTACCAGAGACTATACCCGAACAGCGCGTTTTCAGTGTGCTCTTTTAATTGTTATACGTAATATTAATAGACAGATCAAATTTTTTTTTATAAATAAACGTTCTTTATGAATGATTTCTGTTGTTCTGTTTGACTTTTGTCGTTTGATAGGAAAAATGATATTGTAAAATTATTTGAGAACGTTTAATATGAAGACAAATCAATTAATTTTTCTTATCAAATATATAAATGTTTTTCTTAATTTTACTTTAAGACATTGACCATTTAAAATATCTGAGTTTGTATTAAAAATTATATTTTGTTCCATACAAAAATTTCAAGCAACTTCCACAGAGATCTGCAGCCTACACATCAAACGATTGCTATTCTCATCGAATTAATTTATCTTTAGTCACGCAGGAGCGTGCTTTATTCATGCCTCACTCCACGAGATGTAAGTACATACATGTATAGTATATGTACTCAGTTTGTTGCACTTGTTCTATCTTCATTTTTCCCGGTCTCGTTTGGCACTTCACGAGATGCCGGATCGGCATTCCGTCGATGAGTTTAACAAATCGTCAGAATTCTTAAAATAGAAGGGACATGGTACGATACAAGCTCGCGCACAGGTACATAGTACTTCTTTCTTTTTTCCTTTCCTAATCATTTTGAAACACTCACCTTGTCTCACTTGTCTTTCTTTTTTCAGATTCTTTTTTTTCTTGGATTAAAACAGGATGGACGAAGAAGTTGACGATTAAAGAAACGTGCTCACTGATAGGAACCTATGAAGAGACAGGCACCTTCACCGTCGATTATATAGAAATAATCCCCACCAGCTTGGAGACTCATCCCACCCTGGACTACAAGGACCCATCGAGACTCTTCTTGGCTCGACCTTACTTATAATTGGCTTAATAATCGGAGCTCAGGATTTTTCGCGATTATCACGCGTTTTTTTGTTGCGTTTATCACTCAAGAAGATAAGTTATTCGTTAAATTATAAAAATTTTTTTTCAATATTCTCTTAATGTGTTAATGTGTATTTTCTTTGTTATTATCTTGGTGTCAGTGAGTTGAAGTTTGGATTGGTAATTGGTATTCGTATAACCCGGAAGTTTGGATGCATGCTTTCTGCGATATATGGTCATTTGAATGGAGTTTATTAAGACGTCGATACAGGTACGAGAGGATATTAAAATTGATTTGAGATGAGTATAGATTTTGAAGACGGTAGATAAATCAGGATTAAGTATAATGGACGTGAATAATAGTCGTTATAAGAAATGTCAAAGTATCCTTTGTTTTATGTTTTATTTTAGTGTTTTATTTCTTTTATGTTCAAAATATTTTTCTCACATTTGTTTCTTAAAATATCCTTGCGAATCACATAAATCATCAGAAGCAAAAAAATACTATTCACTAACTTCAAAATTTTAAGAAACATGATATTTATAAAACATTTTTCTAATCAATAATCACATAGAATAATCTTTTTATTAACAAAATTAAGATAATATTGCAATTAAAGTAATATGCTCGTTTTTTTTATCAAAATCTCTAAATTTCTATGTATGCAATTTTGCTAGGATTATTTTACAAATGTCAATTATAAAATTTAATAGGACAAATAGTAAGATTAATATTTCTGTGGTTTCTTAGCTATCGGTTAGGCGCGAGTCGATAATTGACGCTCGACCCAAAAGAAACGTATTTTCTCTACATTCCATCCGATTTAGAAGTAAATGCATTTTCGTTTGTACACGTAAATATTCCATGTAACATGCAAACATTTCCTGGAAGCTTTCCTTTTCACTTAAGTCGTCATACTATTCGTGAAAAATATGCTATAAATTGCTTTTTGTTTCGCTTCATGTGTAAATTTGAATTGTTTCGTTTGCAACAGTGTCGTGGAGAAACAATTTATTTTAAAGAAAGTTAAAATGGTCAAAAAAAAAGATGTGGGAAGCAATGAATAATAAATGATTTGGGTAACTGAAAATTTATGGCTGTTTATGTAACACATTTTTTTGTATTTTTTGTTACTTTTTTGTCTATTCAGGGAAAAACATTGTGTAAATTTTAACAGATTTTTTAAATTAAAAATATTTGGATAATTTTGTGATAATCTTGATATACTCTCAGAAAATAATGTTACTTTAAATACTTATATTACATATTAAAGTACACACTTAATTGTTTATTAATTAAAATATTAAATTTTAATTAATTAACAGATTAATTCTTAATATTGAAGTTACTAACTTGCGTCACAATCATAAAAGAGGAAAAGATTTCTCAGATTAAAAATCAATTACACGAAAAGGTATGGAGGTTTCAAGGTAGATATTAGAAACCTCGGTTTCAAACAAAAAATGTATTACACAAAAATGAATTAAGTCCGTGAAAAAGTAAATCAAATAATAATTACAAAATTACATAAAACTTTTATATTTATATTCATTTATCTTTATATCTCTCCTTCCACGTGTCATGTTACTTAATATTTCAAGATTCTGCATCAATACTTAATTCTATAAAATGCAAAACGTATTACAGATATATTATACGATCAACTGTCTTTTATATTTATAATTTAAGTGTCGTGGTATCAAATGCATAATAAATTCATGACGTCGTAAACATTACTGGTCACAGTAAATTCAACCGTAAAATCAACCATACGATTTTCATATACTTTTCCATTATATAACGAATGAAATGGATCTACGATCAATACGGATAATCATGTGTACACAGAATGAGAAGAAATTGATTAATGAGAAAGAAAAAGACACGATAGGTGTAAAACACAGGTAACTTGTTACATAATGCAACGAACCAAATTCTGAGATCATCTTATCATCTTCTCTTAGATAGAAACAAAATGGAAAAGGATCTTGATCAATAACGTCTGACTTTCAGAAAGGCCGGACGATGCATCTTCACGTTTTGCTCCTTGCTATCTTGGATCTTTTTTGCCTGTGACCTTGAAGATGCACCGCCTCATTAACTTTCACCGTGGTAATCGAAGACACCAACGAGAACAGGATGGTAGTCAATGTCACCAACAATGCAGTTTCTATTATATTACAGTTCGGTTCGTTATCATGTCTTATTTATTTATTGAATTAACAATTTGGCTTAATCTTTAACTGGTATCATTGGACACCACCGTAAAAATCTAGGTTTTAGGATATTAATCAGTTCTTGATTTTGGAATTTTTACTTTGATTTAATGTTACTGTCAATCTCTGTCAAAGAATACATAAAGTACAAACTAAAATTAAATACCAGAAATTTTTGTAATATAATACAAATTATTACATCATGTGATACTACTTGAGGATTAAGTACAATATTTGAAGATTGCATTAAAGCTCTTCTTAGTTATCAAGTAGCATAAAAATTAGAAAATTAACAAAAATGACAATTTGTCAGATAATTTTGATTTGCAACTTAGTATTTATTCAGTGATTACAACAACTTTTCCAATTTGAAGGAATAACTACTATTCAATTTCAATTAATCGTTTTTGCATTCAAGAGAATATTCCTCATATCATGGTAGCTAATTATTGAATGTTATGATATATGCTAATGTGGAAAAATAAGTTTGATGACAAGTTCTTTAGTCATGCCAGAAATATGTTATACGCGTATTTAAAAACAATATTTCGATGTCATAATGAGTTTGAATGCACATTTGCAGTCATTGAACGCAAGGTATTTGTCAATCACGTCAGACGCTTTGTGAACTATAGTTAAATAAAACAAAGCGATAAAACTGGCTATTCTTGTAACGATTACAATGTCCATTATCGAAACAAGAAGAGAATTTCTTTGTTTTCATAATTATTTCTTTGCATTCTTTCGTTATTAGTGAAATTTCGAGTTTGTGAATAATCTTTTGTTTTCCAACGTGTAGGTGTATTCTTGAACAAAAAGGAAGAATGTTTTAAAAGATGTTAGCGACAATGAAAGTTGAAAATAATTTACAAAGAGAAAGAGAAACAGCGAATTTTAAATGAAAGTAAGTTACTTTAGCGTTATCAATCACTTGTTTAAATAGAAAAGTAAAGAAAATAGATACGTTGGTTTCACATGGGTTAAGTGATCTATAGAAGCACAGATGAATAGAGACAATCATTCAAAGAAATAAATAGGGTCCATTTATAAAAGCTATCGCGTCATGTAATGAATGGTAAATCTTATGTTATAAGTGAACATTTTCTGAATTGAATGATTTACCTAATAAAGATACATGTGTAAGACACGTAAAATCATTATATTCATTCGAAGAGAAGAAATAAATACAAAATTTATTGATCGCAATTTTCTACAACTTGATATCACAATTACAATGAAAATGTTGAATTAGAATAGGCAATGAATTTTATGAACGAATGAAAACTAATTTTATTGCATTTGATAATACAGGACATTGTGTCTTGAAATAAACTTTAGTATAGTATAGTTTAAGAGAATAAATTTTTAATCGAATAATTTATTAACACCGCCAATGTGTGTGGAAGAGAAACGCGAATTTTCTATGATAATTTGCAATAACAACGCTTTGTTCACGTAGAAATGATCATGACGTAATGTTTTCATCGCGAATCGGTAAATTCTTCGAACACCTGTTACTCACGATACGTGCTCTTAATACTTGTTAAGGGGAACTTTCAGTTTCGTGTTCGTAATCCACGAATTCGTTTGGATTCGTTCTGGAAAATGTCAATTGCTGTTCTTGAATTTAAATCTCTCCTCCTAGAATCAACAAAAGACGGTACTAGACGTGAATGTTTAATTTACTGGAAAATCCTAAGAAATCTCTAATCATTCTTCTTTTTTTTTTTATTGAAATATATAATAGGACAAAATGCAAATAATTGTCTCTTCATTTCAAAGTGACCGAGTGTGATTATTTATTGCGCAACCTTATAACATATAATTACATCGTAAATTTCACAATTTCTGCGATTGGAAACGTATTCTTTGAACGATAAGGGTCACCGAGTAATTAATTATCATTGGCAATCCTTGAATTTAGTTGGATCGAACGACCGGTTTACTCGCCTTCGTGGGGAATGATAAACGAGTGAATCGACGTTTAAAACTTGGTAAACAGCATCGCGAGATCGTCTGAATTGTCGCTGGGGAGAAAGGCTTGAGGCTTAAGGTTGCGGGGAATTACGAAATTCCAGAAAGCATTTGTTGTTTTCGACCCTTGCACGGTTAAATGTCGCCTGTACTTCATTTGGATTAAGTACAGCCGACGGGGAACATCCTCCTGCGCGCCACGTCCTTGCATGGATGTGATTTACGCCGTTCAGCGGATAGCAACGACGTGCTTGCTTAAATAATGTCGCGAACGACATAAACTTGAAATTTTTCAACGTGTTAGCTCTCTGATCGGATAATCGTTGAACATGCTGACTGTGATTTATCTTCTAATTTTGCTAATTTACAATTATCAATAGAGAGACCGGATCTTCGGTTCAATGATTGTAAAGATTGTGATGCATTTGATTCTGAAGCGAATAATTCGAATTTTTCAATTAAGAGCATGGTACAATTTTATCAAGAATACCTGCATATTTTTAGCAATTGTAAAAATAAAAGAAAAAGTGAATTGTTCAAGAGACGAGTGATCGTATATTTCTGTTTTATCTATTAGTTTGGATTGCGTTAATCTTTTTATTTTTATAAATCCTTTTAAGAATTTGTTGTTGCTTGTATAGCAATGTTATTATAATTCTTGTAAACTCACCGAGTAGTATAATACTAACTTTCTTCGACAAAAGGTAGATGTATTCACGTTAGTTTAAATGAGAAAAATAACTGAACAATGAAGTAGTTGAAGGTGATAATTAAAACTTCATCATCATCATCATTATGAGCAACCTTTGTTACTAAATGCAACAGGTGTGTTCAAAGTGCTCGTGACAGTGCCCAATTCAATTAATCATTTTCTCCGTTTTCAATAGTTCTTGGCCTTTGTCTTGATGAGAAGATTGCAAATAAAAATAATGAAATACGTGAAAGACCATTAAAAGCTTAGAAAGAGAAGTAACAGTTGCCTGTCTAAATCTTCTTGATAAAAAGATATAAAGGGGTAATTTACATTGATTACAAGCTCAAACAATCGTTTATTTTCAACTTGTAAAAACTTTTTAAAAATGGCAATTTTATATATTTTATTATGTTAATTCGTAATTACTAGAGTTGCATTCGTCGGTCATTCAACGTCAAATGTATTTTCGTCTGCTTTTTTTCCTTCTTTTTAGATGAAATATGTAGTGAAGTTGCGTATCTAAAACAATAAACATTGTCTCGAGACAATGGTGTGAATTATTATGCATCTCGATAGCACGATTTCGCCTCGGTACACCAGTTACGAAAGTCAGCGCTACGATTGTACGTTTCCTTTTCACTAAGATCTCTAAAATGACTTGTCTTTCATTGATATTTCGTTAAATATAATTTCTCATGTAAGTAGGCTCCAAGTTTTTAAAATTGCGACTTAACTACTTCTTTATATTTTAAAAATTGACGACGATAAGATAGAAGTACGACGATAGAAGGACAAGTATAAAAACATTTTAACAGCTTTACATTACGATATAATTACTTAATAAATTGTATTTACATAATTCATTTCACGTGAATCTTCTACTAGTTCACAAGTAAGTCTCAAGTTCCAGAATTAATTAATTAGATTCGCAAAGAGTTCTTATGAATTTCGCACGTTATTGACAAACATAATAATACGGAACAAACTGTACTCTTTTGCATTTTGTTCATTATCTTGGACTGTTATTATTATTAGACTGTTGCCTGTTTTCAGTTATCTGAGCTTCAAGCGTTTCACATTCGACGAGAATGTACTTCTCACGGAAATGCAGTTGCAAGAAATCCGCTTTGGTAAAGATACAAAGATTAGATATTTAGGAATTTTAGATGTTCCAAAATGTTTAAATAGTTACTCCTATTTCAAAATCTTTAGGATATCTCAATGGAATAATTAAATTTTTTATTTGTCTTCGATTCGATTCTTCAGTCTTAAGAAAAACCTCAAGAAAGACAAGAATACATCAATGAAATCTTCCTGAAAAAATCGTTTGATCATTCCTTGAGTCTTTTAATAGCTCGGCATGTTTCATTTATATAAAATTAAGAATGCTCATGGAGTATGTTCAAGGGAAATGAGGATTGCTTTTTTCTGTACGTCGAGTTCTTAACAAGAGACAGTATCACTTCCGCGAAGTAAGTGATCGCGAGTGATTCAAGGGCAATATTATTTATTAAATGTTACAGGAAATTGTAGTTGCACTCACTAGCTGCGTGTAAAATTATTGTTATTATTACTATTGTTTTATATATATATCATTAAAATTATTATCGAAATTCATTAACAGATAAGTTGCTTTTTTTATTTATTTATTGTATAATCATGGTTTGACAAATTTTATGTGAGAGCGAGCATAATAATACATTACTATACATTGCAGAGATCATCTTTGTTAATCGAGCAGAGCAGAGAAGATTCGTAAAAGGAGAATATCCTGGAATGCAGAGCATCCTTGATTCACGATTAACTGCAGACATCTGACGAAACTGCAACGATGCATTGACTTGCAAAACAGCATTTGACACGGATGTCGCAACATTGTATGCGCGGATGAGAAGATTGAACAATTACTAGATCGATCTTGAACGATCCTCAAGAGATCAACCGAATTACAAGAGGATACATCTGTTCTTTCTTATCGTTACCTAGCGATTCCACAGTTGAACTATTGTGAGTGCTATTATACATAATTATCAAAATCATCCTAAAATTTTCAATACTCAAGTTTTTCTTCAAATTCTCAAGACTAATTCCTTTTTTCTTTTTTCGTTTTCAGTGAGTAGAATTTATCCTTTTTTGGGAAAACGTTTTTCATAGGTTCTTCTCTGGAAGAGGGAATATTATTATGTTATATCATTTGTCCTTTATTCGTATCGTTGGCCTCGAGAAAATAGGTCAAAACTTGTCACAAATTATTATTCATCAGGTTTCTATATGAAGAGAGATGAAGCAAAAATTGATCCTGCGAGCAAGGACAAAGAAATAATTACCTCGAAATAGTTACGCTGAATGTCAATCTCTGATAAAGGTGTCTACAAAAGATCTAGGATAATCTGAAATTTATAAAAGGTAGAAATTTATAGTAGAAATTCTTATATTTCATTAATTCAGTCGAAAATTGATCAGTAATAATTTTAATTACTATTAAATAACCTATCGTTAGTAAAAAAAAATATAAATTTTTTTTAGGAAGAGAGGACCAGAATAGACGATACTAATTTCTTTGGATAAAAGTAACACGAGGTCAACGATCGTCATTTAATGATTGTCCTATTTGACGCGTCACATCTTCGACCTTGATGCTCGAAAGGTAAGAAAAGATTTCTACTAATTCATTTACGAGGACTTGTAATTTGGCGGAACTCATTAAATATAGTTGATTCACGCGCGAAAAATTCCCCTAATTATTATTACTTGAATATAGCGAAAAGGACAAGCATCTATCTAAATTTAACTTGCTTCAAATGCGAGCTGCGAATAAGTGTTTAATCTCCTCAATTAATTTTAATTTATTTAAAATTGATCTTAATCATTTTAATAATCAATCTAAGTTTAATTTGAAGGCACAAGTTTGTCATTTTATTCAACTATTGGAAGATATTATTATGTTTCTATATATTTATTTTTAATTTCAAATAAAAGTTACATTCATATCGTTTAAACGATAAAATATAGAAAAGTAAAAATTGAGATTTTCATATTTTTCGTGCGACATTTTTGAAAATAGACTATATTTGTAGATCAAACCAAGTAGAAATTTGTAAAGCTTGGACGAACAGGAAATTTATTCAAAAAGAAATAAAATTCAAAAATCGTAATATTTATGCTAATATAGTTTCCCTTGACATTTTAACTCAAGACGAACTAAGATAAAAACACGCACGTGACACTAGTCAGCATACGTGAAAGATGTTCATTTTTAGAAAACGTCATATACAGGGTGTCTCATAGGTTTTCGTCATATTAGAAATGATAATCTAATAATTGCTACATCGAATATAAACGAGGTGATAAATTTTGCTTTACGAAATCTTTCTAGAGACATCGACTTGCTCCTTTTCAAATTAGGTGAATACAAAACTAAAGGAAGTAGAATGTTAATGTCAAGGTTGTTTTGTTCATTGTCGATGTAAGAAATGCCATTGTCAAGGAAGACTACTCATTATTCTATCGATCATTAACAATTATGAAGATTCCATGATCAATTATTAATACATTCACTGATATCCTGGTTTGCTACATTGTATAAGATCATTAATATGGTGATAATATTGGAAAACAGTTAGCTCGAAGATTAATCGGAATTACATTATTGTAATTCAAGTCCCATACTCCATAGAAAATTAATTACGATAACAATTATAATTTATTGTTATATGAATCATTACAATAATATGATCACACAAAAAATTAATCTCCAACGTTATATCTTTTATTAACTCAATATTTGAAAATAATTCTTAGAACACTCTGACAAATAGAAATGACGACTCTCATCGCTATTCTTTTAATTATGTCAGCACATTATCATTTCAATCGAGTTCGGTCTCTTAAATGTTGTCAGCTTTTCGTAGAATTGCAAGTAACGATGATTTATAGTAGTTTTGCAAAACAATACCTTTTTATGATAATTTCACTACTATGTCAACTATACCTCTTGAGCAGCGAATAAATCGTGTGCGAATAATTGTGTTCAAGAGAGATGACGAGATTTCGAACGAATCGCAACTTATTGTTAGAGTCAATCGTGATAAGAACGATCGAAAGATCGATAAAGTATCGGCGCACTAACAAAGAAGAGCAATAGACCTTTAAAACCTTAATAAATCTTTAAAGAAATACAGTCAGGGATAAAATCATAACACACTTAAGATTTAATATAAAGTAAAAATAAAATAAAATAAAATAAAATAAAAATGTATACTGAACAAATATTATATTTCTTTCTTAAAAAACATTTCGATTATTATTTAATTTTAAGAAATTTTACAAGCATAAACAGTTGGATCATTTCTTTTTTTATTAATCTTAACTATATAAATTGAAACAATAAAATCATACATATATCCATATTAGTACAGGATAGACAAAATAATTTTATATTTAAAAAAGAAGACATTAGACGTTATTTTATCTTGGATTGTAGAATTAAAATTATATGAATAAAATTTATGAGTTTTTATTAAATGAAGTTTTCCTCAAGTCTAGTACAGATCAAGTGGTGGCGAAATTTTTACCAACCATTCATTTGCAGAGGAGCTTAAATACTTAATTACGAACTCTATCAATATTCGAGCAGAATAAAAAATGAAACGCGTGATCATACTATGTAAATAAATGTCATGAGCAATCTTGAATCGATTTCAGGATTTTCTATATATAAGATGGTAAAAAGAAAAAGGACCTAAGATTTCAGAGAGTTATGAATATTAGTGTTAAGATAAATTCAAATCCAAATGTTATTTATTTTCTGCGATTTATACGTCAGACGATGTCTGACGATGCAAGATAATTTTAAAAAGAATAAATGTTGAATTTCAGTTTTCAACGAATACGATTCACAGAAATATAACAAAGAAATTTACCGTCATTTACGTAAATAATGAGTTTAATGGCAACGTAACATATACAATGTAATTACATCTATCTTTTTTTTTTGTTTTTTTTTTTTATAAGACCTATTCACTTTCTATGTCTCTTTTGTCTCTCTCTCTCTCTCATTCTCTTTTTTTTCGCTAGGTACATATACAAAGTACAGTACGCAATTTTGTAATTACTGTACAAAGCATAGTTACAAAAGAGTAATACGTTTCTCCCTTTCCTTCTTTAATTTTTTTCTTCCGCTTAGTATATCTGTATTTGACTTAGCTTCTTTTTACTGACAATGCTTTACAAGATTTTTACACAATCCTATTTTGTTTTTCTTTTTTTACGCTTTCTACACGTTACCGACAATTTATTTCGCTTCCTTTAAATTTCTGTCGGCCAAGTATATATTGCTATATACTATCGTATCAATGCGCCCTGTCTTTTCTAAGAAACGTTAAAGAAGCTGCTCAGTGTCCCAAGTGAAACTTGAGAAATGATAGAAAATAAAAAGTTAAAGATTATTGCAATTTTTTCTTAGAATTGCCTTTTTCAATATATAGATAAATAATACAGACAACGACTTAAGAAAACTTAAAATTTAGGAATGTGAATGATTATAAATTTTATAAGGAGTATAACTTATTACAATATTCATTAAATAGAGAAACGTTATACCTTATAATTCATCAAATGTGTTTAATTTTTAATTACAAAGTTACAGAGCAGTTCCTTTAAGTTATATTAAATTTCGAGATTATTTCAACTGAATTAAACCCCTTCAAACTTATTAACAATTTATTTTTTAGATGTGTGTACATGGGTATTTGTTAGTTATTAACTAATAAGAAATTAGAAAAAGTAAGTTATCAAGAAAGCTGAATTGAAAGCATAATATACATGAAAAGAAACAATTCAATTTACAATTAGTTATTTTACTTAGTTGATAAGAAATATAAATTACTTGAAATCAAATAAGCATAGTAATTAATATACAAATTTCAAATATAGAATTATATACATTTTACTATTTTAAAGTTAATATAATGTATAAGAAATTCATATGAACAAATATTATAAAAAAATCTCAATTTCTTGAGTTAGAATCCTACTAATTTAACATATTCCTTTTCATTTGCGAATGATTTGTATGAAGTATTATTTTCTACGGTATGTAAAAAGTAACTTTGATGATTTATTGGGTTTATTATTTTCCGCAATAGACCCTCATCTTTGTACTTCAACAAATCTGAAATTACATTCTAACAGTGATTCGTTGATCTACTAAGACTTCTTCTTGGCCTATAAATGTTACTATTATCATCTTTTAACTTTGAAATATAAATTTCATTTATAAATATCTTAAAAATAAAGGCCTATTAAAGAAATCCTTGAGAATCGTATTATCCTAATTTTAAAATCTTAGTTTAATGTAAGTTTAAAAGAATACAGTCGTTTTTCTTCCTTTCACATGTTTTTCTTGTTTTTCGGTTCTTCTTTTTTTTTTTTTAACACAGACAGGGTCGCCATTACGACGGTATGAACGTAACTATATGCGAGTATTATGCGTTAACAATTCATAAAAACTTCCTCGCAGATCGCTCGATAAGCAATTAATAGGAAATATGTTTTATTATACACAGTGGACAGACTAGACCAAGTTTAGACGTCTTGTCGTGATAATTGTTCTTAAATTTTTTATATTTCGACAATATTTAATTCGAGTTGCTTCTTTCAAAGCTACTATGATTATTTATCTTTTTCTCTTACTTTTTCCTTTTTTTTTTAATTTAAGAAAAGGAATTTCATAGTTTAACAATCGTATTTCAAGGCTCTTTTACAGTTGTTATTTGTTAAGAATGAATGATAGTAAAAAACTATAAAATACGGTCATGCATTCAATTACAGTCTCCACCATTTTGTCGTGTACAGTTTCGTGTACTATTTCAATTACACGTTAAACGACGGTGCAGTTTTCGTTAGAACTTATTACAAACATATGATAAACTTTATACAACGTATTATAAATAAGTATATATAATAAACTGTTACGCGATATAATTTCGACGTAAGATTAAAAATTATATATCAGTATCTATGAATCGACAATTCTATAATTTAATATATTTTTCCTTTTTTTCCCTTTTCTTTGTATTATTTTTTACTTCAATACTTTATGAATATAACGAGATCGTTATATTCATGTTGAAACACGAAACAAAATAGTTGATTACTAATGAATCAAAGGAATGTATTGATTGAATTTGAATCACGAGACCGATACAAAGATGCTTTTTTTTAAAATAATTCATTTTTTAATTATTTTATCGTGTATGTGCCTACGTAATAAGCTTACACAATAAGTTTTGAATGCAAAACTTCCATCAAAAACCCAGTATCTTTGGCTACTTTGATGTTTATTTAAATAATTATAATAGTAATATTGTATAGCTTTGAGTTACAGTACAGGATGATTTGAAACACGTAGTATTCCTTTACATCATGTGTTGCCCATTTGAGGGAGCATACTGAGGTTGTTGGCTTACCGGAGGTCCTGTTGGTCCTGGTGGACCATATGGTCCTGGCATAGGACCAGTTTGAGATGGATATCTGTTGCATATCATTAAATGTTTTTTTATTAATTTTTTCTTTTTATCCCTTACGTGACCAATTCATAATAATTATATTACAATAACAAAATAAAGAAAAAGGAATTTTTTGTCATAAAAGGGATTAAATATTATATTAGTCTCTTTTTCATAAATTCATTAAACATCTATATTGTTAAAAATTTAACATACACTGTTATTGAACAAATATAATGTAATGGGAATATCCTATGCTATACATACCCTTGCTGAGAGTAAGGTATATTGCTTTGTTCTGGCACTGGTGGACCCTGAGGATGTACTGATGGATGCTGATGCGGACCCGTTGGTTGCACGTGAAAATGTTGTGATAATGTCATGTTTGGCATGCTTGCAGGACCCATATATTCACTAGGTGGCATAGTTGCATTGTAAGGCCCAGACGGACCACTTCCAACAGGGAAGGAAGTTTGATGAGGTGGAGGTATTCCATTAAATATCTGTGAAGAAATTTAAACGTTTTATTTTTAAGAATATATGATTCATTGAGAAAGAAACTTAAATACATATAAAATTCTTACATGCGGAGGTGGTGGTCCCTGATTTTGAAACTGATAAGGGTTTATGTGAGGTGGCATCTTGGGTAGAGTGTAATTTGTTGGTGTAGGAGGTGGAGGTTCTCGCATCAATGTATGATACAAATTAAGAGCATCCACCAAATCAGAACTTAATTGAGTTAGCTGTGCATGCCTCCTGTCTACTTTTTCTAAAGCTGCATCTATCAACGGTCCCATAGCCGTAACTTGTTCTGTAAAAGTAATAATCAATATAAATAATGATATAAAGTATCATATATGATGCGAATGTATTACCTTCTAAATCAAGCATTTCTTGTGGATCCGAATTATCACACTGAGGATCAGCTTCATGTAGTAAATGTAAAAGTCTGTCCATTTTTCTTTCATCTATTTCAACTTCAACCACTTCTGGTTCCCTCTTTACCGTTTTTACTTCTACTTCTTCAGCGAATTGAACCATTTTTTTGTTACTGTGTTCTAATTCTGTATGTGAATTCATTTGTAGTACTCACTTTTAACAAATATATAAATAATTTAATATTTCATGTCTTACTTGTAAACTGTTCAGGCTCCATAGACAAATCTGCAGTAACAAAGTTAGAAGGAAATAGTCCTTCTCCTGTTTGGTTACTGCCTTTCCACCAGTTTGGGTCAGAATCATCCAAAATGTTAACTAAAATTTAATTGAATAGTATACTTTATCATTACAGAGTACATTTATTATTATACTCGCATTTCTTGATTGTCATCAAGATATAATTGTTTAAGAATAAATTTTAAAAGAATCATACTTATTTCTCCTGCAAAAAATGTTAATTCATTATCTTCTGCTGCCTCAAAATCATACAGAGCACGAACTTTTCTGCCTTCTGAACTGCTGGAGGCACCAAGGGCAGAACTTACATTAGGATATAAACTGGTGTATTTATTGGATGCTGGTGAACTATGCGAGGAAGATGCTTGACTATGAGCTTTACTTTCTTTAAGAGAAAGTTCTATGGCTAGAAAGAAAAATGATTAATTTAACTTTATAGTTCTAAAAGAAAAAGTATTAAATATTTCTTAAGTACTTGAAGATACCTTTTGCGATATCTTCCTCTTCTTGTGAATTTGTTACTACATTTGGATCTTTACTTAGTATACTTGTACGTTTAGGCTGAAAATTAAAAATATTATTTCATTTATACAAATAGAATTCATACAATTAACACAAATGTTTTCATGTAGTTCAATGGAATAATTATTTGCTTGATGAATAATTGCAGGAAAAATACAGGACGTCAATAAGTGATAGTCTTATCTTACTAGTATTTAAATAAACCAAGACATGCAATCATATATGTATCGCAGTATATGTGAATTTAGATGCAAAAGAACTTACTGTATCTGATGTAGAAGTAAAATCATATCCTTCATGTTTGAGTTTGTTGTAGAAACTTGGAATTAAATTCAGCTGAGGATCAGTTTTGAAATCATTCTCAGCCCATTTTTTCAAAAGTTCTCTCATTTTTTCAGCGATCTTTGGTTCAGAATGATGAATAAGCTTTTTCAACTCATTCTCAAAGTCTCTTGATGCAATTTCTAGGTGAAACGTTTTTCCACAATTGATGACACACACATCTAACAACTAAATCCAAATTCAATGAATATCTTGTTACACAATATCTGGTTTCAATATCTGATTTCAAATTACATGTATTTTGAAGGATATACTGTTACTCACTGTTAATGCTTGCATAACAATATGTGGATCTGGAGAATTTAGTCTTTTAGTAATTGATCTTAAACAATCCTTTGCATTTTGGGTAGAAGTTCCCACTTTGTCACAAATATCCAACATATTTCCCCATTCTATAGATATATTCTTCTCACTGGTTGCTTTCTCTATTGCAGAAAAAAAAATCATAATAGAAATATAAAATACAATATAAAAGATAATGATATTGATTTGCTTTATTTTATTCTAATCATAAATTACCTAATTGAAAGTACTACTAGCATTGTTCTTTTTATTCATAATTTCCTCAAACACGTTAATATCATAGAATGTTTAATTTCATGTACATGTTTGTATCGAATAATAATCCTTTAGCAAGTGAAATAAATAGTAAAAGGCTCGTTTCATGGTATTGCAAATTAAAGAGAAATCTAGCACTGCAGATATATGAATTCTAAAAAGAACGGTTTCAATATTTCTTTCTGCACGCTTCTTTCTTTTATTAGAATGAACGTACATTTTCTCGAACGCGATGCGAATAATTGGATGAGACGCGATACAAAACCGAGGCTGAAGTAATTCGCAAAATCTGGTGTCTTAATTGGAGGTCAAATGTCAACAACCGCTTGATGCATCCATCAAACGTGGAATTTCTATGTTGTGTATAAAAAAAGAAAAAGAAGAAGAAAAGATAAACCAAATTGAACATATGTGCGGTGGGATAATGGATATGAGTTATCGCAGGACTAAAAATCTTTTCTCTGAAGCTAGACCAGCCTGATGCAAAAACGATTGTGATATAAGCGAATTAAGGCTAGGGAGAAGTCTGCTACTCACCGACGTCAGCGTCGAAAGGCGAGGAGGTCTGGAAAAGGCCCATTTTTGACGTTGATTTCTTTGATTGATCTATGTCCGACAGTTACGTCCGTTACGCGCTGTCACGGAATCACGTTACGTTTTTCTCTACGCATTCAGCTGATATTTACTTACAAACACGACATTGAATGACTAATAACATTCTAATCTACCATAGAGGGACATCTTTCTTTCGACCTGCCAAAAAACCTCGATACTATCGAACCATCTCGAGTGTAATGTCAAAGGGGAGCGGTTTTGCGACACGAATTATACGACTAATCGATTAGTTTATCGCGTAAGCGCCAAGAATTGGGGCAAACAATTCATACTACAGAAGCTTGAACACGCGTAGCGATTAAAGTCACTGGCAATTTACGCAGTTCGTGCCTTTTTGATGAAGGCATTGAAATGAACAATCGACAATCGATACATCGTAAGCTTTTGTGCGCCACTACTCCCATCTGAAAATTACTTGCGGAATTGCTTCGTGAAAGTATCATTTAACCATGTGTTTAAACAGGATTAATTCATAAACACAGATGCAGACGAAGTACAATATGAATAGACATTGCTATAGACGAGATATATGAATAGACATCGCATACAATGTATTTTTTCGGCTCACGATTAGGGAGTCTTAAGACCTTACCATTTTCGTGTCGCATCCTGTCGTACCGATTCAGACAAGTTTTGCACTGCAGCACTACTAGCGACGAAAATTAAAATTAAAAAATATGGACGGTATTGCCACAATATACCTCGTCTGTGTTATTGAATTGAACGTGGTGATACTTCATCAATAAACGATTTAAAACAGTGATGAAAATTGGGATCAAAAGTTCATTATATATTTGATTATTTACATCATTTGAAGGTATTAGAAAAAATTGATTGAAATATATTTTTTAATAACATAATTAGATATGATGATTTTTACTTATTTTAGTGTGTAACTTTGGAGTTGAGTGAATTCTATAAACTCGATTTTGTGAAAGCTTGGAAGTATCAGAGAAATGTTCCCACAGATATTGTTTGTTCTAAAATATTTGGTTCCACAAATAAAGTTATATTGTGTGGTGTAAATTATTTTTTGCAGGTCGTTTGTTTTTGAAATTTTGAAAGCATTTGGTAAGACGAATTCAATGACTTGCATAGAGGTTATTTGTTATTATAATTCATTAAAAATCAATGAATTATTATTTAAAGTTTAGTAAAATAACGAAAACAAATTACATACAGGTAGTTTTAAGAACTCAATGTAAAAAGAAGATTTTAATTCTCAAGATCATGATTGATCTGATCATAAAAAGTTGTTCAGTGATGGAATTTTTACAATTTTCGAGAAGAAAAGTATTTTCACTTTTACACTTGCTACATGATGTAAAAATAAATATCTTTGAATGAATTAAACTCAAGATTGTTAAAGTGGAGACACCACTCTTTAAAATAAAATCAAGTTAATTGTTCTACAAATTTTTTTCATGAAATTCAACAGTTTAAAGTATTGACAATTTTTTATCTAGTGAATGAATATTTTCGTTCTTTTTTAGAAATTTTTCATGAATTTTGTGTATTTGATTTAAACCAGAATTTTTTATTTTTTATTCTAAATTATCATTTCGCGCCAAACGCGCGATTGCAGCGCTCCAACGTGAAATATGGAATATATTTCCTACGATTATCGAAATAATCGATATTTCTCACGATCGATTTTTAAGCGGCAAAGATGGCAGACACCATCTATAAAGAAGGAAGTGTTGTCCAGAAAAATCATCCAGAAAGAAGTATCTTCCAGCAGTTCTCAGGTAAAAATCAATCAATAGCTGTTAGATTTGTGTTTGTATTGTGAATTTTTGTGACAATGTGCACTTTTAGCTTCAACTCAAGGTAAGATCTAACTAAATAATTATTACACATAATTTTCAACAATGATAGCAATAATCACATATAAACATTTAAACAGAAGATACTATGCTAAAAGTTATACATAATTTTATACCAAAATTTAATTTCAGTTCTAACTATTGCAAATATTGTAACCCTGTAATTAACTAACCCATTGTTTTATATATATGTATATACGTATTTTATTATATACTTTTACACACCTTTATTATAACATTTTCTACTTATTTGTTGATTATTTAACTTCAGACTGCGTAAATTTTAACAATTTTAATACTAAATTTAACAATAATTTATTAAGAATGTATGTATGAATGGTTAAAATTTAATAAAATTTCTCATATCTCAATTTAAAGTATTGAAAACTTTTTTATTAAGTTTGAATATTTTCGTTTCATTTAGAGAACTTTTCATGAATTTTGTGTATTAAATCAGAATTTTTTATTTTTTATTCCAGGTTATCATTTTGTGTGAAACGCGCGATTGCAGCGCCCCAACAGTGAAATATGGAATAACTTCTTACGATCATCGATATTTCTCACGATCGATTTTTAAGCGGCAAAGATGGCAGACATCATCTATAAAGAAGGAAGTGTTGTCAAGAAAAGTCATCCAGAAAGAAGTATCTTCCAGCAGTTCTCAGGTAAAAATCAATCAATAGCTGTTAGATTTGTATTTGTATTGTGAATTTTTGTGAAAATGTGCACTTTTAGCTTCAATTCATTGTAAGATTTAACCAAATAATTATTACGTGTAATTATTAACAATTAAAGAAATAATAGTTTTCTATCATTTAATAATAATTGTTTAAGAATTTCTTATGAATTTTCTGTATTTAATTTAGAACAGAGTTTTTTATTTTTTATTTTTTTATTTTTTTATTTTCCAAGTTAATATTTCCTGTGAAATGCGCGCGAATTGGGGTTACTTAATGGCGATTACAGCGCCCCAGCGGGGAAAAACGCAATATACTTCCTATTATTGAAATAATTGATATTTCTCAATATTTTTAAGTAGCAAACATGGCGGAAAGAAGAAAGCGTTGTCTAGAAAGATCATCCAGAAAGAAGTTTCTTCCAGCGGTTCTCAGGTAGAAATATAAATCACCAGCTACTAGATTTGTGTTTGTGTTGTGAATTTTTGAATTAAAACATACATTTTCAATTAAAACTTGAATTAAAACTTATGGCTTCAATTCATTGAGATTTGGCAGATTACCGATAAAGTGTATAATTTTTGTTCCCTTAGAGTAGGGGATTAAAGTAACCAAATAATTATTATACATGATTTGCAACAATTAAAGAGATAATAGGGTATAAACGTTTAAATAGAACATATTATACTTAAAAGTATTTATAATTTTATAATTTATATCAAAATTTAATTTCAGTTCTACCCAGTACAAATATTGTAACCTTGTAATTGACTAACTATACTGTTATATATATGTATATATTTTATTATATACTTTTTTACATATACTTCTATTATAAGATTTTCTACTTATTTGTTGATTCCTTAACCTCATATTGCGTAATTCTTAACAATTCTAATATTATATTATATAATATAATATTATATTCAATAATAGTTTATTATGAATGTACGTATTTAATGGTTAAAATAATAATTTTACTGTGTAATATAATGAAATTGTTCAGTTCTTAAGTAAAGTAAAACGTAGAAGGCCTTGCAGCTTGATGAAATTCCAAGTAAAAATGACAACACGAACACAATGTTTATATTCATCTTACTTATCGTGCTTGTACTCGGACAGGATCACCCCATCTGCTACTATTTTCTCAATTGAAGGACGAGACGTGTGGCGAAGAGTCATTCGGCTGTCGAATTTCGTGACAACAACATGCATTACGTCGCATTAGGTTCGTAATATTTTCTCATCTATCGATGGCGTCTCTTTGATGGTGTCGCCTCTTCGACAGTTCTTTATTTCCATTTGTACCTTATTAATAGTATTATTTAATTAATACACGTGTGTTTGACGATTCATTGAGCATTAAGATAACGAAATCGAGTAAGATTTTGAATCTTTTCGTGCTGATTTTTCTTCGATCACCGATTTCACTCTTACGATTATCAATACTTTGATGAGGTACTTCTAAATGAACATGCTCTTTGCTCATCCCTTTCTAATCAGCTTTATTATTTATTTCAGAAAATTTTTGCGACCACGCGCAACGCGGTTGGTAGAGTCAGTGTTCGTTGCGCAGTATTTTAATATTTTTTAGAGCAAAATGGCTCTCATTAAATTTGTTTAAATTATAATTCGCGAAGTTAGTGTGTCAGTGAGTGTGCCGATTGTTACTTAAACGCGCGCGTTGATAGTCTTTTATTTTTCCTTTTTTATATTTTTTCTTTTTCAACATTCGTTTTCGATATATTAGTGTCAGTGCTCAAGAGGATAAGGCCTCTCCAGGAGATCAAGATCGTAAGTAACTTTATATAATGTACTTCAGTTTACTCAGTTTTTCAAATTTGACAACAAAGTACAATGTTTAACATTTCGTTACAGACGCTTCTCAGCATCAACTTTTTGATATATTTTGGGGAAATCCAACGTGGCTCCAAAGCCAAGAATGTAAGAATCTTTTATTATCTCAAACTTAAGATTCTGCTTCGCTTTTAAGTAGAACAAATTCTAATGTTTTATGTTTTGTTACAGATTCTCTACAGTTTCGAATTCCCCTTATCCTCTAAGAATCTTACGATGTTTCAAAGGCTAAAAATGTAAGTGCTTTAGCACATTGTACTTGAATTTTATTTCTATTTTCTATAGTTCTCTTTCTCGATTGAAGTCTAATAAAATTATAACTATAAAATAAAAACGTTTCATATTATTAGAATCCCAATTTTTTATCATTATTAAAATTTGAATTTTCACAAGTAACACTGTGTTTTTATGTTTTTTAAGAAATTTTTCACGGTGTGCACTTCTACTGTGGGATTCTCAGTAGTATCTACTTGATGAAGGTCTTCATGATAACTTTCCCTGCTCCAGTGCAGCATCTGTAATGCATAGTTCTTCGCATCTGTCTTGTGAGTCGTATGCATTTATGTTCCTCCGATCACTCAACCATGTCGTAGGATGAAAGGTCCGAATCGGCACGAGTGATTGGTTGTATACGTAGAATTTTTGATGAGCATAGTGACCACGGATGTTTTTTATATCCGTGAGTAGTAACATCTTTTTCATATTTTTTATGTATTAGATCAGGATAGGGCTTCTTGCACATCGTGATTTTAACAATTAGTTTAAATATATACAGTTGTATTAATTATTTGTAAAATCAAAATATATTCAGTATAAAAGTTTGCAAAAGCAAAATATTCACATCAATATCCATATGAATAGATAAATTATAAATAATTATTATTAAAATGATTTCGTTCGAGCATTTTGTAGTAGAGAAGACGGATACCCTCCGACTTCATTGCTATGAAACATGCACTTATTACTTATTGATACTCGTAATAGTTTTGTCATAATAATTAATAATTTCGAACTTCATCTTCCTTTTTATAGTAGTATTAAATGATTTAATTAACTAAATTTTATAATTTTCAACAATACAACTGAAATATATAAGAATAATAATAATAAAAAATATTATTATATAAAAATATATAATATATAATATATATAATAAAATATAATGAATCTAATAAAAAATACATATAATATACAATATATTCGAAAGAATTTGAAATATATAATAGATTGAAATTCATTCCGTAGAAAAATATATGAAATTTTATGTGCAAGAAGATATTTCGCGACAGGCAGATTTTTGAATCAAGGCAACAAGTTTGAACACTGCTCTCGCATTTCCAAAAATGTGCTTTGATAAAGAAATCGCCTGAAGTTATTTTTATTAATATTTAATTTAGAGTTAGTTGTTTAATTTTGAGTATTTTAATCAATTGTTAGATTTTATATCTTTTTTAATGAATACAATTTTTTGTCTTTATTCTTTTGCAATTTCAACAATTTCTGAAAGAGTAGAGTCATTATAATTTGAAATAAAATAATGCAACAGTCCGTTAGATACGAATTACATAAACTAATCATTCTTTTAGTTCAGGATTTTCAGGTTTAACCCCTTCCGTGTTCATTGTCAGGATCTCACTCACGTGCCCAGGTGCTACTTGGGTGGGTGAAAGACATTGGGCACGATGACCATAGTTTGTA